CACCACGCCATCCTCCTCTAGCTCCATCAATAAAACAAGACAACAGCAAATTTGACCTGTTTGCAAACGCACTGAAAAAAACACAAATACTGTAAATATAAATGTGAGTTTCAGTTGTTTTTTTTGTTTTTTTCATAATCTAGAACAAAAGTGAGAACATGCATTATACAGACACAATGCAGATCAATATCTACATGAAATGTATACAAATAAGGGATAAAAGTGTGAAGGGGGAGAGTAGGGGGGTGGATTTAATGTATTTATTCAGTTAAGAGATATTGAAGTCAATTCTTTTCAGATCCAATCCGCTTAATGAGTAAAATGGAACAGAGATTGCAAGTTTAGAGTAGACTGAAATAACAATATTCAAATGGATTCTGTGGATTTTGTCTTTAAAGTTTAAAGCTTGTTCTTTTTCTCTCTGATATTATCTGTAGATCAGAAGTATTTCAAACTTTTCACGGCACAATTTCTACCTCCAACGAAAGATTATTTATATAGGATGGACATTTATTATCATTTGTGTGTGTGCGTGTGTGTGTGTCTATGTGTCTCTGTGTGAGTGTGTGTGTGTGTACAGTACAGGAGGCATATTCAGTGGAATGATGCCTCCGGACAATTCAGCTCCGCACACAATGCATGCTGGGAGATCAAGCGATAAACAAAGAGACATTCCCTCATATCAGACTCACAGCGAGGGTTCCGTGCGTTGCTGGTTGTGTGTGCGTGTGTTGAGGGTTGTGAGTGTGTGTTGATTGGCACAGAATGGAGTGGATTGATTGTGATGAAACAGAAGAAGAAGGAGTGTCGCTCAGAGTAAGAAATATGGATTTACTGTTTATGTTGTTGGATGGGACTGAATCCTTAGTGTGTGTGTGAGTGTCTCTGTCTGTTTGTGTGTACATGTATATCTATATCATGAGTATGTTTGTGTGTGTATTTGTGTCTCTGAATGGTATATTATGCATGTGTGTGTATCTCATATGTGTGTAGGTGTACGTCTTATGTGTTTGTGTATGTGTATATTATGTTTGTGTGTTTGCGTGTTTCTATGCTCAGTATTCTATGTGTCTGTATGTACTGTAAGTGTGTATCTTACTGTATGTGTGTGTGTGCGTTTATGTGTGAGTGTCTCTCTGTTTGTGTTTGTATGTTACGTGTGTGTGTGTGCGTGTGCGTGTGTGTGTGATACTTCAGGTAGAATCTCACTCGATAGCGTTCTACATCTATCCAAATATTACTTTTTGTTTTGTTTTGGTGGATGGATGTGTTTTTGCTGCTACTACTGGACACCTGAATTTCTCCTACAGGGATCAATAATCTATTTATCTATCTATTTAAATAAATCCCTAACCCTAACTTGTTCCTATCCGTCCCAATGCTATTGACTCACATTATTAGTAATAACATGCATGACCAGGAAAAAGGCCAATGAGCTTTCAGCCTTCAAAGTGTCACATGGAGAACAAGAATTATAATCAAAACGGTGTGTTGGTGGTGGCGCCTCTAATTTAAACAGGAACAACCAAACATTTAAACAAACAGGCATTTTATCCATCACTAAATAAATGAGAAATCTCCCAGAGGTTTCTCACTTTTTTCCCTCTATTTTTGTTATGAATTGTTTCTTTGCTGATGCATGGGGCAGTGATGAAGTCAAAGGCGTGCTCAAATGTTTTCATCTCAGAGTTATCATAATTGTGGCATCCTGTGAACTGCTGCTGTGTCCCTCCTGTCGTCTCAGAGGAAGTGATTCATGGAGTTTTCTTTAGTCTTTGCTCAGCTGTTGTTGGTCCCAATCGTCCCCTGAGCGTCAGCTGCTACTGCTTCCCAAACGCAGAGGTCTGAGGTGGAGGACATTCCCACCGCTGAGGCTGCGACCGGCGACACAAGCTGAGCACGTGTTTGTACAACCACCGGAAACATCTCACTTCTGAGCGAGTTCGTCTGTTTGGGATATTTTTAACTATGGTTTTTGGCAAAGGCCGGGAAGCTTTTCAGCCGAGAGCCAAAAAAATCGAATTCTTTAAAATGTATTTCTGTGCGAGCTAATTTTTTTTACTGTGATTTTTGTGCTTTTTTATTTATTTAGTGTAATACAGTATAATATTATTCTGGAGAAATGCAAAAAACATCTTACATTTACTTTTGACCCTGCTCCCTCCTCGCTCATACTAAAAACATGCAGTTCTATCACGGTACTCATTAGTACTCATTTGTACTCATTTGTAAATGTACCAGGATGGCCGAGTGGTTAAGGCGTTGGACTTAAGATCCAATGGACATTAGTCCTCGTGGGTTCAAACCCCACTCCTGGTAACTTTAGCCTGAAAAATCAAACCATGTATAGGTTTTAAGTACGAGGTACGAAAAAAACAAAATACAGTAATTAAATCAAAATGAAGGGCAAAGACTCCTACAAATAAGAAAATCAAATAACTTCCGATTGGATGTCTGAGGATTTGTATAAGATGCATGCACAAAGATGGCAGAGCAGTAATATTATTAGATTAAAGATCTAATGGTCCTCGTGGGTTTAAACCATAGACTGTTTATATTAACGGACGTAGTCACGCCTATCTCCGCCGTTCTAACTAATGGGCCAAAAATTGGGCTTTCATGGAGTGATTTAAAATGGCCGCTGGGGCTGGAAAATGTAAAAAAAACACATCTGCGCATGTGTCAGGCGGCACAAGCTCCATTTATTTAAACGAGTGACTTCAAAAATTCATAGCAAGTAAATTAGAGTGGTCCAAAAATGCTATATGTTAGCATTGAATAATTCTTATTCCGGGTCCACCCCCATCGGCCCGGGGTGGTATTGCAAGCATGTCAGCGCACGTCCCCCACTGGTTTAAACCCCACTTCTGCTTTTGGCAGAGGCGGGGAAGCTTTTTAGCCGAGAGCCAAAAAAAATCTTATACTTTACAATGCATTTCTGTGGGAGCCACTTTTTTGTTACTGTGATTTATGTGCTTTTTTATTTATTTAGTGTAATACAGTGTAATATTATTCTGGAGAAATGCATAAAACATCTTACATTTACCTATGACCCTGCTCCCTCCTCTAGCAAACCCTGTACTCATATGTAAATGTACCAGGATGGCTGAGTGGTTAAGGCGTTGGACTTAAGATCCAATGGACATTAGTCCTCGTGGGTTCGAACCCCACTCCTGGTAACTTTAGGCTGAAAAATCAAACCAAGTTTTAAGAACAAGGTGTGAAAAAAACTAAATACAATAAATAAACGTAAATGAGGGTCAAAGAAATAAGAAAATCAAATAACTTCTAATCGAATGTTAGAGGATTTGTATAAGATGAATGCACCAGAATGGCCGAGCAGTTATGGTAATAGATTAATGGTCCTTGTGGGTTTTAACTCAACTTCTGCTAGCTTTAGAATCAAAATGATACGTCTAAATTAAAGCTTCCACTTCCTAGCCGATTTGTCACTTGGCTGTTAGCTTAAGCATAAACCTAGGAATATGAGACGTTTTGTAATTATGTTTTCAATGACCGCTGATTCAACCCAGGCAGAAGTTGAACCCACAATTTCCAGTTGTGGAGGTTGATGCCTTATCCATCAGGCCAAAGAGCCTTGAGTAGTATGCGCCCAAAGGGTCTTCATCACGGCCAGAATTTATCTAGTTCAGCCCTTGTATTTGTATCAATAATTAACATGTACCAAGATGGTTGAGACATTACGTTGGACTTAAGATCCAATGGATTGTACTCCTCGTGGGTTCAAGTCCTACTCCTGGGAGTTTTGTGATGTCACTTATCCTGTACAATAAAACACATCTTCTGCTGAGACACGTTCCCATTTTCTTTTCTTCTCGTGGAAAAGACTTCCTCCTGTCGTGTGAACCAGATGCAGAGTTGTCGCTCTTCACGCCGCTCTTCTGTCCCACAAAACAGCTCTAAAACTGGAAACTGGGCGACTCACAAATGTAGGCTGAGAGTTAATAATAATATGTGCCTCATCATTCATGTTATTTTAGAACTGCTGTAAGGTTCAGTTCATGTGACATCAGAGACTAGTTTAACATTGAGGTATTTCTGTTTGTTGAAGACAAAACTTACTACATTACTTAAAACTACTAAACAGTCGACACTCAGATCTGCGTTTCACTGACAGCAGGAGAACATGGATCACTCACTCCATCACAGCATCCAACAGATGGATGCTGTGAAAAGATTGTCCTTGGCCCCAGAAACAAAGAGAGAGCGTCTTCTGTCACCTCGTCTCTCTCGCTAAAACCTTCAAAACAGGTCAGAAATCTGAAGCTAAAACTGGACTTAAACTCTTACAGGCCTCATCAAACCAGTAACATCAGCAGCTTTTTACCGTTTGATTTCAGATGAATGCAGCTGAAATCTGAAGCCGTCTTCCTGAAACTGTGAGACAGGCTTCTACATTGACAATGTCCAAATCCAGTTAAAACAGTTCAAACTTTATTGTTTACCCGTGCATACATCTGAAGGATTGTATATTCTCTTTTCAATGTGCTGTGATTATTTATGAGTTTTATTGAGCACTTTGAGTCTTGTGTATGAGCTGTGCTATCCAAATAAACCTGCCTTTCCCTATGACAAAGATAAACAACACAACACAGCGAATTCAGCATGTTACAGTAACTCCCCTTTGATAACGTTGTAATCTATGAGAGACAAAAACAATGCTTTACTGATAACTATGAGCCATTTCCAAACAAAAAATGCATAAAAACAGTGAATATTCTTATTGTTTTGGTCGAAGCGTTTTGTTTTTGATCCATGAATGTCAAAAAACACATCCTCTCAGTTTGAATCAGTCCAACCCACAACCACAAAGCAAGATTTCTGTGACATTCTGCTGTTCTTCCAACTGTTGGACTTCAGGATTGCGTTACACATTTTTCAAATTCACTGCAGTTTTGTGGTTATTTTTATTCCCCAGTTCAATCCCCATTTGTCCCTGATTTGACTAAAATGGCTGTTGTTGTTGTTGTGGTCCGCAGGGGCAGCTGTCTCAGGCTCTGAACGGACTCTCGGACCGAGCCACAGAAGCCAAAGAGTTCCTGGTGCAACTCCGGAACATGGTGCAACACATTCAGGTAAGACAGTAAGATGAAAAGAGAGATTTTTAGGTTGATAGTTTTGGTTTAGTCCTCTGTTTAGACCATTCATTTATGTCATGGCCTTACCTGCATGTGAAAGCCAGATCTCATCAGACTTCTAAAGCTAAGCAGTACAGGGCCGAGTAAATACTGTGATGGGAGACCAGACATTATTGGCCACAGTGGGATGACTGTAAAGTATTATTGTGTCCTTGGGCAAGACACTTCACCCACACTAGAATGAGTCTGGTGTGTGAATGGCTGGTGGTGGTCTGAGGGGCCGATGGCACATAGTAGTTGCCTCGCTTCTGTCAGTGTGCCCCACGGCAGCTTTGGCTACAGTGGATGTCTCTTATTCAGTGTCGCTCAAACCGATGCCACTTCTGCAGCACATTCCTTCACTCAATAAAGTTTTTTTTCTCCCGTGTATAAAAATAACACTTGTTTTCTTCATATTTCTTAGTATTAATTACTGGCCTTTAATTCCTAGAGAAACACTGTGATTAAACCGACGTGTAGGTTATTGAAGAGCACAGGAACATTACTCACGCTGTGTCTCGGTTGGAGCTGCCCACTCGCGCTGAAGTTACAGAAACTCTGGGAAACTGTGGCGAGTGTGAAACCACATCAACACAGACTGAACATGAGGATTATGCAACCGCTACATACAAACTCACACCTCACTGCAGGAAATAAGGGTTTTACTACTTTTTGGAAGATTATAATCCAATCCACTTGTATAGCACATTTTATAAAACCAGTGTCCAAAGAGATACAAGTAATACATTTATAAAATACAGGTTTACCAGCTTTATGTGTATACAAAAGGTAAACCATTATGATGTTCGAAGTAAAAACAATAAACATGATTTTTGTTTTTTTTGTAGTTATCCATATACAATAAAAAAAACGAAAAAATAAAACAATAAAACACATAAAACAGAGGACTACTCAACTTGTGCTGTGTTAAAAGCCAGAAAGTAAAAACGTTTTAGGACAAGAGAAAGATGTGTGTAGGTGAAATTACAACCTGTTTATACTGTAATGTTAACACTAGTTTCGTCAATAAATACCAGGTTTCCAAAGATAGTGTTAGGATTTAGCAGACAGAGACGGATCGTGGTGTGCCAAACTCTGGAAGTTTATTTAAGTTTCTCTCAAGTTCCACTGGTTTACTCTGTTTCTTTCTCTCAGACAGAATAAAGGCAGTACACAGTTTATATAGTCATTGTCACGTCACACATCGAAAGACATACGTGTCACAAAGAGACAGTCACATCATAGTCATAACATGGAGTCCTTGTAGAGTCCTTGTACAGTCCTGCACGTAGGCCATATTGCTATCTAATACTAATACCCTCCCCTTTGATCACATAATCACATGTGATCATTCAATTTGATCAATCAATAAAGTGGAAAAAGAAGAAAAAATTCTAAAAAAAAACTTCAAACAATTATTAAAAACAAAGAAAATGTATGCATTAAACTCATAATCATCAAATCAATATCAGTGGATTTTATCCTCTATCCTGGGAAAAAACAAAAAACTAAAATAAAGTAAATAAACAAACAAAAAACAAATCAAAAATAAAAACAAACAAAAACTATTGGACACACAAGAACTCAGCAGATTCAGTCAAAACACAGACAAAAACGAGCTGAGTCTCAAATTTGAAGCTAATTTCACTTTTATTACTCTATACTTTTATTCTAATGCTAATTGTTTACACTACACTTATTTCACTGTATTATTTTCACTTTTTAATCTTAGACTGTGTACTTTACTTTTACTATTCACTATAGTTTAAAACTATTCTAATCTATTCACAAATATGTTTGCATATTTGCTTCTATTGAGCCATATTCTTAAACATACATTTTAATCTAATAAATCTCTCTTTAGTTTTACACTCTCATTATCAGTGGCATATTATCAGTGGGATTTTGCTCCATGTCTATTCTCATTCTCAGGAATAAAACTGTGAACACAGTAAGGCAAATGGTCAACATTTACACTTCTATAGTGGTCAGTGATTTATTACTTTTTATTATCTAAAGATATTATTGTCAGGCAGTTTGGGATGAATGTACATCATTAATCAAATTAGTATTATCCTTACAAGAGCTAATCTATTTTAGCAGGTTTGGGGTTGGGGTCAGTTATTCTACAATGGTGTTTGTGCTGGAAACTTCTCAATATCTAAATATCTACTATTGTGTTTTTGTGCTATACACAAATGCATCAAAATGCTTTTGAATCTCTGTTGGTTCTAATCTATTTCATTGATCTAGGCATTAATCTAGGCTACACTCATATGAACTTTTTGTATTGTCAACATTCACTCATGTGTGAACACAAGTGAATTTGGCAGTATCTAATAAAACTGTACATAAAACTGTAATTAACTTTATCTACTTTTGAAGTAAATGCTTGTGAAATGGTCCCTTTACCATTTGATATTAGCACTGGCTACAAATAATCTCTATTTTTGAAAGCATCTATGGTTGATGCATTTATCTAATTCTATATTTCCTCTATTTTTTAACTCCAAAGCTCGGCTGCAGCTTGAGCAAAGGCATATTCTAATTTGTGACTTCTGTCACTTTTAATGGCTGTAACATAACTCTGATTCTAATATTATAGCTGATCTATCAAAAGGATAACATTGTAGGGTACTATTTTAACTCTTACGTGGAAATGTGTTTATGAAAAACAAAGGAAGTCAAATTCTACTTTTTTACTACTATTTAACATCTACTAAAACGCTACAATACTCATACTTTATCATTTTCAAACATTTTAACTGTTGCTCAGTCTCCCAGACTAAAAAAGTCAAATTTTTTGTCTGTCAGATGTCTGAATACTTAACATTTATATTGCATTTGGTCACAGTTGTGGTTCTGGTTGTAGCAAGAGCATCGGCAATAGACGTTTTCATTGGCTGGTTCTTGTTCTGCAAATGGCTGTGTCCAATAGATCATCAGATGTCCAGAAGCTAGGGACAAACAAAAACAAAAGAAAGAATCATGAGTATCTCTCTCATTTAGCACTCATCAATGTATTATTTCAAAAATATAAACATCACTCCCCAGTTTTCTCTCTCAGGTCCTCAGGTCCTCAGGGTCCCCTGAGGGTGAGTCTCAGTCGTCATCAGGTCAGGTCATATTTCGAGAGATGTCATCTTGGACATCAGTAGGGTCCAAGCCATGGTTCTGGTCTCTCCAGATGCACATCAGGATCTCCAGATACAGTCTTTTCACTTGAAGCACATCAGGTCATTTGCGATGCACTTCTGGTCAATGGTGCAGTGTCTCAGTTCCTGTACACAGCTTGTTATGCAATAGTTACTTTCTATGGTTAAGTCATTTTGATTCTACTTTAACACAATTTCTATTCATGCTGTTGCTAATGTCCCTCAGACAAAAAGCAAGCGCAGTTATTCAGTTTACTTCTCTAATTTGTGTTTTTATCAGATCTAATTCTAATCAATGTAATTACTTCACACAGTACAAAATCAACAAACCAAAAGTGTCAGGACAGAGGTCAATTAGTCCATGACAATATAGAATTCAAATGAACATTTCTGGTCTCAAAAAATACTGATTCAACTAAAGATTCAAGTGATAGACAATTAAAAATATGTGTTTACATTGGAGTAAACTTTTAAAATGCTTTTTCTCATGTTCTACTTTTTCATGTATCTATATGTAAATGTGAATGTGTGAGTGTATGAGTGTGTATGTGTGTGTGTGTGTGTATGTGAATTTTGGGGTTGTGTCTCAAGACTCCACGAACCACCTGTAGGTGTCAAAGGTCACACTGTGGTGATGCAAACCAACTGGACACACTTTCAACTCTCATCCAGGTCTTTCCCTGATGCTCCACCCATCACGTCTCCAGATACCTCTCTTTCATGGCCCCGGTCTCACTCCCACTTACTTCTGTAGTGGGGGGAGGGGCAAGGAGGTGGCATTTCCCTTTGCTCTTTGATCTGTGACCTGTGGCTGGGTGGGCTTTGGTGTCCAGTGTCCAGCAGTCCAGTGACCCTGTACAGTGTGTGCTCTTGGTTCTGGAAAACAACCTTATAGTCAAATTAAAAACAACAGAGATTGTGAATGAGATTGTTTTTCTCTCTGAAGTCTAAACAATTTTGAAGCGCTCTGGGTTTTCCCAAGCGCTATGTAAATAAAAGATTACTTATTCTCTTACTAATGATGACATTTTTAAAACCAGAAACTCTCAATATAAAAAAACAAGACTCAAATCTCTTGAACCTTCTTAAACTTTAAAATATGTATTATGTACTTTTGCACTGTGTGATTAATTATCTATGCATTTATCTCAGCATATATTTTACTAATTTAAAATAATTGCAGCATTTTTCAAATGAAGTCAGTATGAATTGGAGCACATTTTAGACCAGTCTCCTCTGCTGTGGCATCAGCAGGAGCAACAAGGTCAGGCGTGTAGTCAAAACAAAAACAAAAGTCACCACTTGCATGTGAATTGGGTAGTTTAACTTAATAATATAATACTTTTACAGCCTAATTCCCTCTTTCTTTTTTAGACGAAGTCTACAATCATTAATCACTTTTAACAGATTCTAATTTAAATGTTTGAAAAACGGCTTTTGTAACTAAAATAAAAACATACAAAAATTCTCACAAACAGCTATGAAATATATCAGAGATACAATAATGGACTCACAAAATAAGCAGCAGATTTAAAAGAATGGAATCTAGAAATATGTTAGGTCTAAAAAGAATTGCACAGCTTTTAGCACTAATCTTTGGGTTTCAAAAACATACTAATTCAAAACTTATTCACTAATGGTGTTTAAAAACGTTTAACTGTGTCTAACACAATGTTCAAATGGCAAATTTCGCAAATTTAACGGAACAACTACTATGAAAAGCCAAATTCCTAAAGCAGTAGCTTTGCTTCAGATTCACAGCCAGAGCAGCGAAGGAGGGGGCCGTTTCCCTGACAACGGCAGCAGATAGAGCGACGCACACACACAGGCAAAAAGATACAGAAGAATAACTTTCAAGATTACTTTGTTAAGCGAATATAACTGATGTTGTTCTTTATACTTTTGTCATCCAAATCTAGAAGTGATCACTTTCCACACTAGTAACAAAAGGCACTCTTGTCTTTAACGTTTACGCTTCTATTTTATTGAGGTAGCAAACTAATTTAAACTCAAAATCTCTTTCTAAAAAACAAAAACAACTGTTGGATACAACCCTCTCATAGCTCAACTGTAGATAAAACTCGGCAAAAAATGTAAATAACTCACGAAAGCTCTCATAGCTCAACTTTAGATAAAACTCTGCATTCTCCGGTGAACTCTGTTCACTCCAAAAACAAACGAACTAAAAAACAAAAAACTCCCTTTTTCTGTATGTTGTTGCTTCTTTACTTTTGTCATTTATCAGCCTGAAATTCGTCAATTTCAAAGCTTTTGTAACAAAGGCCTCCTTAACACGTTTCCCTTTTTATTGCTTTTATTATTACACCATGGTTTCACTAACTATTTTCTATTCTCTGCCCCGGCTACTCCAAAGGCAGGGACCCCGATACGTCAGGGGTTCCTTTCTCTCTCTGCCCCGGCTACTCCAAAGGCAGGGACCCCGATACGTCAGGGGTTCCTTTTTCTCTCTGCCCTGACTACTTCAAAGGACAGGGACCCCGATACGTCAGGGGTTCCTTTTTCCTATAGGGACTGGTTACCCACACAGCTAACCTGTTTTCTACAACATAAGACATGACAAAGACGTGACAAAGACATAACAAAGAAAATTTGATTTAGAGAGATTTGGACAGACCTCCGGGACAGCTCAAAATTTAGCTAGTATCCAATTATGCAGACTTTACATATTAAAAAAGGTGTCTGCTTACCTTCATTCTTTGTCCGGACTGTTCGAGAGGTCAACCAACATCTTTTCCGCGTCGAAAAATTCAATTTAAAAAACAAAAGTGACAGAAGCGACAAGAAGCATCCAGGAACAGCTCTTCCAGCCTGCTGGAATCTCCGCTCCCAGACACAGCATGCCGATCTCTCACGCAGAGGAAAAGAAACAGAGCAAAACTCCCTCAAAACAATCCAGAGAATGGCACAAACCGAGCCGCGCATTCTCCACCAAATCTGTTAGGATTTAGCAGACAGAGACGGATCGTGGTGTGCCAAACTCTGGAAGTTTATTTAATTTTCTCTCAAGTTCCACTGGTTTACTCTGTTTCTTTCTCCCAGACAGAATAAAGGCAGTACACAGTTTATATAGTCATTGTCACGTCACACATCGAAAGACATACGTGTCACAAAGAGACAGTCACATCATAGTCATAACATGGAGTCCTTGTAGAGTCCTTGTACAGTCCTGCACGTAGGCCATATTGCTATCTAATACTAATAATAGTATTATTGATAAAATGTGAAGAAACATTTGATTGTTGAAGGAACTTGCAGAAAAGAAAAACTTGGCTTCATAAAGTCTAGAAACTTTCACTTTAGCATAAAAAAGTATATAGAACTGTATATTCTAGTAGAGAAACAAAACGTAGTATGTATACATCTGTACATGTTAGCAGCATGAGGGTCTGGGACAAAGTGACGAAGGTTCTGTGGTTGCAGGAGAACGGAGTGGAGTTCGAGGCGTGTCTCGTGGCTCAGTGTGACGCTCTCATCGACGCTCTGAACAGAAGGAAGGCCCAGCTGCTGTCGCGGGTCAACAAGGAGCACGAGCACAAGCTGAAGGTGAGTCTGGGGTCCGGGGCCAGGGTTTGGTCTGTGGAGCGACTGAAGCAGAGGTGTCAAACTTGGTCCTCAAAGGGCGGCTGTGGCTGCAGGATTTCACTTTTCTCTTCTTGTTCAGACTGGGCTCACTTGGGGAAATGGGTGGTGTCTGGGGTGATATGTGGAAGCAGAATGAATGCAGCAAAGCACAAACCAGATAGAGAGCAACTACAGGCACCAAAGAGAGACCAAGGAGAGGCCAGAGAGGGAGACGGACCAGAGCGAGACTAGAGAGAGACAAGAGAGAGACCAAAGAGAGAGTGACCAGAGAGACCAGAGAGAAAGACTAGTGAGAGAGTGGCATTTCCAGCCTTCATCCACAGTCTACATTTGTGCCCTAACAGCTTCCTCAAAATTTAGACCCAGTTCTTCCAATGCATTGAGCGTGTTTCCAAAATAATCTTTTTAATGGGATCTTGAGTCGTGGCAGAATACATTTGTGGTCAGAGCATCCAATTTCACGCCTCGACTCCCCGTGAAAATGCGAGTTTACACGGTTCCACCAAATCGCATGAGAATTAGCTACATTAGTGGCATTAGCATCCGCCCACTGCTTCTCTGTTTAATTTCTCCCCTGTCCCTGTCTGTACTCCCCTATACGTCACACATCACACTGTACATCGATACAAGCAGCTTGCAGAGCGTTCAGAACCAAATTAGCATTTCACAGAGCGCCTCCTTCAGATTTTACTGTCAGTGTCAGGATTGATTAAGTCCCAGGGACTTAGTGACGCCTGACATGGTGTGTACTGTATGGGGCTGACTGGAGTGTACTGTATGGGGCTGACTGGAGTGTACTGTATGGGGCTGACTGGAGTGTACTGTATGGGGCTGACTGGATTGTACTGTATGGGGCTGACTGGAGTGTACTGTATGGGGCTGACTGGAGTGTACTGTATGGGGCTGACTGGAGTGTACTGTATGGGGCTGACTGGATTGAACTGTATGGGGCTGACTGGAGGGGCTGACTGGAGTATACTGTATGGGGCTGACTGGTGAAAGTTGTATTTAGAAATTGGACATGAAGCAAAGCGGAGACCACTTCTGACCATGTTACAGTTGTTTTGCCAATCTGAATAAAATGACACATGGGCTAGATACATGTACCAGGATGGCCGAGTGGTTAAGGCGTTGGACTTAAGATCCAATGGACAGTAGTCCTCGTGGGTTCGAACCCCACTCCTGGTAGGGAGTTGAATACTATTGTGACTTTGAATCTTATTACACATGGATGGACTGATGAACACTAAATTCCAGAGTATATATTTGGTTTCAAATAAGAAAAAATGCAATAAAGCAATATATATCCTGCTTTGAGCAATGCAAAGCAGGATATAGCATGTACAAAAATGGATGCGTTGGATGTTCTACAGAAGAAGACGGAATCTGTTTTTTTGCTGCTATATATACCAGGATTGCCCGAGTGGTTAAGGCGTTGGACCTTAGATCTGATGGAAAGTAGTCCTTGTGCCTTCGTACCCCACTCCTGGTAGCTTCAGAATGACATAATATCAGGGCAGTTGTAGCCTGGTTTTTCCCATAACTTCGTACTAAGTCTGGATCTGCTCAATTGAGCTCTTTTATTAGGTTAACTCCTTTTGCAGATTGAAACGATTGGATCTGAGTTGGCCGTGGCGTATGTAATGCGCTCGAGTGAGTGAGGCATTTAACATTTAGCCTAGATGCTAGGCTAAATGGTAAATGCCTTTGCCACTATACAGGGTCTGTGTAGAGTAGAGCATCTTTGCCAGCATTTAAATTTATAAACATTTCTTTTGCTCCGGCTTCAATACCCTGATATTTGGGAGCAGAACCAGAACGGATTACTTTACTATCGCATTCGCTGCCTTTGCCAAACTACAACCGGCAGATTTGGCGCAAACTGTTGATGTCACCGACACCTTCCTACAACACCCAGCTTCCCCCACTTGCTGGATGGTCGGAGGGGATACATCCGAGGGAACCACAGTCATTATTTCCCTACATGTATGTCAACCACAGACGTACATGTAGGGAAATAATAATTGACCAGCGTTTACAGATGGTAAAGGCCAGACAAGGGCAGTTGGAACAAACACAAAGTTTACATTGTCATAGAATTGACCCAATTCACTTAACTATTTGGCTTTATCGCCTCCACTCCTTTAAACACGTTCTTATAAAATGTTCTCTCTAAAATCCCATATAATTGATACAGCGCTTTAGAGCATGTTTTTTGGTGCATTCATTTCAGTAACAGCACAGACGGACTACTGCGGCGGCAGATTTAGCGCTACATGTGTTCCTCGCTTATCACTTCCATGTGTGAAACAGAAAAGCCGTAAATACATGATTGTTACATAACACACACAATGGGGGCAGTGTGGGATGTATGGATTTTATTGGAGAAATTATTCAAAACGTTTATTGTTGGAATTCAGGCCATTTTTAGCCGACTAAACATGTTTTTGCCCAGTATAGATGGATTGCAATAGTACGGTCCTATTATTCTTAACACAATATTTCATACAAATGTCTAGGTATATATTTAGTTATATTTAGAAAGTTCATTATGTCTATGAACTTAAAGATCATTTTAGTCTTGATAACGATCTTCTCTTAAGTGTAAAGAATCTAGTACTGTTTTAAGTCCCAAAAGGCAAACTCAAATGCAACTAGACAGAAGATTCAAGCTTCAAGAATTTCTTTGCCATTTGCAGTAAAACCACATTGGCAGATGATCTATCTCCAGCAAATACATATTAAACATGATAGAAACATACATTGCCAAATTCATAAGCTCCCACCTCATATTCCTAAATTCACCATATACAGTTCTTGCACATATCTTTAAGAAACGTCTCTCCTTTTTTCATTCAAATCTCTAAATTCAGGAATGAATCTAATTAAACACAAGGTCAACTCGCTGCTACAGGCTCCTACTATTTACCATAACAATTACTACCACATCCCCAAGGCACGAAACCTCACACACAGCTCCCCCTGCAGTAACTGGAGCAGGGCACTTCTGACAATGCAGCTCTTTATATGTCTCTCTGTAGTATTTCCTCGAGGATTTGTATTTCATCAAAAGCAAAAAAAATATGTCAAGCTTCAAGTAAATTTACAGCCGTGCATTTTCACTGGTGATTATGTTGATAAAAATTCATGTAATGTTGTAAATTGGTAGTAGTAGTAGTGGCAGGCAGCACAGTAGCAGTAGTAGTAGTAGTGGTAGTAGCAGCAGCGGCAGTAGCAGCAGAACCCGCAGTAGTAGTCACAGTAGCAGGAGCAGTAGGAGCAGCAGCAGCAGTAGTAGTCGCAGTAGCAGTAGCAGCAGCAGCAGTAGCAGCAGCAGCAGTAGTAGTTGCAGGAGCAGTAGGAGCAGCAGCAGCAGTAGTGGTAGTCGCAGTAGCAGCGGTAGTAGCAGCAGCAGTAACAGTAGCAGCAGCAGCAGCAGTAGCAGGAGCAGTAGCAGCAGCAGCAGTAGTAGCAGCAGCAGTAACAGTAGCAGCAGCAGCAGCAGTAGCAGGAGCAGTAGCAGCAGCAGCAGTAGTAGCAGCAGCAGTAACAGTAGCGGCGGCAGCAGCAGTAGCAGGAGCAGTAGCAGCAGCAGCAGTAGTAGCAGCAGCAGTAACAGTAGTGGCGGCAGCAGCAGCAGCAGTAGCAGGAGCAGTAGCATTAGCAGCAGCAGCAGTAACTGTAGTAGCAGCAGCAGCAGCAGCAGTAACAGTAGTAGTAGCAGCAGTAGTAGTAGCAGCAGTAGTAACAGTAGCAGCAGCAGAAGCAGCAGTAGCAGGAGCAGTAGCAGCAGCAGCAGTAACTGTAGCAGCAGCAGCAGTAACAGTAGTAGTAGCAGCAGTAGTAGCAGCAGTAGTAACAGTAGCAGCAGCAGAAGCAGCAGTAGCAGGAGCAGTAGCAGGAGCAGTAGCAGCAGCAGCAGTAGCAGTAGCAGCAGCAGCAGTAGTAGCAGCAGCAGCAGCAGCAGTAGCAGGAGCAGTAGCAGGAGCAGTAGCAGGAGTAGTAGCAGGAGTAGTAGCAGCATTGGCACAAGAATAGTACTGTAAAAAAAGATTGATTGTACTTTTAACTATCCACTTCTTTGCTCTATTAGACCTATTACTTTTACTTGAGTACATACAAACATTTATTGGCCTCTGGTAATTCTGCTTTTACACCGCAGCAACAACGCCTAATGTGTCAGATGACGGAGATATTCATTATTGAAACAAAGTCCAAATACAAATGTACCTCTAGTCTTACAGATCTCTTTGGCTACATGAGGTTTGGAAAGGTTTGGAAACCAGTTGTGATTAAATGACACCTCCATTTTAAGCAATTTTCCATCTATATTTGACACTGCAGTGAGAGTGCAGTTGGACCTGTGTGGGTAAAAAGCAGAGGAAGTGAAGTTGCCCCGCAGAGCCTCTCAGACTCCATTACACGCTGCTTCATTACCGAAACAATCCTCCACACAATTAGAAGTTAAAAATGTAACAGGCAAAACTTTGGATGGCTTTGAAGTACGGTAAAAGAGGGGAGAATACTGCACACACTTTTTTGTATGTTTTTATATGTTTTTCATATTTAAAATTTGGAGCTTGTCCTTCGTAGTTTTGAACTGTGTGTCTGTTCATTGCACTGTGCCATTCAAATAAATAAATACAATTATAAGTAAAATTAAACAGAATTTTGGTGATAATTCTTTTGATTTATCAGTTAGTTTTCTGACTTTTTGCACTCCCCGAGTGATACTATTTATGCCCAATGTGACAGGTAAATTTCCCCATTGTGAGATTAATAAAGTCTATCTTATCTTATCTTATCTTAGTTGTGAAGTGGTTTCTCAAACTTGCCAGCGCTCAGAACAGGCATGTCAAACTTGTCAAACAATCCAGCCGCAACATCATTTTTAGAGTAATTACAAAATGTCATATATTAAACCGTTTTAACATTGAATATGTCATTTATATTTGGTCAATTTTTGCTTAAATATAAACAAACACGCTTTTTGTCATCAGGAAAATCTACCAGACAATAATGGTAAAACTCATGTCACATCAAAGAAATGTCCAAATACCTTCAAAAACAAATATAAGAAAATTCCTTCCAGTCTTTCAACCAATCAGCCCTTGACCAAATTTAGTTTGACAAAAAAATCTCAGCTAAATAAGCAGTACTAGCTCAGAAGAGAGATATTATGCAATTCATTTTTTCTGTTTAAAAAATAAAATAAATATTGTCACAGTCTCTCCTGGAGACACCGAACTGAATGATTTTGTTGAACTTCTAAAACTAAATGTTTGTCCTTCAAAATATATTGTAATGGGTGCACCTGGGTGTTCTTTGCTTCTGCTCTAATGATAATAAATACACTGAAACTGAAGATTCATCCATCCATCCATCCATCCATTTTCTACCCTTTAATCCATTTCTGGGTCAGGGGGGTGGCAGTCAGAGATGCCACCCAAGTCTCATAGCACCAGCCCCTCACTGACCCTCTGCAGGTGGTGAGTCCACAGGAGGACAGCTGCTCTCTGAGTGTGAGCATAGCCTTGATCTTTCAGTGGGGGCTTTGGGCAAAGTGGGGTTAAGTGTCTTGCCCAAGGACACAACGACAGCAGTCATCAGTGGGAGTCGGTGGAGAAGGTGCAGAGGTGGGAATTGAACCCACAACCTTCAGGCCTGAAAGCCAATGCTATACCAACTGAGCTACTGTCGCCCCCACTGAAGATTCAGATTCTGTTTATTTGCCATTTGCAGTAAAAAAAAACACATTGGAATACATTAGCAAACGTCACCAGTGTGCACAGACAAATACAGACAAAAAACAACATTAAAAATACGGAAATAAAACAAATAAAACAGTAAACAAATGTCACTGTGAAATCGATCGGCTAAAACAGTTTCAAAACAAGTGCAAATCATTAAAGTGCTCTGTTCTGATAACAGCTTGTGGATAAAAACTGTTAGCGTAACGAGATGTCCTGCATCTCAGAGAGCGATATCTTCTGCCAGAGGGAAGAAGCTGGAACATGGCTCTTCCAGGGTGGCCAGAATGAAGCTTCTTTACACGTTTTGTCTCATTAAAAGAATCTTCTAAGCCTTAATAATAAGAAGACACAGTAAACCTAACCCTCATTATTATTATCATCATTATAATGAGTTGTGTTTTGGGTTCAATTTTGTGCCATAAAAAAGAGGCAGTTTCTTTGGATTGTATCATGTTCTGAATCAATGTCAGTGCTTTTTGTTCTTTTAGCATATAATCAATCAACAAACTAATGTAAGACCAAAACCTGCAGAAAAAGCTTCACCAGAGCCTGATTTCTGTTCTAGTCTGGGGCGGCTCTTTCAGTGAGGACAGAGGAGACTGCATCTTTTTCTCTGTCAATATAAAATCAACAGAATGCTGCAAAGTCCAATTAACCGTTTTTGATTACGCCGCTGACTCCGCGTCTCTGCAGCTGCCAACAGAAACAAACAGAGTCTATGTAGATTTATGTGCGGAAATCTGATCTCAACTAGTCCAAAGTGATAAATATTGATAATTTGGGAATATTGTGGTGTCTGTTTTTGTCTGTTTTGTTTTTGTTTGTTTGTAAGTCAAGTTAATACTTTCATGGCAGTAATCTGTGTCACTTTACACACCCCCATGTTGCTAACATCAGATGTTTACATACAATTATATATTTATTGCACTAGAACACACAGTATTTTATTATTGCTTCTTTGTTATTTGGAAAAGGTTGAAAGTGGAACTTGGCCTCAGAAAACCCTCTTGTCTCCTGAGCTGTGGACGTGACTTCATTTGAGTTTAAGTTTAGCAGAAAATATGGACCAAAACTCCAGACTCTGAAAAGCAGAGAAAAAGAGACAGAGAGAGATACAGATTAAAAGAGACAAGAGAAAGAGCAGTTTTCTGCATTAGAAAAAAACCATGTCTGTGTTTGTGGCTGTTGACGTTTCGATCTACCGAACTACTAGAGCAGAATATATCTAAATTCCAGACTCCGAAAAGGAGAGAATGAATGAGAGAGAGAGAGAAAGCCTGTTTTACCCTTCATACTTGTCTTACCATATATTTTATTAACTTATGATACAATTTTACATTCACAAACCTGAAGAAACAAAGTAAATAGTCTCAAAGTAAATAGTCTCATTATGTTTTATATCTTCATTCTTCTTTAACGTTGTGGCACTTATGGGTCTTTCTCTTCTGGTCATTACTCCAAAGTTGTCAATCTTTCATAATAATGATATTATTATCAGACATTTATGTGGAGTGAGAAAGATGTGATGTGATGTCCAAATAGAACTAAATGTCTTCATTCTTACATTACGATTATATAAATAAATAAAAAATACTTACAATATAAAAATTTAGGCAAACGTTGTGTAGCCAAGTCGCTGTAAAGAAAGTGTCCTGGATTCAGCTAATGTGTAAAATCTGCCATTGTTATTGTTTAAACAGTATTTTCTACTTTACAAATAATTTACCATTTTCTAATCATGATATTTCAAAGTAATTATTTTTTAGATAATGTTAAAAATTAGCAGAGAGGATACGACTTATTTGTCGTCTTTAAAATCACTCAGTCTTGATCTTATCTCGCCTCACGCTTGTGGTTAAAATTGCAGCTTTCTTTCCCTGTTGCTGCAGAAGGATGCTTGTCTCCGATGGCAACAGCAGAGTCTCTGTTCCTTAGCAACACCGCCTCCTCCGTCCTCTCCATCCGTCCACATTATATTTATACTGCAGCGACAAGTGAAGGGGATCTCCTCCTACAGCCAGGAAGACTCAAGGAATATGCGAGGGGAATACATGGGAAAGTCAATTTAAATACATGTATTTTGTATCGACCTAAATCACAACAGTAGTTTTCTCAGAGGACTTATCAAAATTGTTGAATTCAACATTACAAATCAGAGAATCAAACTAATGTGGGCCTGCCCGAGGTTTCTCACTTTTTTCCTACTGGGTTTTTTGAGTTGTTCTTTACAGATGCGGTAGGGTCTAAGGACAGTGGTGATGATCCAGGACGGTCGACATATACAGGTTTTTTTCAGTTGCTTTGGTGCATTTCTCACATCACTATTAAAGTATTGCATTTCTCAGAACAATTAGTACAAACTGCAAAACCTCTTGGAAAAACTGCAAAAGTGTGTCACATGCTCAAAATGAAAAGCAAGTATTCTTGTCAATGAAACTGTCTGTGTCTCAAAAGAAAGTGCTGACACCAGTGTTTATGAACAAGAGTCACATGGCTTAGTCATGTTTTCATTGTGAAGTTTACTCTATGTTTTCCAACGCAAAAAAGTCAGATCTACCTGAAAATGCTCAAGGCAGCACTATACACTGTGCAGCTGAACACGACAGTAAAGTTAAACATGACTGTATTTAGTGATGTAACTGAGTACAAGACACATGTGTATTTCACATATTTACTGTGTATGCTCTTTGCAGTTCTACAGCACTGTGCAAAAAATACACAGTCACTTACTTTAGAACAAACAACAACAACCATTACGGTAGAACTGTGCACAGCTGGACTGTCGTTTCATAAACACTGGTGTCAGGACTCATTATGCCACAGACAGTTTCACTGACATGTAGACTTGCTTTTGAGGAGTAAACTTTTCATGTTGAGCAAGTGACACAGTTTTGCAGGTTTTCCACTTGGTTTTGCAGTGTGTTGTGTTGACAGTATCCTCTGAGGACACGTCTTTGAACCTCACAGTTTCTCAGTGTCCTGCTGCGAAACACAAATGTCACTTGTCGAAGTCACTCTGTCCGTGTGAGAGCATCATCTATGCATCGACCCGTGCAGCCGTCCACTAATTCCCAGACTGCTGCTCTGTCATGTGTCAGGGCCTGGTTAGAACTGTGATGGGAGACCGCTGTGATTGTCATGAAGTGGATTCATAAAAGCAACCCAAAATACAGTGTGTCATTCATGGAGATGGATAGATACATACATACATGCATAGATACATACATACATAGACAGATAGATAGATCCCTTAGATCAATCCAACAACTGCAGCTCATTAAAAATATCTCTGGCTTAAAAAGATCTCACAATACATACAATTCATTTCAATTCAATGCATTTTTATCTTATCTTATTTTAAATATCCTGGACCATCACTGTTCTCATCGACTAGAAAGAAAACTTGCAACTGACAGGCTCTAGACCCAGGACTGAGACTGTAGATCCAGGACTGAGGCTGTAGATCCAGGACAGAGGCTGTAGATCCAGGACTGAGGCTTTAGATCCAGGACTGAGGCTGTAGATCCAGGACTGAGGCTGTAGATCCAGGACTGAGGCTGTAGATCCAGGACTGAGGCTGTAGATCCAGGACAGAGGCTGTAGATCCAGGACTGAGGCTTTAGACCCAGGACTGAGGCTGTAGATCCAGGACTGAGGCTGTAGATCCAGGACTGAGGCTGTAAATTATCTGTAAATTATCTCAGTTGACTCGAGAATCCTTACACTTTCTTCCCTCCACAGTCTGGTGCTGTCATATATTTCCGACTTGGTTTCCTCTAGATGTAACAGACATTTCTCCAGTGACAGTGGTGGTTGTGTTGCAGGTGGTGAGGGACCAGATCTCCCACTGCACCGTGAAGCTGCGTCAGACCACCGGACTCATGGAGTACTGTCTGGAGGTGATCAAGGAGAACGACCCCAGCGGATTCCTACAGATCTCGGACGCCCTGATCCGCCGGGTGCACATGACCGAGGGGCAGTGGGGGAAGGGCACGCTGACCCCGCGCATGAGCAGTGACTTTGACCTGACGCTGGACAGTGGGCCCCTGCTGCAGACCATCCACCAGCTCGACTTTGTGCAGATGAAAGGTCTGACCCTCACTGTCTTTGTTTCATTTTGTAAGCCGTGCCACTTAAATTTGAAAACAAAATCTATTGTGTCCACGTATAGGGCACATTGAATATAAGTATTGTATTGTAGCGAGTGTCAACTGGTCACAACAGAATTTAATGAAGATGTGTTTAGCAGTTTAACCGTTAGCTAAGCTTCCATGACTCACTGTCTAGTGTTTTAACAAGTGTCCTGTAGCTACTAAAACTTGATGGAATTAGAATAAAAAGTCCATACACTCTACTCTGACAACTCACTATTTGCCACAGGGTTCAAAGTCGCACAAAAAGGTTTTGGTGTGTGCTTGTATAAGGTTGTGTGTCTTAGGGAGGGTGTACGCAAGGTGGTGTGTGTGTGCAGCAGTAGTAAGTACATAAGGTATGCCATAGATATCTCATTTGGTATGCATGTGTGCGTTTCTGTGTGTGTGTGTGTTTATGTATGTACTGTAAGGTGAGCGTGTGTGGTGTGTATGTGTGTGTAAGCAGTTGTAAGTGAATAGTTTGTCACCTCTCTGCTCCTCGTGGTGTGCGTGTGTCTATATGTGTTTAATATAAGCAGTAGTAAGTGTGTAGTGCGACACCTCTCTGCTCCTCATGCGGTGTGTGTGTGTGTGTAGGTGTGTGTGTGTGTGTGTGTGTAATATAAGCATTAGTAGGTAGAAAGTGCGTGTAAAAGCCTCCTCTCTCCTCAGTCCCCGCGGCCCCGATGCTGCAGCTGGAGGAGTGCTGCACTCAGAACAACAGTGCTACGTTGTCGTGGAAACAGCCTCCCCTGTCAACGGTCGCCGTGGAGGGATACATCTTGGAGCTGGACGACGGCGGCGGCGGACCCTTCAGGGTAACAGTCCACTCTGACACTAGTCCTACTTTTTACCAATACATCATTTGGGTTTCTCGCTAAAAATATCCTGTAATTATCCTGTAAGTGAAATTTGTGAAGTAGCAGCTGTGTGTTTTAAGGCTGTAAAACTCTTCACACACACTTTATACACTTTTCCAGAGAGAGAAACTAGAGAGACTGAGTGAATGGATGGTATTGGTTGGAGGCGTGTTCGGCGTCTCGCTTCTGTCATCACCGTGTGGATAGAATGGCAAAATATCTGATTTCTGAACATTGTAAAGTGCTTTGGGTGACATTGGTCTGTAAAATAATCTATATAAATAAACATTACTTACTTACAGGAGAGAAACCAGAGAGACAGACCAGAGAGAGACTAGAGAGAGACTAGAGAGAGAGAGAGATACAGACAAGAAGGAGAAAGGCCCGAGAGAGAGATCAGAGGGATAGAACAGAGAAAGACCAGAGAGAGACCAGAGAGTGACCTAGTAGGTGCACGCAAGGCACCTACTGACATTAAATATTTTGATGCTTTAGGCTGAGAGCTGACTGGGGTGGTCCTCTCTTTTTTACGTTTTTTGTCTGAAAAAGCTGATCTAAAGATGTTTCAGAGGCCAGAAATATATGCATATTGTGTGCTTTTAGAGAGAGGGACGAAATAAATAGATTTTATTACATTGATTCATTTCTTGTGATTTGATACCCCAGCTTAAAAGGACTTTAAAATTGTTGTGCAATCAACTCAATTTTGGTTTTACCCTAAGTCACAACAGCAAAACTGACCTCTCTCTCTGGTCTTTCTCTCTGGTCTCTCTCTCTGGCGGTTCTCTGGTCGTTCTCTGGTTTCTCTCTCTCTCTGGCCTCCTTTGGTCTTTCTCTGCCCTCTCTCTCTCTCTCTCTTTCTGACCCCTCTCTGATCTCTCTCTGGTCTCTCTCTCTCTGGCCTTTCTCTCTAGTCTCTCTCTCTCTCTGTTCTCTCTCTCTCTCTGGCCTTTCTCTCTAGTCTCTCTCTCTCTCTGTTCTCTCTCTCTCTCTGGCCTTTCTCTCAAGCCTCTCTCTGGCCTCTCTCTGTGGCCTCTCTCTCTGGCCTCTCTCTCTGGCCTATCTCTCTGGCCTCTCTCTCTGGCCTATCTCTCTGGCCTCTCTCTCTGGCCTATCTCTCTGGTCTCTCTCTAGTCTCTCTCTCTCTGGCCACTATCTGGCCTCTCTCTTGTCTCTCTGGTCTCTCTCTCTCTTGTCTCTCTCTCTCTGGTCCCTCTCTTGCACTTGAGAATCAGCTCACTCCAGCCTCCACAAACCTGCTCCTGAATGCGTAGCTTGGCCCCCGGCTCGGATCAGTGGAAGATAGCGGTTTCAGATGTCCGACAGAAGCGTTCTGTGCGGTAGACAGCTGTGGCATCAAAGACCCTCCCTGAACCGAGCGGTGAAATCCATCCTCCGCCTCAGCCTCCTCTGCGCTCAATATAGGCCCCACTGCTTTGTCACCGCTGCTACCTAAAGCTCGGACACAATGGGGCCTCACAAAGACAGGGGAAACGGGACACGCCAGGTTTAAATGGGCAGAGAAAGTCCCTCCACGTGTGTGTTGCCAGTGACTGTGCGACTGCAACTGGTTTGTTGTCAGAGAAACAGTGAAATTCAAATCTTTTAAACAACAATTTATCAGATTTTTTTTAAAGCTGTATTTTAAAACTTATCACAACAGCAAATCTGGCCTCTCTTTCTGGCCTCTCTCTGGTGTCTCTCTTTAATCTCTCTCTGGTCTCTCTCTCTGGTTTCTCTCTCTGGTCTCTCTCTCTGGTCTCTCTCTGGTCTCTCTCTGGTCTCTCTCTGGTCTCTCTCTGGTAGGTCTCTGGTATCTCTCTCTGGTCTTTCTCTAGCCTCTTTCTCTGGTCTTTTGGTGGTGGTCAGAGGGACCGATGGCAAATACTGGTTGCCTCGCTTCTGTCAGTGTGCTCCAGGGCAGCTGTGGCTACAGTAGTAGTTTATCACCACCGTTTTTGGAGTGAATGAATAATGACATGTAAAGCATCTATGAGTGTCCAAAAAAGCGCTATATAAAACCGATGCATTGTTATTATTACTATTATTATTCACTCTCTGGTCTCTCTCTGGTCTCTCTCTGGTCTCTCTCTCTCTGGCCTCTCTCTGGCTTCTCTATCTCTGTTTTCTCTCTAGTCTCGCTCTCTGGTCTCTCTCTTGTCTCTCTCTCTGGTCTCTCTCTCTGGTCTCTCTCTGGCCTCTCTCTCTGGTCATTCATACACTCTCTCCATGTCAACTAAATACATCAGAATCAATTAAAAATTGAGATCCAAACCTCGAGGAAAACAACGTAATATTTCATTGCCACTGTTCATTTGTTGTACAGATTGACACAGTGCTGAGAAACAACAGCTCAACACACAACAATGCACCGCTGCTAATTATCCACGAGCCGAGGCCAAAGCAGACGAGCTAAAAGTAGCATCTGGCTCAAGGGAGGGCTCTCAAACGGTGGTGCAGGGACCTGGAGTGGTGCGCAGAGGTCGTATGGGTCTATGGTTTTGATTTAAAGATGTGATAGACAGAAAACATGAGGCCAAAAAACAAATCATGGCAATGTTATGCTAATACTGTATACTGTATATGTTATTATCTCTGGTCGCTCCTTGGTCTCTTTCTTGCCTCTCTCTGATCTCTCACTCTCTCTCTCTCTGGTCTCTCTATCTGGTATCTCTCTCTGGTCTCTCTCTCTCCGGTCTCTCTCTCTGGTCTCTCTCTCTCTGGTCTCTCTCTTACCTCTCTCTGGTCTCTCTCTCTGGTCTCTCTCTCTGATCTCTCTCTGATCTCTCTCTGGTCTCTCTCTCTGATCTCTCTCTCTCTGGTGTCTCTTGTATATCTCTTTCTGGTCTCTCTCTGGTCCCAATAAAGGATTAATTTAAAAAGTGGCTAAGACATCATCGATCGACTGAATCCAAACGCCTCCTGTCCAGTCCTGGATGATATTTCTCAGTTTCCTGTCTTCGTCAGCACAGACCTACGATGTCTCTGTGTCTAATAATAAACAGAGTGGGAGGATTCCTACTCCACTCCCACATGCTCACTGGGAAGTACGAACCGGAAGCTGCAGCTGCCAAAACCAGGCTGGATACAGTGTATGTGTGTGTGTGTGTGTGTGTGTGTGTGTGTGTGTGTGTGTGTGTGTGTGCGTGCGTGTGTGGGTGTGTGTGTGTGTGTGTGTGTATGATTCTGCTTAGGGAGAGAGAGTAGCTTCAAACATAAGTGTGGTTGTAATTGTTCTATTCATTCTTTTGTGTGTTCTTAAGCCAGACACTTCAGTCATTGTGTGTGTCTGTATGAATGAGTGAGTGATAATGATGGATGGGGATTGGCAGCCAAGTTTACACACCCGGCCACAGATGTTTGTTGTTTTTGACCTGTTTTCCCATCATTGTTGTGTTAAGTCATGTGGTCAAATAAATGTGTTTTCCACTTGGGAATATTACTCTCAAATTTGTATTTACTTGATTTCTTTCTCATGGGAGATGTACTGCATAAGTGACAGTGTGTGTGTCTGTGTCTGTCTGTGTGTGTGTGTGCGATGTATAGGTGGCAGTATGAACAGTGTGTGTGTCTGTGTCTGTCTGTGTGTGTGTGTGCGTGTGTGCATACTGTATGTGTGTGTATGCGTTTGCTATGTAAGGGCACATGTCTGGTTAGGAATATTTAGTTTTTTTGCAATGTATTTTCTTTTCTTTTTACCTATTTTTGTGCCAAAACCTATTCCTAGGTAAAACTTCATTGGGGGCCTATATATACTAGGCAGGAAAAAAGTGAGACCAAATGTGAAACACCATGGGGCGATATTACAGTTATTACATTATTGTAATTAATTAATTAGTTTTTATTTCAAGAACTGTTGCTTTGTTCTCATTCCAAGGGAGACATTTCTTGAATCTTTTTCCGACGAGGTAATTTGGCTCATTGTCCCATTGGCAGATCTTGTTTAACACAGAATTTGAAGAATTTTTGACTTATTTTTCATCACTTTTCGCAGTGTATATATTTTTGTCAAGTTGATTCATGTGAAATTGTGCAGATTCGACATGGTTAATCTGACTGGAGCTCCATCTCTTTGCAGGAGGTGTACGTGGGCCCAGAGAGCATCTGCACAGTGGACGGTCTTCACTTCAACAGCACCTACAAGTCCAGAGTGAAGGCCTTCAACAGCAGCGGAGTGGGACAGTACAGCAAGACCCTCCTCATGCACACGTCAGAAGGTACACAAACAGAAATAAACTGATATCAAAGCTGGGGTATCTACAGTTTTTGGTTCATAAATATACTCTATACAGAAATAGTAAAAGTAAAAGTTTGTGAATGAGCTGAGAGCTGATAGATGTAACGGAGGCCAAAAATGTAAAAACTAGTACTGGCTTTTGAGAGAAGTTGGATGGATTTTGTCACATAGTTAAATTTGATTGTGGTTGTGAATGTTAGGTACCCCAGCTTTAAGTATTTCAAGACATTTCCCTTGTGTAGTGCTATAGTTTGTTTAACTTGTGGTCTGTGTTAAATAAGTTAAGATATCTTTATTAGCGGAGGTGGGTAGAGCAGCCAGACTAAGGACTCAAACTGGAGGACTGCTGTCACATTAGCATAGGAAATCGTGTCTGCTTTCTACCCACCTCTCTGTATAAGTTTTAGCAATTATGGAGTAAGTTTTAATAGTATACTTGGATAATTCACATACTTTTTCCTCAACAGCCAGAACTCAAGGATGTGGAGGGCAATTATACATTCAAAATAAACACACAGTTTCTCATGTGATTCTACGACTTTGTAATCTTCACTTACCCATTATACCTGCTCATCTAAGTCTCATTCTAAGTTTATGGATAAGATGCGGATGAAGATTTGAAGATGTTTTAGAGTTTTTTTGGAACATAAAAAGACTGCGTTCATGGGATAGACCCTATTTTAATGTATACAGGGGCTTCTATACCCTCTTGTATACTATAAATTAGCTCTAATAAAAATAAAAACATCTCACTTTTGACTCTTACTATAGCTTCTAGCAGTGGCGGATGGTGGAATTTTCTACTGGGTGGGCTATGAATATGATGACTAGATATATACCAGCAGTAAGTAAGTTTACACTGACTGTTGTGACTGAAGCCTCACACGAGAATGAAATATTTATCTTCCCAAACATAGCTAATTTGAGGGCATTTTGCATGTGGATACCAGTCTGCTCATGCTTCTTTGCCTTTTCTAAAAAGTGCTTCAGATCAGTCATACCTGTCTTGATCCATGCTGGGTCAGATCCTGATGTTTGAAACAAGAGGCATGGAAAGCAAAATAAAGCATTAGCCTCGCTACATGCTGCTAGCCAAGATTTGGCGATGAACCAGGTCCTGGAAAAAGTACGAGTGTACCGTCTCCCCCTATCGCTGGACTGCTGACTAATGGTAATATTTGGCTGATCAGGTCCAAGCTCTTTAACCTCAACCTTCTCCTGGTATGATCTTCTCTCAAACGGTATTGTTTTGAGTGATCTAACTGAATTATTCTTTTTCTCGTTCTCCATTTTGCGTCTCTTTACGTTCGTCTCAAACTCCCACAGCTTGACCTGTCAATCACTGTAAACGGACGTCACAGACAGTGACAGTACAGGTCGCGGGCGATCCCGCCCCCTCAGGGCGCACTTCTCCTGCGCCCCCAAATCGTCTTATCTCTTGCATTGAAGAGGAGCTACTGCGCATGTACAACTTTTAACGAGAGTCCATAGACGGCTCAGGGCGCAATCTTTTGCGCCCTGAGGCGGAAATACGTCCTCAGTCCGACACAGACAACGCTGATGAGCTTAATCAATCCAACTCAGCATAAACTATAAAGTATTTCTTCCACATCTGAAATAAAACACACATACATTTCGAAATATTTTAATGTTATTATTTTTTTTAACGTTTTATTCAAGGTAACATGGCAAGTTGTGAGTGGTGGGGCGGCGCCCTAGCGCCCTCTATTGGCCGGCCGCCACTGGCTTCTAGCAAACATTTCTCCACCACAATGCTAAATTATTGGGTATTTGGGATGTTGTGATGTCACATGAACGCAACCTATTCTTGTTTTAACGTCTTTTTTAGCCTAATTCCGCTGCTTTGCTTTGGCTTCTCCCCCTCTCTCTCCCTTCTTCCCTTTATTTCAGCTGGACTGGCTCCCTGTGATATCCAGTCTATAGGTCCAGGTATGACGCCTCTCTCGCTCTCCCGCTTTCTCTTCCTCTATCTCCATCTCTTCCTCTCTCTTCCTCTCTCTCCCTCTCTCTCTCACACACTCTACCTCTCTCTCTATCTCTCCCTCTCTCAAGTTCTCTCCTTCTCTCCCTCTCTACATCCCCCAATAGAACCATCTCATTCACTGCTGCTGCTGTTCTCACTGTTATTAAACCGATGGGAAATAAAACACTATTATTGCAGTGTGTTTGTGTGTGTGTGTGTGTGTGTGTCAGAGAGAGAGATTGATACAAGCGATGCAGCCTATGTGATGCTAACAGTGTGTGTCTCTACTCTAGTGTAAGAAACACAATCAAAATTAGGTGGATTTTTTTGTACTACTCTCCACTACTCTGGAGTCATGTTGCAAAAATGGACCAGTTAATTTTGTTGGTTGATAAATTTTATAGATGCATAAGTTTAAGTATCTAAGTAAGTAATATTGTATTTGTATTGTGCATTTAAGCTGTTGTGTAAATGTAATGTTGAATAGCTTTGCAAGATGGCTACCAGTGTCAATGGTCACAATTGTAACCATATATATGTTATGTTTTTGTATATGCGTCAATTATTGCTTAAAGCCTCATTATAACATTGGTAGTCTACTGCAAGCTGTTGGACAAATATTTAATAATCTTATAATTAAGTTTGAAGGTAATAGAGTAAGTAATGAACATGAGATACAAAAATATTTCCATTCATTTTCATCAACTCAGTCATTACATATAGGTGTTGTTTATGTTTTTATTGTTATAAGATGAACAAAAACCAGAAGACAGGTTTCACCAGGCCAGAATTATTTTGCAAAGTAGATTCCTGACTCAAAAAATTCACAAGCTTAGTCTGTATTTGTATTGTATTGGAGTGAATGTGTTTTAGCAGACACCAATCTCTCGTAGCAACCACTTAGCAACCAAAGAGCCAATCAGTCGGTTTGATCCTGCTTGCGTTATTCTTTAGCTAAAGCAGAATTCAGGGATAGAGAGATAGATAGATAGATACTTTATTGATCCCATGGGAGCTGTAAAATATATCACTGCTACTTGGTACATAACCACCGCGAGCATGAAGGAACCACAGTATAACCAACCATTTTCATTCATAGCTCCTTCCCTCCATCGCCCATCTCTCCATTACACCGTCATGTCCCAGACACCTCACTAACCGCATTCCGCCTTGCTCCACAGTGGCCTGGTTCACTTTCGACCCCGCCTCGGCTCACCCCGACATCCTCTTCTCCAACGACAACCTGACCGTGACGTGTAGCAGCTACGACGACCGCGTGGTCATGGGCAACGCCGCATTCTCCCGTGGCGTGCACTACTGGGAGATGACCCTCGACCGCTACGACAATCACCCGGACCCGGCCTTCGGTATCGCTCGAGGGGACGCTCTCAAAGACGTGATGCTGGGGAAGGACGACAAAGCCTGGGCCATGTATGTGGACAACAACCGGTCCTGGTTCATGCACAACAACTCGCACACAAACAGGTAAGGACACGGCGTGAAGAAAGACCGGAGGAGAGGACGCCGGTTCAGTTCACTCTGGTTTAGAATAGCGGTGTCACGAATGCAGACCAAATGTGGGAATTCAAATACAGGACTACCAAAGAGACAAGATTTCACCCTTTAATTTCCACTTCTTGAAGAAAGCAAAGTACTTTTTATTTTATTTTTTATAAGATGTAGGAGCGAGCGAGAGGAGAGAGGGGAGGAAGAGAGAGAAAGCGAGAGAGAGAGTGAGAAAGGGAACCCCTAGTTTTTTTTATCATAGGCCGTAAAGGTTGAGATGCAGTCTGATGGTAAAAGTGATAGAGAGGCAACAATGAGGTAAATTTCAGTTCCAAGCTTCCAGTCGGTACACAGTCTGACTGACTCAAAAAGCCATTGAAGATTTAGTAAACCAAGCTGAAACCAAGATATAGCTAATTAGTGTAACTTAACCTGAACCTTTCCTAAACCCGAACCCACAGATAAAGGACTCATAAGTACTTAATAAATACAAATGAAAAGCTAATTAACCATGAATTACACTCTAAATACTCTAACTTAATTAGCTGTTAATTAGTGGCTAAACTAATGTGTGCCCTCATGTTTTCTTAGCGCCCTCTGTATTCTTCTTCTTTGTAAACCTCCTCCCTGATGACTCGCGGACATGAATATTAAGTGTACAGGTATGTGTCTGCTCACAGGACAGACGGAGGAGTCTCTAAAGGCTCCACTATCGGAGTTCTGCTGGACTTCACTCGAGGAATCCTCATCTTCCTCATCAACGACGAGCAGCAGGGTCCAGTGGCCTTCGACGGCCTGGAGGGGGCGTACTACCCGGCCATCAGCCTCAACAGGAACGTACAGGTAAAAACTCATTCCAGGACTCAGGCTGTAGATGCTGGACTCAGGCTGTAGATGCTGGACTCAGGCTGTAGACGCTGGACTCAGGCTGTAGACGCTGGACTCAGGCTGTAAGGCAAGGCAAGGCAAGGCAAGTTTATTTATATAGCACAATTCATACACAAGGCAATTCAAAGTGCTGAACAAAACAAGAAAGCATTAAAATCATAAATTATCACAGAACATTAAAAAGAAAGATAAAAATATAAAATCCCTCAGTTGTATGCACAGTTAAACAGAACTGTCTTTAACCTGGTTTTAAACATTGTCAGAGAGGAGGCCTGTCTCACATCTTCAGGAAGACTGTTCCAGATTTTAGCAGCATGAATCTGAAAAGCAGCCTCCCCATGTTTAGTTCTGACTCTGGGCACTAACAGGAGTCCAGTCCCTGTGCTCCTCAGAGTCCGGGCTGGTTCATATGGGACTAACATGTCACTAATATATTTTGGTGCGAGGCTATGGAGAGACTTGTACACAAGCAGAGCTGTTTTAAAGTCTATTCTCTGAGCCACAGGAAGCCAGTGCCGAGACCTGAGAACTGGACTAATATGGTCGTACTTCCTGGTTCTAGTCAGGACTCGAGCTGCTGCATTTTGAATGTACTGCAGCTGTTTTACAGCCTGTTTGGACAGACCTGTGAGCAGGCCATTGCAGTAGTCTAACCTACTGGAGACAAATGCATGGATAAGAATCTCCAGGTCTGCTTTAGACACTATGTTTTTGATCCTGGCAATGTTTTTTAGATGGTAAAAAGCTGCTGATGTTACTGATTTGATGTGGCTATTAAAATTTAAGTCTGAGTCCAGTATTACCCCTAGATTTCTGACCTTGTTTGAAGGTTTTAGGGAGAGAGACTGTAGGTGACAGATGACGCTCTCTCTTTGTTTCTGGGGACCAAAGACAATCATTTCAGTTTTGTCTGCGTTTAGCTGAAGGAAGTTGTTTTGCATCCACTCACTGATCTGTTGGATACAGTGAAGGAGTGAGTCCACTGGTCCATGTTCTCCTGCAGTCAGTGAGACATAGATCTGAGTGTCGTCTGCATAGTTATGATAGGAAACTTCGTTTCTGCGTATTAACTGACCTAACGGCAGCATGTAGAGATTGAACAGAAGAGGTCCCAGGATCGACCCCTGTGGTACTCCACAGGTCAGGGCCATATGATCTGAGACACAGTTTCCAATCTCCACAAAGTACTTCCTGTCCTCAAGGTAAGACCTAAACCAACTTAGGGCGGTGCCAGCGACGCCAACCCAGTCCTCTAGTCTCTGTAAGAGGATCTCATGGTCGACGGTGTCAAAGGCAGCACTTAGATCTAACAAGATTAAGATTGAGACTTTGCCTGCGTCAGTGTTCAGCCGGATATCGTTTGCAACCTTAACGAGAGCAGTCTCAGTGCTGTGGTGGGGTCTAAAGCCGGACTGAAACATATCAAATGAGTTGTTGATTATAAGAAATCTAGTAAGCTGTAGGTAGACAACTTTCTCAAGGACTTTCCCCATAAATGGCAGATTTGAGATGGGACGATAGTTGTTAAGTACCGTAGCATCGAGACTGCTCTTTTTTAGCAGGGGCCTGATGACTGCAGTTTTCAGGGCCTTTGGGAATATTCCAGAATGAAGGGACATGTTTACTATCTGTGTGAGTGAAGGTAACAGACTGCTCAGAACAGACTTCAGAAATCTAGTGGGGTAGTACATCCAAGCTGCATGTGGAGGAGCTCAAACTGGAGATTATCTCTTGGACAGTTTTATCATTTACAGGTGCAAAGTGAGTTAGCTCAGAGAGCCTTTCTGGGCTGTTGGATGGTTATCTGTGGATTGGAGACAATGGCGTTTTTGATGCCTTGAACCTTGTCATTGAAAAAGTGTGCAAACTCATTGCATTTACGTTTGGAAGTAAGCTCTAATGGCATTTGAACAGGGGGGTTTGTTAATCTATTAACTGTTGAGAACAGAACACGCAGATTGTTGCTGCAGCCTTCAATCATTTCAGAAAAATACCTTTCTCTCGTACTACGTAGCACCCGGTTAAACTCGCACAACTTATCTTTGAAGATCTCGTAATCAACCTGGAGGTTGGACTTGCGCCACTTCCGCTCGGCCCTCTGGCACTTTCTCTTTTGTGCCCTGACCGAGTCTGCTTTAGCCCACGGCGCCTTCTGCTTATTTTTCACTATTTTAACCTTCACAGGGGCAACGGTATCCAGAACATTCAAAACACTAGAAGTGACAGAGTTAAACAGTTCATCTACAGTAGAATACGATGCATTCTCAAAGTTTATCATTCCCATAAATAGTTCACTCGTATTTTCATTTATGCGCCTTCTTCGAACAGTTGCAGAGTCCACTGGTGGTTTGTTAGTGAAACACATGTCAAAAAAAACACAGAAATGATCCGAAAGAGCAACATCGACCACGTTTACATTTGAAATATTCACCCCCTTTGTAACTAACAGATCTAGAGTGTGCCCTCTGCTGTGGGTGGGGCCACTTACATGCTGAGTGAGACCAAAAGATTCAAGAACAGAACTCAGCTCATTTGCATTTCTGTCATCAACATTATCCACATGAATATTAAAATCACCTGTAATAACCAAACTATCAAAATCTGTGCATACAACTGAAAGCAACTCGGTAAAATGATCATAAAACTGTGACATGACTGCGGTGGCTTGTATAGGACTATGAAGAGTATTGGAGGAGATTGTTTTTGTTGTATTTTAAAAGACACATATTCAAATGACAAAAACTTCCCAAGAGACATTCTATGGGAGACAAAGTGGTCTCTAAAAATGGCAGCTAAGCCTCCTCCTTTTTTGTTTTCCCGTATTTCAGATTCAAACTTGAAATTTGGTGGTGATGCTTCTATTAAAACTGCATTTTCTGAATTTTGGTCAAGCCAAGTTTCAGCCATGAACATAAGATCAAGATTATGAGAACAAATAAAATTATTGATTAAAAAAGACTTGTTACAAAGAGATCTGACATTAAGCGTAGCAAGTTTCAAAGTTTCAGTATCAGCGGTTGCGGTCGGCTGATTCTTACACGGAACAAGAATTAGATTTTCCAGATTAGACTGATTAACTCCAGATGTTTTTCTGTAATGTATTCTTTGTGTTATCACTAAGGGAATGGCACAGGTGGCTTCATGACAGGGCCCCAGCCAGGTCTCTCCTCTAACTAGACTGCCAGTGGCTGCGAAGCAGAGACCCTGTGCATCCTAGTGTTTAGAGAAAAGAGGGGAAGGGGAAGGCAGGGGAGGAGGATGGAGAGGTGGGTGGCTTTTGGGTGTTGAACGAGGGGGGCAGGGAGGTGGAGGGGTTTTAGGTGATGGGTTAGGGCCGGGGTGGGCTAAGGCAGAGGTTTTGGATGTTGAACGAGGGGGAAGTGGGGGTGGAATGGTCATGAGGTTAGGGGAGGGACTGGCTGAGGTGGTTTTTGTAGGTGAATTGGAAACCCTAGGTGGTTTTGGAGGTACATATGGGGAGTGGTTTAGCATGTTGGACAGGACTCTAGATCGAGCTAATATGGGTGTGAGAGGAATAGTCTTCATCGCCGATTTTATTAGCCCTGCAGAGTGTTCAGGTAGGTCTAACAGTGAAGGCGGGGATGAAAAACAAAGGGAGGTGTTCCCATTCTCTCTTGATGGAGTGGACGTGGCAGGGGGGACCCAAGACAGGTCCATGGGAGGTGGCGAGGGAGTCTTTGATGGAGGGGCAGGTGGTTGAGGAAACCCCAGCACAGGCCCGTCTGCTGTAGGCTGGGGTGAGGATGGGGGCTTCAGAGGCGCTGTAGATGAAGAAGGCGTGGCTGCTTTGGAGCAGGCTGGGGATGAGGATGTTGGTGGTGGTGGTCGTGCTGCTGGTGCTGCTACTGGTGATGATGCAGCTGCTGCTGGTGATGATGCAGCTGCATCTGATGACAGTGGAGGTGTTGAGATCCTTTGAGGCGGTGATGGTGTTGAGATCCTTCGAGGTGGTGGTGGTGTTGAGATCCTTCGAGGCGGTGATGGTGTTGAGATCCTTCGAGGTGGTGGTGGTGTTGAGATCCTTCGAGGTGGTGGTGGTGTTGAGATCCTTCGAGGTGGTGGAGGTGCAGAGACTTTTGGAGTTGGCTTCCTCCCTTTCGATGGCTGCACGCACTGCGCAGGCTGAGGTCTCAGGGCAAAAGAAAGGTTATCCATCAACACTTTTACTCCGTAAGTGTTCAGATGTGGCCCTTTCCCTTCAAAAAGCTCATGCCTATTCCAGAACAGATTAAAATTCTCAATGAAGGCAAGTCCTCTGCGTGAACATTCGTTGAGTAGGAAAGTATTTAGCTGATACAGACGACTGAATTTCATTTGCTTCCCGTCCACATTTGGTAGTGGGCCACTGATAACGATTGTTGTGTCCATTTTAGCAAGGTCGTCCAATAAGAGAGAATAATCCCGTTTCAACTTTTCACTTGTGTTGGCATAGACGTCTACTGCCCCCACGCGGATCAACAATCTTTTTACCCCGCCGGTCTCAGACAGAAGCCTCGGAGCCAACCGCCTTATCTCATCCACTTTGGCAGAGTGTACTGAGTGAACCTTGAGATTACGCATGTTTACATGTCTTATCGCCAAATCCCCGATAAAGAGCGACTCAGCTGCATTTGACCTTGACTGCGACTGAGACTGAGACTGAGAGATACTGCTGATTCATCTTCCAAAAGTGGTGAAAAGCGGTTTCTTGTAATTAAAGATTTTTGCTGTGGCATTATGACACTCTTGTTATCATTAGCTTTGCCTTGTTTGGGCTTGGCACCATATGTGTTCCAACAATTGTCTCTGTTGATTTTGGGAAATGAAATAGCGTCATCATAACTTACGTGCTGTCCATTTGGTCCATTTCCTTTCACTGGTATTGTTGTGTTCAGCCCCAATTCTGATTCAAGCACAAACATTCGGTCTTGAAGAAGTTTTAGCTCCTGTTTGAGTGAAAAACAGCAGTCGCAAAGTTTTGTTCTTTTTTCCCGTCCTCCCGACATGCTGTAAGTTAGGTAAATTCAACAAGTCTTGTGTTGAAGTTTGTAAAAAGGAGTAATCCGTGTTTTGTGGAATAAAAATGTAAGCAAAAATGATTAAAGGAGATAAAAAAGCAGCAAGCGAGGAGCAGCAAGAGAATGCGACTGCTCTGTCCAGAGCAGGAAGGAAATAGTAGGCGCTGGACTCAGGCTGTAGATGCTGGACTCAGGCTGTAGACGCTGGACTCAGGCTGTAGATGCTGGACTCAGGCTGTAGATGTTGGACTCAGGCTGTAGATGCTGGACTCAGGCTGTAGTAGATGCTGGACTCAGGCTGTAGATGCTGGACACAGGCTGTAGATGCTGGACTCAGGCTGTAGATGCTGGACTCAGGCTGTAGACGCTGGACTCAGGCTGTAGATGCTGGACTCAGGCTGTAGATGTTGGACTCAGGCTGTAGATGCTGGACTCAGGCTGTAGTAGATGCTGGACTCAGGCTGTAGATGCTGGACTCAGGCTGTAGATGCTGGACTCAGGCTGTAGATGCTGGACTCAGGCTGTAGATGCTGGACTCAGGCTGTAGATGCTGGACTCAAGCTGTAGATGTTGGACTCAGGCTGTAGATGCTGGACTCAGGCTGTAGATGTTGGACTCAGGCTGTAGATGCTGGACTCAGGCTGTAGTAGATGCTGGACTCAGGCTGTAGATGGTGGACTCAGGCTGCAGATGCTGGACTCAGGCTGTAGATGCTGGACTCAGGCTGGACTCAGGCTGTAGTAGATGCTGGACTCAGGCTGTAGATCAGGGGTCACCAACGCGGTGCCCGCGGGCACCAGGTCGCCCGCAAGGACCAGATGAGTCGCCCGCTGGCCTGTTCTAAAAATAGCTCAAATGGCAGCACTTACCAGTGCTATTCTTGTTTAAATCATACTTACATGCAACTTACAAGTGGCATATAAACTAGAGCCGGGACTTTAACAAGTTAATAAAGATTAATTAATTACACACAAAAAAGCGCGTTAAAAAAATGTATTGTATTTGTACATGTAATGTATTTTTGCACCGCGGAACGTTCCTCACTGAATAAGTTTCAGACGGACCAATTGAACTGACGCACCAACCGGAGCTCCGTGACTTTTCTTGTTCAAAAGTACATTATTACAATCAGAGACCAACTTTAAATTCGAGTAAATTAGACGGGAATGAGCGCTGTGTATGGAGCGATGGACTCTGTGTGTGAGGAGGAGGAGCAGTGACTCCTGTGTGAGCGGAGGAGGAGGAGAAGGAGAAGGAGGAGCGAGACACAGGTGTGTGAGCTGCTAATGCTGATGTTTACTCCGAATGCACACATCAAAAACGTATTATAAAAGCTTTAGCAAACAGCGCATGCCCAGCTTTAGTGCTCACAGCGTGTGCAGTGGATTTTGGGCTTAAAAAGAGTATGTTGTCGTCAGTGTGAGGAGGAGGAGCATATTGTCGTCAGAGTGTGGAGGCAATGACAGAAACGTTATTTGATGTTTAGAAGTTATCCCTTAAACTCCATATTAACATGTGTTGCTTAAGCCTCATGTATTCAGTCATTATTCAATGGTAAACTAAAAATCCATGTGAAAAAAATTACTTCTCACTGTTCTCAGGTCAAATATTTATATGCGATTAAATGCGATTAAATGGGACTGTCTTAGAAGTGATCATTTGTTAAATTTGAAAAATGTGCACTTAGAGAAAATATAAAAGTTTTTCCACAAAATAAATATCATTAATTATTAGTAAAAACATAGAATTAAAGGTAAATTGAGCAAATTGGCCATATCTGGCAATTTATTTAAGTGTGTAACAAACTGGTAGCCCTTCGCATTAATCAGTACCCAAGAAGTAGCTCTTGGTTTCAAAAAGGTTGGTGACCCCTGCTGTAGATGCTGGACTCAGGCTGTAGATGGTGGACTCAGGCTGGACTCAGGCTGTAGTAGATGCTGGACTGAGGCTGTAGAGGCTGGACTCAGGCTGTAGTAGATGCTGGACTCAGGCTGTAGTAGACGCTGGACTGAGGCTGTAGATGCTGGACTCAGGCTGTAGTAGATGCTGGACTCAGGCTGTAGTAGACGCTGGACTGAGGCTGTAGATGTTGGACTGAGGCTGTAGATGTTGGACTGAGGCTGTAGATGTTGGACTGAGGCTGTAGATGTTGGACTGAGGCTGTAGATGTTGGACTGAGGCTGTAGAGGCTGGACTCAGGCTGTAGTAGATGCTGGACTCAGGCTGTAGTAGATGCTGGACTCAGGCTGTAGATGGTGGACTCAGGCTGGACTCAGGCTGTAGTAGATGCTGGACTGAGGCTGTAGAGGCTGGACTCAGGCTGTAGTAGATGCTGGACTCAGGCTGTAGTAGATGCTGGACTCAGGCTGTAGACGCTGGACTGAGGCTGTAGATGTTGGACTGAGGCTGTAGATGTTGGACTGAGGCTGTAGATGTTGGACTGAGGCTGTAGATGTTGGACTGAGGCTGTAGATGTTGGACTGAGGCTGTAGAGGCTGGACTCAGGCTGTAGTAGATGCTGGACTCAGGCTGTAGACGCTGGACTGAGGCTGTAGATGTTGGACTGAGGCTGTAGATGTTGGACTGAGGCTGTAGAACGATCATTGAGGAGTAAGGAGGTTCCCAGGCGGGGAGGGTGGCAGTAAGATGTCTCAAGGGTAAATATTGCTATCTATCCTTTTTCATTTCTTCAATTAGAAAATTACTAGTTGCAAATGTGACACATTGCAAACATAGATTGCAAAAAAATGTATTCAAATAATGTAGCACTGATTCATGAATCCAAGTCCTCCAAGATAACGAATGTTGGGATTTAAGGTTTTAAAAAATAAATGTAACTGAATTAAAACAAAAGTATCGCATATTTGCTTTAAAAGGTAGAAAACTGCTCTGAGAGTGACGTCAAAGAGGTACAATGACATCGTACTGTTACAGGACAGAGAGAGAGCTTTTCGACAGTAGGGGCGGAGCTACTAGTTTGTTAGAAGATTGAAAGATCCTTTATTTGTCCCACAGTAGGGAAATTTCAGTGTTGCATCACAAGTTATAGAACAGTAGGGGTGAGGAGCACACAGCACAAGATAAGTGAACAATAGCTATACTAATTAGAATAAAGCTAAATCTGATATTTGCGTCTGAAAACAATCCAAGTCTGTTTTGGAGTCAATTTGCATGACATGTCTCCTTTAAAATGTATCTTGTCTCATTTAGACGAAAACGATGGGAAGAAATAGCCCAACTGTTCAATCGCCTTCTCCCCTTTTTATTTCAAATCAAACTGAATAAGTCCAGTCTCCAAAATCTCTTCCCAAACTTTTAATAAACCTCGGTGGGTTTTCTCCAAAGCTTTCAGCGCAGCGTGAGGTCAGAAACACTGGGTTCAAATCCCCTTAGTTCCTAAACTACAGAGCACTTCTGACACAGAGACGACAACGCCACAAGCTTTCACATCTTTAGCCTCAAAAATCAGATGGAAAATGTATGAATGAGAGGAGAATTCCCCCAGTTTTTTTAGCGCTTGAGCCATAACGCACTCAATGAAATCCACATTATTATTGTTCTGCCTCGAGTTTCAGTTACTGTTTAAACGCTGTTTTCAGTGGTGGACCCTTAAGGCCTTCTCCACTGGCCTAAACATAATCAGAAATATGTATCTATACATATTCAAGTATAGATACATATATCTTTTTGTTTTTCCAAAAACTACGTTGGTTGCGCAGCTTCCAACTCCTGGTCGACATTTGGTAGATCTGACGTCTAACAGAGTTTTTATCCAATCATTACTCAGCATCATCTGTTGCTATGGCCCAAAACACACAAAGCTATAATAAAACAGGCTTTTTATTATAGCTTTGTGTGTTGTAAGTCAAGTGTTATACAAGTTAAAACAGTCAATGAGTTAAAAAAGAAAACCTTTTTATTAGCTGTGAACTGTGGTGAATAGTGGCCACAGAGCTCCCCCTGCAGGCGGAAACACGTATGAAAATGTAGGAGATGTTTTGATGTTTATTTCACACACAGATTAGGACTGAAGTGAAACTAGCTCAAAATACCAATTAGAATATTTTGTTATAAGGTGAAAAATTTAAAGCCAGGGTATCTAACCTTCTAACCACAACGATAGAACTATAAAATAATCCAGGTAATAAGTTCCTGGCTCTAAAACAGACAAAAAAGAGGAAAAAAAGAGAGGACCACCCTCACTCAGACACTCAGCCCAAAGAGTCACATAGTGACTTACAGGGTACTTTCTTACAAGTAATCAAAAGTAGTTTTGATAAGATGAAGACAGTATGATGTGGCCTGATGTGTTCACAGCGCTTCTCTTAAGTAAGTAAGTAAGCTTTATTTATATACCGCCTTTCACAGACCAGAGTCACAAAGCGGTTTACAATTGTTATATTTTTTTGGGCACTTGTCCTCTCACTCCACACAGAGATGGGAGCGGGGTCGCCGAACAGGAGGCACATGCCAGACCTATTGTACATATTTTTAGTGGTAGGGGAAACCGGAGCACCCGGAGGAAACCTACGCAGACACAGGGAGAACATGCAAACTCCACTCAGAAAGGCCCTGGTCCGGCCGGGATTCGAACCCAGAACCTTCTTGCTGAGAGGCGAGAGTGCTATCCACTCAGCCACCGTGCCGCCCAAGTAACACAAAGTACTACACAGTTCACAAATAATCACAGTCCATAAAAATAGTGAAGATACAGTTTTTTATTTGTATGCACAGCTATAGATGGTTCCAACATGAATCTGAAACGCTGGAACGTTTAATTCTGATTCTGGGCATCAGCAGGAGGCCAGTCCCTGTGCTCCTCAGAGTCCCAACAGGAAGACAGTCCCTGTGCTCCTCAGAGTCCCAACAGGAAGACAGTCCCTGTGCTCCTCAGAGTCCCAACAGGAAGACAGTCCCTGTGCCCCTCAGAGTCCCAGCAGTAGGACAGTCCCTGTCGGTTCATATGGCATTAACATGTCACAGATGTACTTTGAGGCCACGGAAAGACTTGAGAGCTGCTTTAAAGTCTGATCTCTGAGCCACAGGAAGCCAGCACAGAGACCTGGAGAGAGAACTGGACTAATGTGATCATACTTCCTGGTTCTAGTCGGGACTCCAGCTGCAGCGTTTTGTTATGCAGCGGCCATAACAGTTGTCTAACCTACTGGAGACAAGGACAGGATCAGATTCTCCAAGTCTGCTCGAAACTATATTTTTGATTCTAGTAATGTTTTCTGGATGCTAAAAAGCTTCTTATGTTACTATTATGATGTGTCTGTTACATTTTAATGTCTGCGAACAAGTCCAATATTATCATAATCTAATCAATCCTTCTCTGTCCCAGGTGACCCTCCACACCGGCCTGCCCATCCCTGACTTCTACACCCCCGGTGATGGAGACCCCAGCGGCTCCGTGTGCTGAAGCCTCCCCCCCCTTGGACTCTGGGACAATTGTGGGACTAATGCTCCAGCTCCCTCATCCTTACCCCCAAAACAGCACTCCAAACTGGGCCTGACTTGCGCTGAGCCATGCCTGAAACATAAAACCGTAATGACCATAGTGTGGGCTGAATGGGAAAGGACCAAAGTAATGTAGTTGTGGTGGTGTTGAAGTGTCATTGAAGTTAATTGTACAGATAAATGAAAAAGCACACGCGATAATATTACTCAAGTTTGATTGTTTCTCATATATTTTAGATTATGAGCGATTCAGAGACAAACCACAAGAGGGAGCTAGAAGAATTGTGCTGAATGTGGAAGTGGGTTCAGAGCCTTAACAGTGAAGATAATGGACCAGCATCAATAGATGGAGATAAAAATTAGCCCAAAAAACTTCTGCTACAGTAAAAAAATGGCTTTCTCATAATTCAGATTCATATAGTAAAGAGTAGAGTAAAGCTGCTATCTAAGAACAGTGAAAAATCCACTCATCCATTACTTTTTTTTCTTTTAAAATCCATACGTTTTCTATAAATGCATGGCAAAGCAAGTATTTTTGTATAGCACAGTTCATACATGAAACAAATATTAGTGCATAACAAAACAAGATAAGAAATATTAACCGTACAAGGCATTCAAATCATCAATAATCACAGTACATTGAAAATAATAATTATACAATCATTCTGTTGTTTGCACAGATAACCTGAACTGTTTTACCCTGGATATGAACATTGTCAGAGAAGAAACCTGTCTCACAATCTCAGGAAGACTGTTCTAGATTTTAGCTGCATACATCTGAAACAATGTTAGTTCTGACTCTGAGCACCAGCAGGAGGCCAGTCCCTGTGCTCCTCAGAGTCCCAGCAGGAGGCCAGTCCCTGTGCTCCTCAGAGTCCCAGCAGGAGGCCAGTCCCTGTGCTCCTCAGAGTCCCAGCAGGAGGCCAGTCCCTGTGCTCCTCAGAGTCCCAGCAGGAGGCCAGTCCCTGTGCTCCTCAGAGTCCCAGATGGACTTTGAGGCCATGGAGAGACTTATGTTGGTCCATTACCTTCACATGGACGTAGAAGAAGAGCTCTCCCCTGTGTCCCTCTCTCTGCTGTAGTCGCTGCTTTGAATGACCCGCCTGATGGAAACACTTTCATTGTTTTAGCTGCAGAAATCCTATATGTTCTATTAGAATTTAACGTCAAGGTGCTAACGCTAACAGCTTATTTTTTACTCTTGAAACGACTGGGTAGTTTTGTAACACGTGACTGATGCGGTTTGTACAGAGAGTAACTTATTATTACAGTGAGAATTTTCCAATGGTTTTTAATGATTGTGGTTTATGTACAAATAGACGGCGCCCATTGCTTTAAATGACATTTTTATAGCACATATCTATAAATCCACATGTTGAGATAAGACTTTTCTTTGGTGGTGTGAGTTAGAATGAGACCATTGTTAAAGTTTACACACATTTAAATATATTGAGCTACAATGGTCTTAATTCTTAATACGACTATACTTCAGGGCGACAGTAGCTCAGTTGGTAGAGCATTGGCCTTAAGGCCAGAAGGTTGTGGGTTCAATTCCCACCTCTGCACCTTCTCCACTGACTCCCACTAATGACTGCTGTCGTTGTGTCCTTGGGCAAGACACTTAACCCCACTTTGCCCAAAGCCCCCACTGAAAGATCAAGGCTATGCTCACACTCAGAGAGCAGCCGTCCTCCTGTGGACTCACCACCTGCAGAGGGTCAGTGAGGGGCTGGTGCTATGAGACTTGGGTGGCATCTCTGACTGCCACCCCCCTGACCCAGAAATGGATTAAAGGGTAGAAAATGGATGGATGGACTATACTTCAAACTTAAGACCGTTGTATTCTGGCCTTAACACTAGGACTTCCATATTACTGTAACTAGTAGAACTTTCTAGAGCAGTCATGTTGACGGCTCCCATTCAAATCAATAGTTTTATTAGAGTAAAATCATTTTTCATGGCTTTTACCAGTTTTTAAACATAAAACTGGTGAATATATCTTTAAATACAGCAAAACACAGTTTGTTGGAAGGCTAATTCTAAAGACAAAATGCTAACTGCTGCAAGTGAATAGTGTGTTTCTATGGTAACTAGCACTTGCTCTTCTCTGCTGGAAAACCAGTCCAAAAACAGTCCAGGACCAGTTTGAAACTCTAGAACTAGCCCAGGACCTGTTCTGAGCCAGTCATGAACTAGTTCAGGACCAGCACCTTGGAGAAAATGGGCTTTTCCTGATATTAGTTTCCAAGTGACCAAAAGCAGCTGGAGTAGACAAAATGGCGTCCATGGGAGTTAAAAGTAGAACTACATATTTATACAGAAAAAGTTATGAAGATCAAAAATTCTAATTCAAGATTAAACCTGTCAAATTGACTGCTGTGGGAGTTTTAGTGTTACTATTTAGGCTATTTTTATTCTGTTTCCACCCCTCAGTGAAGATATTGAGCATATAGAGCTACTGAGCATTTCATAGTTTGACATCAAGAGGAAGCTCTAATCTTCAATTTCAACATTTCTCTATTTTAAATGTTGAAGGCAGCTCAGCTCTGTATGACACAACACGACCATAGACCACATAAGAGCTACACATATCATAGACATTCTTAAAAACGTCTGTATTTTGTCTTTTTTTGCCACGTTTTTTTTAATTCCAGTTATTACTACAGAGCCTGGAGCAGTGCGCTGTGCGACACTGTACAAAAATGTGTTCATAGAATACTATTAATGAATGAGTGCGCGACTGAGGAATGAGTGAAAATCAGTATAAAACTATAATTTGTGGTCCGTTCACTGCACTGTACATAAAATACTGTAAGATCGAATGGACGAGTTTATTATGACATTGGTACACTGTTAAAAAAAGAGATGTATTTGACTTGGGTTGACTTTCCACACAATTTAAACTTCATATAAAAGATGATATAATATGGGGCCTGAATCGAGTATTTTTTTTTATCTTAATTTGAGTACAATCTGACTGTATTAAAACAAGAGTTACCAATGGGACAAAGCCATTTAGTCTTATTTCAAGAGCTGTTGCTTTATTTTCTCATTCCAAGGGAAATATTTCTTTTATCTTGTTTTAAATCAGTCAGAATGAGCTCAAATTAAAATAAATGTCAAATCTGAGCAATTTTTTCCTTGTTTCTCATCACATTTTGCAGTGTATTTATACGATTTGAATTGGCCCAAACATTTCCAAATATCCAAGTCAGTACAACATTTGCGTGTGGTCCTTTTAAGCAGTGTACTCTGTGTATTTCTTGGTTGATATATAGTCAATTTGAATGTACTGCAATAGAAGTATAGAGAGAGTTTATGATGATGACAACGTCTGGGTTACGTGAGTTAAAGGTATAAATGTCTAACATGGGCTTTTGACTGCGATACTTCTCATTCTTTAAGCTGTAACGAGCCTCTGTGTTCTGTATGTGTGGATATTCAATAAAATAGTTAGAGGTGAATTTGAACCAATTTTTTTCTCTTTTTTTGTTCCACTTTCGACTCGGTATCTTTCTGAGCCTACTGATTTCCACACAGGGGACTGTCAAATCAATACCATATAATTGCAAGCGGTACATGTTGGTGCAGTGGTTAGCGCTTATGCCTCACTGCAAGAAGGTTCTGAGTTTATTTCCATCTCCAGACCTTTCTGTGTGGAGTCTGCATGTTCTCCCTGTGTCTGGTTTCCCCTACCACTAGCCCTTCCTGGTTTAATAAAAGTCAATATAATAAATTGAACGAGGATCATATTTCATATTTCACACTGTTTTTAAAAATATATTTATGGACATTTATTAACATTTATGGACATTGGTCATCCCACTCCCTATGGACCAATGGCTCCTATCTGATTGTTATCATTGCATTTCTTGCTTTGTTTGATTCTCTAATCTCTTGTTGGCGACTCGACAACGTTGTAAAGTCCTCCGAGATGTTGTGATTTAGAGCTATACAAAAATAAATGTAATTGACGTCAGGTCATGGTTCGGACTTGTCAATCAGGTAGCCTACGCCTTTAGCATAGCCGAACGTATGCAACCATTCCGGAAACTCCTGCAGCATGAGACACGCTTTGAGTGGTCTCCGGAGTTGGAGGACATTTTCCGCGAGTCGAAAGAGACCATCGTCCGGGAGATCGAGCACGGCGTCCGCATATTCGACAAGTCCAAGTCGACGTGCCTCGCCACAGACTGGTCGAAGGAGGGCGTCGGTTTCTGGCTGTTCCAGAAGCACTGTCAGTGCATGCCGGTCAGACCCTTCTGCTGCGCCGATGGGTGGAAGGTGACCTTGGTTGGCAGCAGGTTTACACACGCAGCTGAGTCCAGATACGCGCCCGTAGAAGGTGAAGCTCTTGCAGTCGCTGACGCATTGGACAAAGCACGCTACTTCGTCTTAGGTTGCAGGGACCTGATCGTGGCGGTCGACCACAAGCCGTTACTCAAGCTCCTTGGCGACAGGGCACTCGACGACATACCCAACCCCCGTCTCAGGAACCTCAAGGAAAAGACCCTGCGCTATCGCTTCCGCATCGTACACGTGCCGGGGATGAAGAACAGGGCCGCGGATGCCATGTCGCGTAGGCCGGTCGGCACGCTGTGCCCGTCACCCATGGATTTGCCGGACGACAATGCTGCCATGGTGACGCACCTCTCGCCCAGCACACACGCTGATGTCCTGTCCCTTATACGACTGACAGGGCCAGTAAACGACGAAGTTGAGGAAGGAGACCTGACCTGGTGCGCTGCTGGGCTTGAATCGCTGCGGTCCGTGACGTGGGATCGCGTCAAGGAGGCCACCTGCAGCGACGACGACATGCGTGCACTGGAGGAGATAGCAGCGGACGGCTTCCCCGAGTCGAGGACAGGAATGCCGGTGGCCATTCGCAACTTCCACCAATACCGCGAAGACATTACATCTGCTGATGGGGTGGTCCTGTACAAGGACAGAGTGATCATTCCACCCTCGCTCCGTGGTGAGGTACTGAGTGCCCTGCATGCTGCCCACCAGGGTGTCTCAATGATGACCGCTCGTGCCGAGTCTTCTGTGTTCTGGCCAGGCATGTCGGCCGACATCTCCGCCACTCGAAAAGACTGCGAGCACTGTCACCGAATGGCACCCTCTCAGCCTGCGGCGCCGCCGACCCCTCCTATCATGGCTGTATACCCCTTTCAGGCTGTGTGTTCAGACTTTTTCATGCACAGGGGCGTGCACTACCTTGTGATAGTGGACCGCTACTCGAACTGGCCAATCGTCTCGAGATCAACGGGTGGCGCTGCGGACCTCATTTGCCACCTACGCCGCGCTTTTGCAACATATGGGACGCCTGAGGAGCTGGCATCAGACGGGGGGCCTGAGTTCACCTCCGCTGAGACCAGGTCTTTCCTGCGCAGATGGGGTGTGCATCATCGCCTCTCATCGGTGGCCTTCCCTCACAGCAACTGCCGCGCGGAGATTGGAGTGAAGACGATGAAGCGGCTCATCACTGACAATACAGGTCCGCACGGCGAACTCGACACTGACGCGGTGCAGAGGGCGATACTGCAATACCGTAATACACCGGACCCTGACACGAAGCTTTCTCCGGCGTTGTGTGTCTTCGGCCGCCCTATACGCGATTTCATCCCGATTCCCCCCGGGAAGTACAGGCCGCACGAAACATGGCGTGAGACGCTGGTTGCAAGAGAGGAGGCCCTCCGCAAACGCCACGTCCGCAATGCTGTTGCTTGGGCGGAACACACCAAACGACTCCCACCCCTCAAGGTGGGGGACTTTGTCCGTGTGCAGAACCAGACGGGACCTCACCCCAACAAATGGGACAGGACGGGCAGTGTTGTGGAGGTGCGCCAGCATGACCAGTATGTAATCAAGATTGACGGATCGGGCAGGGTCTCGCTTCGGAACCGGAGATTCTTGCGCAAGTTCTACCCAGTTCGCAATGACCAGCTTCCTCCTCGATCTCTCTATGACGACTTGGCGCCTTGTGTCACGATGCCAGCTCTTCCTGTGTCGCCATTGCCGTCCAGTCGTGTGTGCAGCCCGGTGACACCTGTGGTGGAGTCTGGGCCCACCCCGCCGCCGACGCATCCACCTGCGGGCTCTCCCCGCCGCGGTTTGCGGCCAGTTTCCCTCATGCCTGCGGTGCCAGCCCGGGACATCCCTTGTACTCCGCCACCGGACTCTGTGGCCCCCTTGGCCCCTTCGCCGCCGGCTGCGTCGCCAGCTACGGAGTTACGCCGGTCCACCAGGAAAGCCGGTGTGCCTGCCTGGCATGGGGACTATGTCTTGGAATAGTCTTGGGGTTTTGTGTGGGCATTGTGTTCCTGTTGGATCTTCCATTTGTGTTTCTAGTTCCTCTGCCCTGTACACTTTCACGTTAGTGTTGCACTATGGTCCTTCGTGCCGTTTTTCTTTATCAGCCTTTGTGTTACTGTGTTAAAGGCTCGGGGGGAGATAGGGAATATTGCATTACGGTCCTTTATTTTGTAGGACATAGCGGAACAGGAAGTCATAACATGTAAACCTTCCGGCTTCATCAGACGCTCATGACATGTTTGATTATTGTCATTCTACTGCTGTTACTCATTAAAGCAAGTGAGCAAATGGAACTTCGTTCTTATTTAGAAATTGAATTATAGGCTACAAATTAACAACTTGTATAAATATTTCACAACACTGTCTATACAGATATCTATTGTTTCCTTTTGTTGGATCCATATAATTTTATTTATTAATGGTATATAAAAAATAGTAATAATAATAATGCAAATACTATTATTATTATAATTATTGTAATTATTATTGAAAAGTGCCAAGACAGATTTGTTTTGTTTGTTTTTTGGCCTTATAAGCATAATCAAAAAGTCTTAAAATGGAAATGTTTGGAGTCTCATTATTACAACGTAAACAACTATTTTCGCTTTCTCCATGAAGAGTTTTTGTCACGTCCCTTTCTCCTCCACCAATCCCACCGCAGCAGGGAGGAGCAGAGCCGCGCGTAAAGCTGTGCCAAACCTGACAGCTACACTTCCCTCAAAGCCTCCTCTCTAAAGCCAGTCCCTCCGTCTGCGTCTCCTTTACGCACGGGTCTCTCTCTCTCTCTCTGTCTCTGTCTCTGTCTCCAAAACCCCCACAGACCCTCAGACCATGGCCACTCCTCTGACGGACCAGGAGAAGCGGCGGCAGATCAGTTTGCGTGGGATCCCGGATTTGGAGAACGTGCATGAGTTGATAAAGGGGTTCAACAGACACCTGCACTTTACGCTGGTGAAGGACAGGAACATCGCCACGCCCCGGGACTACTACTTCGCCCTGGCGCACACGGTCCGGGATCACCTCGTGGGCCGATGGATCCGCACGCAGCAGTTCTACTACGAGGCAGACCCAAAGGTGAACGGTGGCAATGGCTGCATCCGAATTCCCAAAACAATGTCCTTTTTTGGGGAATTTAAGCTGGGGTACCTATTAAACCCATAAACATTGAATTTATGAAGTTGTTTTTGTATTGTGTATCTGGGACATTGGGGTACTTTTGCAAATGTTTGTCAATTTAGTTTTTACTGCAAATGGCAAATAAACTGAATCTGAACTATAATGTCAAAGATCCTCACTCTCAAGGCAAGCTTATTTGTATAGCACAAGGCAACTCAAAGTGCTGAACTAAACAAGATGGAGATGAATCAGACAAGGCATTAAAATAGTCAGTATTAAATCTGTTGTATGCAGCTAATCAGAACTGTTTTAACCTGGATGTGGACATCATCAGAGAAGAAGCCTGTCTCACATTTTCAAGACCGATTTCAGTTGCATAAATTTGAAATGTAGCCTCTTCATGTTTAGTCCTGATTCGAGGCACCAGCAGGAGGCCAGTCCCTGTGCTCCTCAGAGTCCTCCTTTGCTCCTAGACCTGAGACCAGTTTGGTTCTACCACTAGTTTTCCATTTATCCATTTATGATTATTTATGGCTTGGCTTTAGATCAGGTTTTTCAGACAGAAAAGTGAAAAAGGGAAGACCGCCCTAACTCAGTCAATCAGCTTTCAGCTCAAAAAGTCAAATAGTGACAAGTATTTAAAAGATAAAAACTAAAACAAAAAACAATCCTTTTTATAAGTCTGATTTATTCACAGCATTCCACTTTTATATGCATGACAAAACTAGTGAGAAGATGCAAAACGTTTTGAGGGTGAGGAACTGGTCAGATGGTTCCGGTTCATAGTTCTATTTGTTGTGGTCTGAAATCAGAATCAGAATCAGAATCATTTTTATTGCCACGTAAGTAACAGGAGGTCACAGACTAGGAAATTGCTTTGGCTCAGTGCAACAGTCAAAAAGAGATAATAAAAATAAGAATAAAAAACACTTCTAAAGAATAAATTTAAATTTAAAATAGAGTTACAGTTACTATTTACAATATACAAGTGCACATGGTGCACACAATGTAAGGTGACAGCAGTACAGTGAAGTAAAGTGACGTATGATGGGCAGTAAAGTGACTTTATAAAGGGCGGGGGGACAGGTTAAGAAGTGTTCAAGAGTCCAACAGCAGAGGGGAAGAAACTGTTCTTGTGGCGGGAGGTTCTAGTCCTGATGGACCGCAGCCTCCTGCCTGAGGGGAGTGGTTGGAATAGTCCATGTGCAGGGTGAGAGGGGTCGGCTGTGATACGACCAGCCCGGCCTCGAGCTCGGGCGACGTACAGGTCCTGCAGCGATGGAAGGCTGCGGCCGATCACTTCCTCTGCAGAGCGCACAATGCGCTGTAGTCTCTGTTTGTCCCTGACTGTGGCTCCAGCGAACCACACGGTGACGGAGGAGGTGAGGATGGACTCGATGATGGCCGTGTAGAACTGCACCAACATTTGTGCAGGCAGCTTGGCTTTCCTGAGCTGCCGCAGGAAGTACATCCTCTGCTGCGCCTTCTTGATGAGGGAGCTGATGGTCGGCTCCCACTTGAGGTCCTGGGTGATGGTGGTGCCCAGGAAACGGAAGGACTCCACAGAGGTGATGGGGGAGTCCATCACGGAGGGTGGGGGCGGGGGGACAGTGCTCTTCCTGAAGTCCACAATCATCTCCACTGTCTTCTGGGCGTTCAGCTCCAGGTTGTTATTACCACTGCACCAGGACACCAGCCGGTCCACCTCCCTCCTGTAGGCGGACTCATCGTTGTTGGAGATGAGTCCAATGAGGGTGGTGTCGTCCGCGAACTTGATCAGCTTCACGGAGTCGTGGCTGGAGGTGCAGTGGTTGGTGTACAGGGAGAAGAGCAGGGGAGAAAGAACACAGCCCTGTGGGGCTCCTGTATTTATAATCCGAGAGTCCGAGACATTCTTCCCCAGACGCACTCGCTGGGAAAGTTGGAAAGTCGGATACCCCAGCTTTAACTGTAGACAAGGTTTGGAAGAGTTTGGCCAAGTTTGGAATGTAAAACCTTTTCAAAAGCCACAGGTCAATAAGTCCAAGTCGACACAGGAAGAGGGTATTATTATATAAATTGGCATGCATATGTGTGTGTACGTGTGTATGTACTGGTATGTGTGGGGGGGAAAGTCATTAGTCAACTGCAAATTATTGTTTGTGTCATATAAGGTCATTTAATTGGGCTGTATTTTCCTCTTTTATGCTAAAGCTAGAGATCTTATTTACGATTCATCTTGTGCTCCTCATTCCTACTGATTCTTGATCTTGATCTTAACCCTTTTAAGTGCCCAATTTAACTCTACTCAGTTGAAATCAAAAGAAAATTCTTCATTTCAATTTACTTTGACACTAACTACACAACAATGTTACTTCGTGGCATGTACTTGGGCTGTGGACATTTCTAAAATCCAATTGTGAGACAGCGATTCGAGGGAGTCTCCACTTTGTAGCTACCATTTTTTTTGGCAGCTGTAAACTCCACCAGGGGATGCTGTTCAAGCCAAGCCATCAGAAGGACCAGTGGACAGCGGGGCAGGGCACCAGGGACAACGAGGATCTTTGTCATTGACTTTAGTCGTCTTTTATCCGTTTCATATCATATTCCTGCCTTTCTGCACCTAAAGGGTGAACATAGTTTAAATGAATAATTATTGATTTGCACAGGATGACAATTGAAACAATACTATGGGATAATATATAATTGTGTTTCTTCTGCAAGTTACAGACTGGCTTTAATACACAAGGTAGTTCTTCAAATGAAAGATCGAAGGAATACTGTGTGATTACACAGAGTTATTACTGTTTGTTCTAGATTTTTTGAAAGGCCTCTGTCTGTATTCACCCATGCATGAATAATACTGTGAATAACTTGTCCCGTTTTAGTGTGAATTTCTAAAGACCATGAGGGTCAGTGATGTGAAGTCTCTGCAAGAAGAAGGGCGCATTCAAGGGTTGAATATGTCATTCCATTTTTTTGTGTACAGGTTGTACACAAAAATAAAATTGAAACACCGGAAATTCAATCATGACACAAATAGAAGCATTCGGTTCATAAGAAGCAGTATTGCCACTGGATTACCCAGGACTGAGGTCGCAGGTCCCAGAGGACTGAGGTCGCAGGTCCCAGGTCCCAGGGGACTGGGGTCGCAGGTCCCAGGTCCCAGGGGACTGGGGTCGCAGGTCCCAGGGGACTGGGGTCGTAGACCCGACTCTTTGGGCTGAGAGCTGATTGGTTGAGTGAGGGTGGTCCTTTCTTTTTCACTTTTCTGTCTGAAAAAGCCGTATCATAATATGACAGACGCCAAATAAATAAATTTATTTGAAAAGTGGTCTAACCAAACTGTTCGAGAGTAAAGTGCTAGTGACGGCTTTAATACAAGGAACCCTCTCGTCTAAATTGATACAGTGCCTTGCGAAAGTATTTGGCCCCCTTGAACCTTTCAACATTTCGCCACATTTCAGGCTTCAAACATAAAGATATAAAACATATTTTTTTTGTCAAGAATCAACAACAAGTGGGACACAATCGTGAAGTGGAACGAAATTTATTGGATAATTTAAACTTTTTTAACAAATAAAAAACTGAAGTGGGGCGTGCAATATTATTCGGCCCCATTGCGCTAATACTTTGTAGCGCCACCTTTTGCTGCAATTACAGCTGCAAGTCGCTTGGGGTATGTCTCTATCAGTTTTGCACATCGAGAGACTGGAATTCTTGCCCATTCTTCCTTGCAAAACAGCTTGAGCTCAGTGAGGTTGGATGGAGAGCGTTTGTGAACAGCAGTCTTCAGCTCTTTCCACAGATTCTCGATTGGATTCAGGTCTGGACTTTGACTTAGACATATCCAGGTGTTAGAATGGCCATTTGTGAACCATTCCATTGTAGATTTGGCTTTATGTTTTGGATCATTGTCCTGTTGGAAGATAAATCTCCGTCCCAGTCTCAGGTCTTTTGCAGACTCCAACAGGTTTTCTTCCAGAATGGTCCTGTATTTGGCTCCATCCATCTTACCATCGATTTTAGCCATCTTCCCTGTCCCTGCTGAAGAAAAGCAGGCCCAAAGCATGATGCTGCCACCACCATGTTTGACAGTGGGGATGGTGTGTTCAGGGTGATGAGCTGTGTTGCTTTTACGCCAAACATATCGTTTTGCATTGTGGCCAAAAAGTTCAATTTTGGTTTCATCTGACCAGAGCACCTTTTTCCACATGTTTGGTGTGTCTCCCAGGTGGCTTGTGGCAAACTTTAAACGAGACTTTTTATGGATATCTTTTGAGAAATGGATTTCTTCTTGCCACTCTTCCATAAAGGCCAGATTTGTGCAGTGCACGACTGATTGTTGTCCTATGGACAGATCATGGGCCTCTTGTTTGCATCTCTGATCAGTCTTCTCCTTGTTTAAGATGAAAGTTTGGAGGGACGGTCGGGTCTTGGTAGATTAGCAATGGTCTGATACTCCTTCCATTTCAATATAATTGCTTGCACAGTGCTCCTTGAGATGTTTAAAGCTTGGGAAATCTTTTTATATCCAAATCCGGCTTTAAACTTCTCCACAACAGTATCTCGGACCTGCCTGGTGTGTTCCTTTCTCTTCATGGTTCTCTCTGCGCTTTAAACAGAACCCTGAGACTATCAAAGAGCAGGTGCATTTATACGGAGACTTGATTACACACAGGTGCATTCTATTTATCATCATCAGTCATTTAGGACAACATTGGATCATTCAAAGATCCTCACTGAACTTCTGGAGTGAGTTTGCTGCACTGAAAGTAAAGGGGCCGAATAATATTGCATGCCCCACTTTTCAGTTTTTTATTTGTTAAAGTTTAAATTATCCAATAAATTTTGTTCCACTTCACGATTGTGTCCCACTTGTTGATTCATGACAAAAAATATTTTTTTTATATCTTTATGTTTGAAGCCTGAAATGTTGAAGGGTTCAAGGGGGCCGAATACTTTCGCAAGGCACTGTAAATGTGTTTTTTATTTGTGATTTTAGAGTCAATCTTCATTTCCTTTACACCAGGAGATGTTACTGGTGCAACTCTTCAGTGCCGTTGGGTTTGACAGTTTGTGAAACTCTTCCACCACTTCCTATGTGTGTATTTCTGCTTTTAAAGACAGTCTTACAAACTAAATTAGTCAACAAAAACATGTGTAATTTGCAGCTTCCTGATGTGCTCCTTTTCTGAACTGGTGATTACGAATGTACTGTTTTTGTTGTCGTCGGTGAAACCTAGGGACACAAACTACATCTCATTGTGCTGGTGTTGTGTATAAAACTGTCCCACGACATCAAGCTCTCATTGAATATTTACAACTGGACAACAAACATCCAAGAGGCAAGTTTATTTGTATAGCTCAATTCATACATAAGGCAACTCAAAGATGGAAATGATCACACACGGTCTTAAAATCATAAATAATCAGAACATTTAAAAGAGTGACTATATCATCCATGCACAACTAAACAAAACTGTTTTAACCTGGATTTGAATGTTGTCAGAGAAGAAGCCTCTCACATTTTCAGGAAGACTGTTGCAGATTTTAGCTGAATCTAAAACGCTGCCGCCTCATGTTTAGATCTGACTGTGGGACCAGCAGGAGGTCAGTCCCTGTGTTCCTCAGAGTCAGAGTTGGTTCAGCTTTGTTTCTAATTTCTGCTCTTTTACTGTATTTGTTTTTATGTTCCCCCACTGGTGCTCAGTCTAATGAAGTTTTCACGGATGAATACTTTAAATTGAATTGAATTGATAACTTAAAGGCCATGAAGAGACTAATGCTTGTATTTGTTAATGTAAAAGTCCTCATGTGTTTTTGACCCTTTGTCGCCTGCAGAGGGTGTACTACCTCTCTCTGGAGTTCTACATGGGCCGCACTCTGCAGAACACGATGGTGAACCTGGGCGTGCAGAACACCTGTGACGAGGCCATGTACCAGGTCTGGACCATAGACTCTACAGATGGCCAATGCTAACATGCTAGCTCAATGAAGACATGTTTGTAATGGCTTTGAATAATAGGACTCACAACACTTGCTGTGTTGCAATATGTAAAGAACCGAATAATATTTTGTGGCCCAAATATTGCATTACTATTGAATCATTACGTTTTTGCCAATCCCTCTTTTAGTAGAAATATAGTTGTATGCATGCAACCACCATTATTGCATGTATAATGGGGGTTGTTTACAATTATCTAACTTGTGCATTAGCAAATCTATAACTGCTGTGTGGAAGAATATATGGAAACGTGTAACACTTTTAGATAGATAGATACTTTACTGATCCCTGTAGAAGAAATTCAGGGGTCCAGTAAACACACCATCCACATTCTTAAAAGTTAACAAGTGATAATATCCAACATCACTTCAGGTCACAGCAGCAGAGGTGGAGTAGCCGCTTGGTTCGGACCATTTTCTCTGCTCTGGTCCAAATTAAGATGCTAAATGCTTCATTAGCATTTTTCTGAAAGTTAGAATTCCTCCAGTGGATTTTTGCCTGATCCGCTTGGTTCGGACCATGAATCCTCTCTGCTCTGGTCTGGACCAGTGCAAAACCATGAACACTGTACTGCAGCAACATCTCGCGTATAATAAGTAAAAATAAAAATTGTAAAATGCAAAACAACCACTGTTTCAGAGCTACTAAGGACTTGCTACTGTTATAGGATTGGGTAGAATTATGGTGAATATTTGTTTTAAAACTTGCCTCATAATGGGTATATTCCTAATTTTTCAGCTGGGGTTGGACATTGAGGAGCTGGAGGAGATCGAAGAGGACGCTGGTTTGGGAAATGGAGGCTTGGGACGTCTGGCAGGTACGAACTAAACTACAAATTGGAATGCAAATCTGTTTTTATATTCTCAGTATTTGAGGAATATTCAAAGCAACATGAAAGACGAGAGGGCCCAATGTTTTGATGTTTTTTAGAATATTTGAGTGATAATAAATTTTAGTCTCAGGTTTAAATGAATTTAGAAAATGTCCATAAATATTAAAACTGCTGTAAACAAATTAACACAACCTGCTGAGGGAATTCTGGGGTAGTTTGCATTTATGCTAAAAACCTGGCACCTGCATCTCTCCATGATGACTTTTTTTTTATCTTTTTGAAGTTGGCTGGATGACACTGAACTTGCGCTTATGATCTGAAACACTACTTAGCAAGGCAGAGGACCACATGAGATGACAGAGAAGGCCGCAATCAGCTCGTGGGCCTGAGTTTGGTCATGCCTGACTTAAACTACCGTATGCACTGGTTGAAGCCCACTGTGTCTTGATTCTAAACAAAAAACCTTTCCTGCATTACATTCTTTGTGACGACTCTCCCAGAAGACAAGTTTGCACACGAGAAACATTATGATCTCTCCTCTCTCACAGCTGGCATCTGTCAATCTCTCAGTTTAGACTTTTGAAAGCCTGAGGAGGAGGAACTGAGGCAAGAATGAAGAAATAATGGACTTTTCTTCTGTGTGAATGTGTTTGTACTTTCTCACATTACTCTCTCTGCTTTTGTTTGGGCTCAGACAGCAGCTGGTTATTGGCATTGCTTTGAGTTTGCATATTCTCCCCATGTTGGTTTAGCTACAAATACCATAACAGCCTCTCGCTCAAACTTATCGATGCACGACATGAACTGAAAATCGTCCCTCTGCCTTTCTTCAAGCTCACGTGTCGAAAACCAATCCAGTGTTCTGCAATGTGCAAGAATCAGGAGGAAACTATTGTTAATGTTTTAGGTTTAGAAGAACAATAATGAGGTGTATAGAAGACTACTCAAAGATGAAAAGACACAGTTAGGATAAAATCACTTTTTACATCAAGAAAAATACTTTACTTTAATGTTTTTTAAGTTAATTGTAAAGGATTTTGGCACAAATGTAGTTATATATATATTTTTTTTAAATTGTAGCACTTCGAGATTTCTTGGAAATGTAAGGTGCAATATACTGTAGTGAAATATATCTTTTTAAAAAAAACAATAATACCACTAATAACTAGAAACTTGCAATGGCTGAAGCCATTGCGATTGACTGCGGAACAGATCTAATGTGGAATTTAGCTGAAAAATCCTTGAAATCCTTGAAACTGTTAAAATACTTTAAACATCTTTGAAACTCCTGAAGTATTTGAAGCTCCTGATATCCTTTAAACTGTTATCCTTTATACTGGTTTACATGTAAAAACCCCTATTAAGTTGCATTATACTGGTTTACATGGAAAAATCCCTATTAAGTTGCATTATACTGGTTTACATGGAAAAATCCCTATTAAGTTGCATTATACTGGTTTACATGGAAAAATCCCTATTAAGTTGCATTATACTGGTTTACATGGAAAAATCCCTATTAGGTTGCATTATACTGGTTTACATGTACAAATCCCTATTAAGTTGCTTTATACTGGTTTACATGTAAAAACCCCTATTAGGTTACATTATAGTGGTTTACATGTAAAAATCCTTATTAAGTTGCATTATACTGGTTTACATGTAAAAACCCCTATTAAGTTCCATTATACTGGTTTACATGTAAAAACCCCTATTAAGTTCCATTATACTGGTTTACATGTAAAAACCCTATTAAGTTGCATTATACTGGTTTACATGAAAAAAACCCTATTAAGTTGCATAATACTGGTTTACATGGAAAAATCCCTATTAAGTTGCATTATACTGGTTTACATGGAAAAATCCCTATTAAGTTGCATTATACTGGTTTACATGCATGATTACACTGAAGTCCTTGAAACTGCTGAAGTCCTTGAAACTGCTGAAGTCCTTGAAACTGTTGAAGTCCTTGAAACTGTTGAAGTCCTTGAAACTGTTGAAGTCCTTGAAACTCTTGAAATCTTGAAACTGCTGAAATCCTTGAAACTGTTGAATCCTTGAAACTGTTGAATCATTGAAACTGTAGAAATGTCTGAAAGAGCTGAAGTCCTATTAAAATGCATGGGCCTATTAAAATGCATTGCAGAATTCTCAATGCAGATTTTTGTCCGATTGCGGAAAAACCGGAAATCGCTGAAGTCCCAAAAGTAATAGCAATAATCTCCCAAACATGTGGAACGTTTTGATGTATAACTTGTGGAAATTGTTGAAAATGTGAAAGCTGTGAAACGTGTCAAAAAAAATGACGGAATAAAGAAATACAAAACCAATGGTTGACTGCGGAAGGTTCCGCAGTCAATCAATAATGATGATAGAAAGGATATACATAAACAATAAATTTGATAATTCATTATTTAGATAATTTTAATTTTGTGAGTTGCTTCACCAGTGGAGAGGACCAATCAGTGAAATGTAATGACTTCTTGGAGACTAATTGTAAATACTTCGCATAAACGTGAGAAAGTGACTGTCTCTGTGTCCGCAGCTTGTTTCCTGGACTCCATGGCGACACTGGGTCTCGCTGCATACGGTTACGGCATCCGTTATGAGTACGGCATCTTCAACCAGAAGATCAGAGACGGATGGCAGGTGCGGCTTTAAAACTCTGACTCTCTATAATTTCTATGAGACGCTCCATTCGTCGCCAGGTGCTACAGTGGGGCTGCTGTAAAGTGCCAAACTGTTGTTTCCTTAGACAAGACACTTCACCCACATTAGATTTGTTGGTGGTGGTCATAGGGGATGATGGCCAATATTGGTTGCCTCTCTTCTGTCAGTGTGCCCCAGGGCAGCTGTGGCTACTGTAGTAGTTTACCACCACTGTGTATGGAGTGAATGAATGACAAGTGAAGCTCTTGGTACAAGCAGTGAACGGCACGATATTTGAATGGACTTGACAAGACTTTGACAATCCTTTGCTTTCTGCTGGACTGTGTGAACGAGGCCAAAGTAGACATGAACTAGGTCATAATATGTGTCTAATGATTAACTCTTTAAATCAGTGGTCAACTCTTTGATCTCTGTGTCAGACTCGCGCTGGTCAGATTCAGACCTGCAACATATATCTCGTGTGTTTTCCTCGATAAGAGATAAAGGTTTTTGCCCTTTTGAATCCAGCTGTTTGTTTGCAGTTCAAATCCACAGAGCAAACATGAACGAGTGGTTAGCGTTTGACCCACTTTGAAACTGTTATCGGCTCTGTTGGCCAAGACCGCTGCACGACTGTAGCAACCAGTCTGTCATCGGCTCCTCCCATCAGACACACACCAGACTCATCCTAATGGGGGTGAAGTTTCTTTCCTAGACTGTATATAGATTTACAATGCCAACCCGCTATCTCAATGAGGGCCAGTAGAGAAAAGGTTTTGCTCCAACTCTCAATCTAAAATTCTCACAATTTTGGACTTGAAGAATCAGGTTTTATTAGGATTATTTTGATATTGTCTTCAGTAAATATGGCTCATATCTGATATACAAACAGATGCCTTTGTGGGGAAACTCCAATTTTCCTTAGTGGCCATCTTGGCGTGTCTGCCCTGGTTTAGGCCAGGGTTGTTCAAACTTTTCAGCAAGAGGGCCACTTTACTTTCCAGACTTGTCCTTTGGCCCACAAACTCGATTGTAAAACTGCATGGTTTACACCCATATTATTTACATTTACCAGAAATTGACGTGCACTCTTACCACAGCTACACTGGGACGATACATGGAATGATGTGACTCGATCCAAAACAAATGTCTGCCTAAACTAATAAAGTAAACGTGAATGTTTGTGTCAAAGTCAAGAAGATGCAATCTGTTTATAAATTCTTTTCACTTCCTGTATGTAGGTGGAGGAGGCAGACGATTGGCTGAGACATGGAAACCCGTGGGAGAAGGCCCGCCCCGAGTACATGCTGCCGGTGCACTTCTACGGCCGCGTGGAGGACACCAAAGAGGGCTCCAAATGGGTCGACACGCAGGTCTGTGGAAGATGGTAGTGTCGGTTGAATCTTTAATCATATGGTATGCTGATAGAGCACCCAGAAGAGATGTACATCTTACATTTGGCATGAATAGGATCACTCTGGGTGTGCAAAAAGACAGAAAATGTGAAAAAAATGTAAACTATGTAGAGCAGAGTCAAAGTCAAATACATCAGGGGGCAAAAAAACAAATTTGTTTCAAGCCAAGGGCTGGGCACTGATTAGAACGTTGTACTCTTGTCGCACTAGAGTAGCGCAGTGGTTAGCACTTTTACTTCACGGCAAGAAGGTCCCCTGGTCTCTAGACTGGGCCTTTCTTTGTGGAGTTTGAATGTGTATTCTTGTGTCTGTAAGTTTTCTGTGTGCTCCGGTTTCCTCATGTGCAGTAGGTCTGTAATGAGGGTAAATAGATTGATGGTCAGAGCCTTCCGGAGTTGTTTGGTGTCTTGCTTCTGTCTTCACAATGTGTGGAGAGAATGGAAATTACTGGTACAACAAAAACTGCCTTGTGTGACCTGCCTGTTGTGTCCTGCAGGTGGTGCTGGCCATGCCCTTTGACACGCCCATCCCCGGGTACCAGAACAACACGGTGAACACCATGAGGCTGTGGTCTGCGCGAGCTCCCAACGACTTCAACCTCAGAGACTGTAAGTCTGTTTTCTGCTCTCCTTGGGTCAATTTGACCCATCAGTTTTTTTGTTTCGTTTTTTTTTAATACATTTTTTAGCTGAATTTGAATAACTTTTCCTGACTTGACCAGCCCTGGGTGAACTGTAATCATCAAAATTAAGTAACATTTTTTGTATTCTTCTAGTTAATGTTGGAGATTACATCCAGGCTGTTTTGGACAGAAATGTGGCAGAAAACATCTCCCGAGTCCTCTACCCCAACGACAATGTGAGTCAGTGACAATCGTACTGTTTTTATGTGTTGTTCCTGAAGCTGTTTGTTTCTTTTTGAGTTGCCAAAAACTACACTGCCATTTGTTGGAGCACTTTGGTGTGTGCCATCAAACTATACTTGAATGTTATTTATATTATTAGTAAGAAGTACGTACTTAAAACTTATATTTTTCAGATCAACAAAGCACATTTTTATTGGACTTCAAACCCTGACACCCACACTGTAACGCACATAATCACAGTTTGAAATAAATAAATTGATTGATTGGCAGTAACGCATACGGCAACAAAAGAATAAACATGGCCAAACATGCGCGCACACACACAGAAAATACAAACACTACTAAAGTATCACAATCAGAGCAAAGGAGGAAGTTGGCTCGTGTTTCAAGAGTTTTTTTACATAAATAATTCTTTGTCTTGTTTTTAGAATGATTTCCATTCCAGTGGATTAATCATAGTTCACACTAGAGCTACTGAGGGCTCTCTCTTTTGCTGCTAATAAACAGTTTGAATACGCAGACACAGATGTCCTTGTGATTTCTTCTTCTGTTGTCTTCGTTTGCTGTAGTTCTTCGAGGGAAAGGAGCTGCGTCTGAAGCAGGAGTACTTTGTGGTGGCGGCGACTCTCCAGGATATAATCCGAAGATTCAAAACCACCAAGAAAGGAGTTCCAGGTCGCTCCTCCTTCGAGAACTTCCCAGACAAGGTGAGGATTCAGAGCAACTTTCGGAATCTACAGCCTCATTCGCACTGTGCTGTTTTTTAGCCCGTTGCTTTCCTGTGGAGCGAGTGAAGAGGGTTTTAAAACAAATCAAAGAAGTCACATGAGGGACAATAGTTGGCATATTGACAGCGTAACAAGCCGTGGAACAAGCGTGACTGCCCAATCGTCTACCTCAGTTCAATAAGGCAATAATAACAAACACATAGGAGCCATCGGTCCATAGCAAGCGGGATGACACTTTCCATAAATGTCCTGGATCATCACTGCGCTCAGACCCTCCTGCATCAGCAAGGAACGACTCAGAGAAAGCCAGTGGTAAAAAAGGGAGAACCTGGGGCTCTAGATCCTGCCCTCTGGTCTCTCTATCTCTGTCTATGTAATTTTAAATGTTTCTTGTCTTCCCTGTGGAGAAAAGCAAAACCCCAACCTTTCTCACTGTAACCCTGGTTATAAAATACATGCGTTAATAACACCTTATCTACGACCTCCTGTTGAAATCTTGTTACCTGATTGAATAATTTCCCATTTTAAAGCCGCCATAATGTGGTGGCTTTAAATTATACTTTTTCTGTTTTTCGTAGGTGGCGATTCAGTTGAATGACACCCACCCAGCCATGGCCATCCCAGAGCTCATGAGGATCTTTGTGGACATTGAGAAACTGGACTGGGACGAGGTCAGTTTGCACATCACACCTCAGAGTCCCAGCAGCTGCTCTATAATCTTGTATGCTAAAGAACATAAATATTTTCTATGAAGCCAATCAATCAATGAAAATATTGCAAAGTAGGTTTATGATTGTGGCTACACAGCACAAAACCTGCACCATAGACTTTGACTGGACGGGTCAAAAGCAGAGGAGAGGCCTGTGTAAAGTGTACCATGACCATAGCCTAAACTTTAACCTTTTTAGTATGATATTTTTAAGTCTGTCTGTTTGTTGTGTGCGTGTCTGTTTGTTGTGTGTTGAGGCCTGGGACTTGACCCGAAGGACCTTCGCCTACACAAACCACACAGTCCTCCCCGAGGCCCTGGAGCGGTGGCCCGTCCGCCTCATGGAGACACTTCTGCCCCGGCACCTGCAGATCATCTACCAGATCAACCAGAAGCACCTGGACGTGAGTCTGAGCCTGAGCCATGTGTTTCAGCAGGTTTAGTCCCACAGCTTATAAAAACATTTCAAAAATAAAAAATCTGTTATGGCTCAGTTAGTGTTTTTATTCTGAAAGAGAATTCACTGTGTTTTTGTTTAGCCCTAAATCAAATTTATTGTAGGACTTTACAAAGTTTTCCATTCGCCAAACACAACTCAGAGAAACCAACAGTTTGAACACAGAAAGGCAATAATAACAAACACATAGGAGCCATTGGGTCATAGGGAGCAAGATGGTCAATGTCCATAAATGTCCCAGATCATCACTGTCCTTAGATGCTCTGCAAGGAACGACTTATATACCTGGTTAGAAAAAGTGAGAAACCCCACAAAGGCTCATTTTGAGAGGGAGAGATCCAATCCAACAAACTGACAGGCTGTAGATCCTGGACAAGATCCAGGACTCGAGGCTGTAGATCCGGGATTGAAGAGGCTCACAGTTGGGAAGGGGGTGCAGCCAGTCCAGGACTGAATACTTGACGTTCCGTGTCGTGCCTCCAGAACATTGCGGCTCTGTTCCCGGATGACATGGATCGGCTGCGGGCCATGTCTCTGATCGAGGAGGACGGGGAGAAGAGGGTGAACATGGCTCATCTCTGCATCGTTGGCTCTCACGCTGTGAACGGCGTGGCTCAGATCCACTCCAACATCGTCAAGACCCAAGTGTGAGGACCGACCTGGTCTCTGTCTGTGTCTCTCAGTCTGGCTCTCTGTGTGTCACTCTCTCTGTGTCATTCTCTCTCTCTCTCAATCTCCCATTCTCTGTCGCTCTGTCTTAACTCTCGGTGTCTCTCTCTCTCTCTTTCTCTGTCTCTCTCTCTGTCTCTTTCTCTCTGTCTCTTCTGTCTCATTTCCCCAGGAGTCCGTGCTTCTGTAACTCCTCCACGTCTCTCCGTTCTTCAGGTTCCGGAACTTCAGTGAATTGGAGCCGGAGAAGTTTCAGAACAAGACGAACGGGATCACGCCTCGTCGCTGGCTGCTGGTCTGCAACACGGGGCTGGTGGACATCATCGCCGAGGTAACAACACAACAGACCACAACAACTTACAAAAAAATGTACAGTGCCTTGCAAAAGTATTCGGCCCCCTTGAACCTTTCAACATTTTGCCACATTTCAGTCTTCAAACATAAAGATATTAAATTTTAATTTTTTGTCATGAATCAACAACAAATGGGACACAATCGTGAAGTGGAACGAAATTTATTGGATAATTTAAACTTTTAAAAAAAATAAAAAACTGAAAAGTGGGGCGTGCAATATTATTCGGCCCCTTTACTTTCAGTGCAACAAACTCACTCCAGAAGTTCAGTGAAGATCTTTGAATGATCCAATGTTGTCCTAAATGACTGATGATGATAAATAGAATGCACCCGTGTGTGATCAAGTCTCTGTATAAATGCACCTGCTCTTTGATAGTCTCAGGGTTCTGTTTAAAGCGCAGAGAACCATGAAGACCAAGGAACACACCAGGCAGGTCCGAGATACTGTTGTGGAGAAGTTTAAAGCCGGATTTGGATACAAAAAGATTTCCGAAGCTTTAAACATCTCAAGGAGCACTGTGCAAGCAATTATATTGAAATGGAAGGAGTATCAGACCACTGCAAATCTACCAAGACCTGGCCGTCCCTCCAAACTTTCATCTCAAACAAGGAGAAGACTGATCAGAGATGCAGCCAAGAGGCCCATGATCACTCTGGATGAACTGCAGATAACTACAGCTATCATCATCAGTCATATAGGACAACATTGGATCATTCAAAGATCCTCACTGAACTTCTGGAGTGAGTTTGCTGCACTGAAAGTAAAGGGCCGAATAATATTGCACGCCCCACTTTTCAGTTTTTTATTTGTTAAAAAAGTTTAAATTATCCAACACATTTCATTCCACTTCACGACTGTGTCCCACTTGTTGTTGATTCATGACAAAAAATTAAAATTGTATATCTTTATGTTTGAAGCCTGAAATGTGGCGAAATGTTGAAAGGTTCAAGGGGGCCGAATACTTTCGCAAGGCACTGTATCTAACATTAATTTAACCCAAACTGCTTTCTGATTTGAGTCAGGAAACCAGGAAGTCAAATCTAAAATATAAACAATTGAAGTGTGAGAAAAGTCCATGCTTTTGTCCCATAGATGATCGGTGAGGACTTTGTGACAAACTTGAGTGAACTGAAGAAACTCAACGACTTTGTGGACGATAAACATTTTCTCCAGAACATCATGAAAGTCAAACAGGTGAGAGTTTGGAAATGTAGACGAATTATGTTACAACAAAAACTTTGAATTATTAAGTAAATGTTAGGAGTAGGTCTGTGACTAACAATTAACCTTTTTGTACAAATAAACAATTTTTGTCAATTTTGCAACAGAGAATAAATATGAACTGGTCATTAGAGGTCTTACACAACAGACTGATGGGAGAGAGGTGAAGGGTCAGAGCAGAGAGAGGGTGTCTGTCTTTTGTAAATTACTGCATGTACTGCACAGAATCATAATTGTATTCTGTATCTTATTGGGTTGAATGGGTGAGATGGGGTTGGTATAAATTTAGCGTCCACTTCATCTGACCCCCTTTCAAACCTGTTTCTCCGAGAACATATTTTAAATTATGTTGGACCTCTCATTTATTTTTTTCTTATTATTTATTATCATTTAAATTTATCATTATTTATTTTAATCATTGTTTATTTATTTTTATCGTTTATTTATTTTATTTTATTTTTTGTTTTGTATTTATTTGACAGGAAAACAAGCTAAAGTTTGGCCAGTATTTGGAAGCAGAGTACAGGGTGAAGATAAACCAGGCGTCCATCTTTGACGTTCACGTGAAGAGGATCCACGAGTACAAGAGACAAGTGCTCAACTGTCTGCACATCATTTACCTCTACAACAGTGAGTGCTCCTGATGCTACACACCATTACTTCACAAGACACAGCTTGTGAAGCAAGTTTATTTGTGTAGCACAAATAAACTGGCAAATCGCAAATGCAAAAATCTTGAGTCTGTGATCTAGATTAAATTCAAATACAAATAAACGATGAAGTAGAATGTTTGTTTTTTTGTTTGTTTGTTTTTGCAAGAACTTTGTGTGAAGTATTACTAATCTGGTGCCGCCCCAAAATGTGCCCATAAGCAGGTCTCAACAGCCACTGACGCGATCTTATTTTGAAACGGGACATTTCCAGACAAGTATTTAGTTTTATGACATTTTATACTGCTTCCTACAGCCCTGTTATGTCTCATATCAAGATCAGATTAGGTTTAGTTTTTTATTATTTCAATATTTGTTGCGAGATCCAGATAATGCATATGTTAAAATGTATGCAAGATGTTATGGACCAAAGAAAAACTTTCCCATTTCTCTATTAGCGCTAGACCTTAATATTGTTGGCCCAAACTTTTATTATTTATGCAAAAAAGAACATGTTGGATATACAACTTTGGGTTTAAAGCTGGTGTACCTATTTTCTGCCGTTATTTCAGAGGCTGTAACTTTGCTTATTGACTTTTCTCTGCAGAGATCCGCATGAACCCTGCTGCTCCTTTCACTCCACGGACTGTGATCATTGGGGGGAAGGTACAAGCAAACATGCAATGCTTCATTTTCACTGACCTATTTTCTGTCAACTCGTCTAAAGCCTTCTGAGCTGTGACTGTTTCCCACTCACTTAAACATGCTTTGAACTACTCTAAATGCAACTGTTTTTCATCCTTTTGCATCTGAGACTCGAATCAATCCAATGCATTTGTTTCCCCCAACTCTCTCCAACTCTCTCTCTCTCCAACTCTCTCCCTCCAACTCTCTCTCTCTCTCCAACTCTCTCTCTCTCTCTCCAACTCTCTCTCTCTCTCTCTCTCCAACTCTCTCTCTCTCTCTCTCTCCAACTCTCTCTCTCTCTCTCTCTCCAACTCTCTCTCTCTCTCTCTCTCCAACTCTCTCTCTCTCTCTCTCTCCAACTCTCTCTCTCTCTCTCTCTCCAACTCTCTCTCTCTCTCCAAGAACAAAACTGCTATTAATAACTATTACACTACATCTATGTCGATGAACTACTGCTATTGATCCACCTTCTCCATGTATTGGTCTTGGTCACATTCCCTTGTTTTGTCATCCAGTGTATAACAATAACGCATAGTTTATTGACTCTGTCGCCCCCCGCAGGCTGCCCCTGGGTACCACATGGCCAAGATGATCATCAAACTCATCACATCTGTAGCAAATGTGGTGAACAATGATCCAATTGTGGGAGACCGACTCAAGGTTATCTTCCTGGAGAACTACAGAGTGTCCCTGGCTGAGAAAGGTAAATTTATTTTCATCTGTGTTTGGGGAATTTTTGGAAGAGGGCTCTCCTTGAAGGTGGTCCATCCTTCTTAAAAAAAAAACAAAAACAAAAAACTGGTACCCTAGATTTAAAAGTTTATTTGAAAGACATAAACATTGTAGCATTTATTTCCTACAAGATGTTTAAAATAAATTCTTCTCCTGTAGTGATCCCGGCCACAGACCTGTCTGAGCAGATCTCCACGGCGGGGACAGAGGCCTCAGGCACCGGGAACATGAAGTTTATGCTGAACGGAGCTCTGACCATCGGCACCATGGACGGCGCCAACGTGGAGATGGCCGAGGAGGCGGGCGAGGAAAACCTCTTTATATTTGGGATGAGGGTGGAGGACGTGCAGGCGCTCGACGAGGAAGGGTGCGGAGACCACCAGAGTTACTTCTGCTACTGCTTCCTCTTCAACTTGCTCATTGTTTTTAATTTGTTGAATAGTTTGGCCCCTTTTTTTTATAAATGGCCAAATCTCAGATACTGTCTCTGCGTCGGTAGCTGGTCAATAATATGTTCACGTCTCTCCTCATAGATACGACGCCATGTTGTACTACAAAAAGCTCCCAGCGCTCAAACAAGTGATGGACCAGATCACCAGTGGATACTTCTGCCCCAAAAACCCACATCAGTTCAAAGACCTCACAGACATGCTCTTCAACCACGACAGGTGAGTGCACTGCTTAGACAAAGTATTAAAAGTATTAATCGTAAAGGTTTTTGGTTTTTCTACACCAGACAATAGTAAGTTAGCAATGGTATTTCCTTGTCCATGTTTTACCGTAAGTAAAGATTGCTTACTTACTTACTAGTACTCTATTCTATTACATGTATAGCCCTAAATCCCAACAGCAGTCATCTGGGAGGAGATTCGCCAACAGATCAAAAGATTTAATAGTTCGAACACAGGAAATTCAATCATGACAAACGCATAGAAGCCATCGATCCATTGGGAGCAGGATGACCACTGTCCATAAATGTTTATAAAATACCCATATCATGACTGTCCTTTAGACCCTCCTGCATCAACAAGGAGCAACTCAAAACTTCCTGAAGCCAGATCTATTTTGAGCTCAGAACAAAATGGCACCGTACCTGAACTGTACTTTGAATTATCCTTACATTATTAACCATTAAGAAAACGTATTGTTATGTGATGTACATTATTGTGTCTATAGTCTCAAAAGCATTCGTTAATTATTTTTTTGTCTATTTCAGGTTCAAAGTTTTCGCAGACTTTGAGGACTATGTAAAATGCCAAGAGCGAGTCAGCAAACTTTTCCAGGTAACATCACAATCCACCTTTTTGGGACTGATGTAGAAAAACTGAAAGGTCTTTTTTAATCTTCCGAACTGCTAATGTCAAGCCATATTCCATTCCATTTTCTTCCGCTTTAGTGGGAGCATCAATGTTAAATAGCCATTCTCAAAGCCCTGCTTACAGTAAGAATACATGTTATAAAACTTTATGGCACTGGGAAAACAAAAAAACTTTCAGAATGGGCAACATTTATAACATTTTAACTAAACATTTTAGTAATTAAAGGATTTAAGAATTTTTATCTTAAGAGGTATACTTAAGTCTACCAGACAGCCCTGATTGTAAAAACTACAACACTTTTATATCATACCCCATTTTACAGTCCACAATGCTGAAGTTGGCTGAACGACCAATGTTTACTTTCTAATTTGCTTCATTAGCTCCTCATTTAGTCCACTGGTTTAGTTCAAGTTCAAGTTGTCTTTATTGTCCCACTAGGGGAAATTGGTTTTGCAGCATAAATCATCTAAAAAAACAGGCAGGTACAGTAAAATCACAACATTGAGAAAACAAGAACAAAAGAGAATGTCACAAAACAAATGTTCAGCGCAAAGGTTTGTAAAAGTGCTATGTGCTGTTAAGGTGCTTTACAGCTGTTGGGATAAATGTAGTTCCCAACCGTTTTGTCCTACACCCAAGAGCCCTATAGCGTCGTCCTGAGGGTAAAAGTTCAAACTGCTCCCTCAGGGGGTGGTCCAAAGAACCAATGATAGAATTGGCCTTTAGGGTATTAGAGAAAATCAAAAAGGTCTTTCTAATCATCTCGTGTTATTTGATAATGATGCGATATTATCTCAAAGACTCCAAACGACATCTCAAGGCAATGCTACCCAAAGTTAGCAAGACAGGGGGCCACATAAAATTACACAAATGGCTCAGATTGGTCCACGGGTCGGACTTTTTTTTCTAATCTCATAAATGCAGCATGACTGGAGGACCTTTATTCTCTTATAAACAGAACAGTGGGAATAAAAATAGCTCTCAATAACTAGTTAATTTGCCAAAAAGTTGGTCCATAGGATGTTTGGTGCTTGTATATCATCACAATCTCCCTGCATTTGCCCTGACTCTCGTGTTTTACCCCACCCAAGAACCCAATGGAATGGACCAAGATGGTGGTCAGAAACATCGCCGCAACCGGGAAGTTTTCGAGCGACCGCACAATCACAGAATATGCACGAGAAATCTGGAACGTGGAGCCGAGTAACCTCAAGATCCCTCCTCCCAGCGAGCCTCTGCACGTGGACCACCTCACCAGCTAGACCCATCGGTGTTCTGTTAACACTGAACGGGACGAGAATGAGGCGAATAGGAGGCATTTGAGCTGGAGCTGGCGGTCGGAGTAGTGTGGTTGAATTTGCTTGCAGTCGCTAATGGCAGATGATTTGCAAAGAATTACATTGTTTTTCTATACATTTAATTTATAGGAAAAGTTGTTATTTCAAACACATAGAAGCCATTGGTCCATAGGATTGATGTCCATAAATGTGAATAAATGTCCTTGAATGTCCCAGATTATCGCTGTCCTTAGACCTTCCTGCATGGGCAAGGAGTGACCTAAATAAAAACAGTGGAGAAAAAAGGGAGAAACCTTGGGAAAGTCCATATTGAGAGGGGGACTTACTACCACGAAATGACAGGCTGTACATCCAGGACTGGGGCTGTAGATCCAGGACTGCTGTCTTTAATGTTATCTTGTTTAATAAGACGTGTGGATGTAATGTCAAACTCTGCCACTAGATGGTGGTCTTGCTGCATTCTATTCTCTTACCCATTGTTCATGTTTATGCATTTACTTTCAACTCCAATTTTTTTAACTTTCTTAAACATGTGTCAAAGCAAAATGCCTGCGTTTAAAGCTGGGGTACCTATATTTCAAATTTCTACAGTAGTTTGTTGCTTTAGTTTGCATTTGTTACTAGTTTTTTGTATTTCTAGCCTCTGAAAAAGCAGAATGTGATGGAGCGAGAAGTGCCTGAGTGAGTGTGGTTCTCTGACCGCTCACCCTAAAGCATCAAGAGTGACTCTCAGGGCTCTCATCTTTTCCAAGACTTTATGTTGAGACTGAATCTATTCTGAAACAAGCAATTTGGGTACACCAGCTTTAAGAGTAAAAAGGATTCCTAGATTTCTAACTTGTACTGTACTCACTCACAAAGCGGTATATTCAACCATACCATTCTGATTTGTCTCAAGCTCATTTTTAAACTAATATCTTCCAGCTTTTGAGATTCAAATAAAGACATTTAAAATTATTTTACTTTTCTGGTTTTTATTTAGTTTGGTACCTGAATATTTTGAAATAATATTTCAAATGAACTACACTCTATGGGTAAGTTCTTGTCAAAGGCAAAACTATGATCAGGATATGATCTCTTTTTTTGGTCCTCATAACTATTCTGTATCTTCAGTGGGGGAAAAAAAGTATTTAGTCAACCACCAATTGTGCAACTTCTCACAATTTAAAAAATGAGGGAGGGCTGTATTTTTCATCAAAAGTGTACCTCAACTAAAACAGAATGAGAAAAAAGATCCCTTTTTTTTAAAATCATCCGTTTTAGCACTTGGACAAATTGGATGAATTTTTTACTTTTATTAAATCTAATAATACATTGGTTTCCTAGAAATGTAAGGTGCAATATAAATACTACATATTAAACTTCATATACATAAAAGTGCTCCTTAATCTGAAACTAAACTAAACCTTTTGTGGGATTTCTCAGCGACTGAATGGGAGCAGTCAAAACGACGGCTCTGGGAGTTCTGGTGAGAACTTTCGACAACAAAAAATCTCATTCAAATAAACAATTTTATTGTAAGAAACATGATATTGGTTATATACAAGCAGTGCACACAGGATTTTAAAGTCTCAATATTTATCTGTTATTAAAAGGCCTTACAGTCAATGAGCTCTCAATACTTTGCCACTTTGTTCAAGAAATTCCTGCGAGAGAAAAGTCAAATCGGTTTAGAAATGTGGGAACAATAACATGATTTATGCTTGACTCACGTGACGACGTCTGTGAGATTTGGGTCTAAATAAATATCTCTGTGGTTGTATCCGAGTTCGGCGCTGTAAGAAACCAGCTCCACCTCTGTAGAGACCGTCAGACCTCGAGCTCGGAGGGAAATCTCATACAACTGTGGAGATATGCAATGTTTTAATGCCAGATTTTAGATATTTGAGGCAAAATGAAGGCTTCTAGTGCACCCCGGACCAGAGAGATCCTAATCCTTATGAACTATGGCAAATTTAACACCCATTTTTTTCAATTATTGAACTATAAGGACAAGTATTTCATATTTCAGCCTGGAGTATGTTGAGGTAGTTGTGGATGAGATTCTGTATTCTCTATGAAAGCTGCACATACTTCTCAGCAAAGCCTCCAGTTCCTCTAAATTCCTGGACCGCCTTTCTTGACCTGTACATTTGGGATCTCTGCAGAATGGCTCAATGATGTAATTGAATGGTTAATTTGCCAAAACAGTTACTGTACATGCTATTAGAAAGTCATTTGAAACACTTATTTGCTCTTTACCAAGTAGTTTATTGAAAAGCCAGTCATATTATTGTGCCATACAAATAACCTTTCATCCTTTCTTAAGCAAATCCTTTCAAATTTACTGCCATTCGCAAAACCGGTTAAAGGTTGTAGCTAGAAGACAACAGAACATTTTTGACCAATTTTCAAAACAGATTGCTGTTTTTGCAAACGAACTTGAATTTAAAATAGAAAACGCATTTATTTGACAATATGTGACATCACAGAACCACTAGTAATGAGTTGAGGGGGTTGTTTTTGTTCTTTTAAAATCTCCAAAATGTGACAAAAACAATGAAATGTCCTGTGTGTCTAGGGTGTGTAAAAACCCACCTCTTTGCCCATAGAATAGGGCACCACATTGTCATCCATGGCGTGCAGTATGAGCAGAGGACTGGTCAATGTCTCTAAACTAGAACAAAAGATATTGGTAACCATGGCAACACAGAATACAGAGCAATTTCATGTTTACTTTTTATCATTTGCAAATTCCACTTCAATCTTTTCCATGATGTTCCGAATCAGACTTTTAAAACCAGGAAGGAGGATATATGGCTAGAAACACGTGGTAAATGGGTTAGGTTTTTTCAATTATTTTGCAATGTTGTTAATAATTTATGAGAAGAATAGAAATACTTTGGCGAGTTTGTCCAATTCCACTATTTCTCCTATTTTTGTGTATGGGGCTTGTAGGACAACAGCGTCAGCAGCAGACCCTGGGAATGACATTAAGAACACTCTATTATTACTGCACTGCAATGATAAAACATAAGGTAATATATGCTTGAATGGAGTGGTTTTGTCTTAATTACATTCGGACTGTCTTAAAACAGGATATGCCAATGAAATAAAGCCAAGGGACCTTTCTTGCATCTTATTAAAACAAGATACTTTTGCTTTGTCTCACTGGCAAATCTTGCTCTAAGGCAGTCAAAATGTGATTAAATTAAGATAATCTTATGAATCTTTGACTTATTTTTAATCACTTTTGTGATTAAAAATGTTGGTGTGTTTTGTCATTATTTTGTTAAAAAAAGTCAAATCTCATTGAGTACCTTGTTTTTGTAGTGCGACAGCAGCATTTGTGGCCACCCTGCTCAAAGCAAGACAGAAATACAATATTCTTATTAGACTAGAATGATAACTTTTGTAGCTTTTAACCATGTTACATTATCACTCTTCAAAGCGTTTTTAGATCTATCTGCACTAATATCAGTAACTTCTAAGAAGCACGCCGACTTTGACACACCAACACACTGATAGATCGATCAACATGACACGTAGCTACACAAATGACCCACCAAAATGTTCAGCAGAAACTCACTTACAAAACCATTAACTTTGATTTCAGATCGATCAGACACACACAGCATAAACACATGAGGAGAAACCCAAACTCCCCAAAATAGACTCCGCTCCTCGAGGGTAAATGCCTCCAGAAAGTAGCAGGGTGTTTCTATTTTCTAGTGTGTAGTGTAGTGTGTTATTTGTGTGTTTATAATAAAGAGTTTGTATAAAATGTTGCTATCTAATACTAACAAAAACATTTGTATTTTTTATGATTTTTCACATAAAAACCTGCATAGATTGTTATTTTTTTTGCTATCTAGACATAAACTTTGTTCCAAGGTGTCAGTAAAAGGTTGAAGTTGCATTTGATTATGTTTTTTTGCTTCTTTACAAGTTATTATGTCAGATATACATCATTTGTATGTGTTTTTTTTAGGCGAACCTACCTTTTTTTGATAATGTAGCCTAATGCACTCTTGCAGACTATCGTAGACATGAAAATGTTCACGTCCACAGAATCCCCAAAGACTAACTTACAATTGGAGTAACATTTCTATCATTTTCAAAGGCCTGTATAGTAATTATGTGGGAATAGGCCTGAGATTTTAATAGGTTAACCAGATATATTCAACTGAAGATATTATTTTACAAAACTGAACATGAAAGTACAAATTAAACAGTCTTTTGAATATTTTTAATGGTCTAAAAAGTGTATATTTTTTGGGATTAGCTGACACATTTCAAAATATGTTATTATTTTTTGGAATTAAAAAATTAGGCGATTCAATTGTTTCATTTGTCGATTCATCCATAAAAAAATATATACAATTTCACCCGTCCTTTAAATTTTGCACTGCAGAAATCTAGAATTGACAAATCAGACATTATTCAATTTAATTCAATGGATGAATATCACATACATTTGTACGCTTAAATACATGCATCTGTGTGCAGACTCTGAATGTGTTTTTGACTAATCATGTTTAAATATGTGATAAAAACGTACCCAGTACCCAGAGACTGTCCCCAGAAGCTCACGGCGCTCCCTCTGCTGTGCTGCTTTACCCACTGGAACAGGTAGAGGGCGTCCTGCGTCACTCCTGCTTCACTCGGATCCCCACTGGAATCTCCAAACCCTCAAACGCAATCAGAACTTCAGTCTCTCATGGAAAAAAAAAATCTGACCATACACTGAATGTATAAAGACAAAATATGGCCAGAATTTGGATATACAGTATTTCTCCGGTTTAGGAAGTTTGTATTATCAGTGTCTAGACATTTATGGTGAATAAAATATAACTATGACCTGCAATCGTCTATTAATGGGAAACATTAGATTTGACAAATTGAAGCTGGGGTAATTAACTTATAAAACACATAAATCTAGCTCGTTCCTTGTCTTCACTGTTGTCAAATTCTCTAAATCAGCTTTCTCCGTGTAAACTATACTCTCTAGATACATTGATACATGGCAAATTGTAAAATAGATTTGCCTCATGGTCTCCTCTCGTTTCTTACCTCGATAATCTAAAGAGAACACATGGAATCCAGCACCACTTAATTTCTGCAAGATACAACTTCTTATTAAAATGTGCAATTAGATCATTGATTATTTCTATGTATAGAACCAATAATTAGCAACATATACTTGGAATGAATGAATAAAGAAATAAATCCTGTACAGACCTTAACCAGGCCGACTCTGTGTTCCGCTGCCCTGGAACAAAACACCAGTGATCAATAAAAGCAGCATTTAAATCCTCTTGTTTCGTGTCGGTGCGCACAAACCCCTCTCAAGCAGCAGCCAACATTCCTCCATCACGATTAACAAAGGTAAAATTGACGGTTGCTTAGGACCACCCTCACTCAACCACTCAGCTCAGAATCCCTCACTCAGACATTAAGTGTTTATATTGTGTCTTTTTGTTAATTTCACTTGTATTTTAAATGATAATCAAACCATATTAAGTATTAATTCTGTGTATCTTCCCAGGGACTACAGATGGAGATTATATAGTAGCGATGGCCAGTCTGTTCAATTTATTTATTGTGAGATTGCTGTCAATTAAATAAATTAATAAACAACTATTTAATTAATTAACCACTACAGTTAATCAAAATACTAATAATAATATTGGTAATGAAGCATATATAATTAAAATATAAGCCGGTATGTAAATAATAAAATAAAATAAATTTCAAATAATATTCAGGTCAATATAAGTACTGATAGCTTCAAGCAATTATGAATATATAAAAAATATATATAGAAGATTAGCCGAGTATAAACGTGTGTCTTGTAGTGTGTCTCATTAATTTGAAGTATGTTAATGAAACCATGATTGTATCCCCAGTGGACATCTGAAGTACTCTCATCCCTCCACATGCACGCTTTAGTCCCACCTGGTTCCTCCGTTGCCATGGAGAAAAATGATAACAGGGCGTCCGTCTCCCAAAGCGTCTCTGAACCATTGTGTGCTAGTCTGTCCGTGTGCCGCTTCCCATTGGCTGGAGGGGAGAGTGTGCCTGAGGGGCCAAAACACTGCATCAACAAGAGGGACAGGGGGCATGAAGGATGAGGAGACTCTTGATCAGGGGATGGGGGGGGGGGGGGGGGCAGTTTTTAGTAATCTTTATTTATACAGTGCCTTGCGAAAGTATTCGGCCCCCTTGAACCTTTCAACATTTTGCCACATTTCAGGCTTCAAACATAAAGATATAAAAATTAAATTTTTTGTCAAGAATCAACAACAAGTGGGACGCAATCGTGAAGTGGAACAAAATTTATTGGATAATTTAAACTTTTTTAACAAATAAAAAACTGAAAAGTGGGGCGTGCAATATTATTCGGCCCCCTTGCGCTAATACTTTGTAGCGCCACCTTTTGCTGCAATTACAGCTGCAAGTCGCTTGGGGTATGTCTCTATCAGTTTTGCACATCGAGAGACTGGAATTCTTGCCCATTCTTCCTTGCAAAACAGCTCGAGCTCAGTGAGGTTGGATGGAGAGCGTTTGTGAACAGCAGTCTTCAGCTCTTTCCACAGATTCTCGATTGGATTCAGGTCTGGACTTTGACTTGGCCATTCTAACACCTGGATATGTCTATTTGTGAACCATTCCATTGTAGATTTGGCTTTATGTTTTGGATCATTGTCCTGTTGGAAGATAAATCTCCGTCCCAGTCTCAGGTCTTTTGCAGACTCCAACAGGTTTTCTTCCAGAATGGTCCTGTATTTGGCTCCATCCATCTTCCCATCAATTTTAGCCATCTTCCCTGTCCCTGCTGAAGAAAAGCAGGCCCAAACCATGATGCTGCCACCACCATGTTTGACAGTGGGGATGGTGTGATCAGGGTGATGAGCTGTGTTGCTTTTACGCCAAGCATATCGTTTTGCATTGTGGCCAAAAAGTTCGATTTTGGTTTCATCTGACCAGAGCACCTTCTTCCACATGTTTGGTGTGACTCCCAGGTGGCTAGTGGCAAACTTTAAATGAGACTTTTTATGGATATCTTTGAGAAATGGCCACTCTTCCAAAAAGGCCAGATTTGTGCAGTGCACGACTGATTGTTGTCCTATGGACAGACTCTCCCACCTCAGCTGTAGTTATCTGCAGTTCATCCAGAGTGATCATGGGCCTCTTGACTGCATCTCTGATCAGTCTTCTCCTTGTTTGAGATGAAAGTTTGGAGGGACGGCCGGGTCTTGGTAGGTTTGCAGTGGTCTGATACTCCTTCCATTTTAATATAATTGCTTGCACAGTGCTCCTTGAGATGTTTAAAGCTTGGGAAATCTTTTTGTATCCAAATCCAGCTTTAAACTTCTCCACAACAGTATCTCGGACCTGCCTGGTGTGTTCCTTTGTCTTCATGGTTCTCTCTGCGCTTTAAACAGAACCCTGAGACTATCAAAGAGCAGGTGCATTTATACGGAGACTTGATTACACACAGGTGCATTCTATTTATCATCCTCAGTCATTTAGGACAACATTGGATCATTCAAAGATCCTCACTGAACTTCTGGAGTGAGTTTGCTGCACTGAAAGTAAAGGGGCCAAATAATATTGCACGCCCCACTTTTCAGTTTTTTATTTGTTAAAAAAGTTTAAATTATCCAATACATTTCGTTCCACTTCACGATTGTGTCCCACTTGTTGTCCCACACAAAAAATTAAAATGGTATATCTTTATGTTTGAAGCCTGAAATGTGGCGAAATGCTGAAAGGTTCAAGGGGGCCGAATACTTTCGCAAGGCACTGTATATCGCCTTTTAAAGACCAGAGTCACAAAGCACTTTACAATTGTTGTGGGAATTTGTTTCTCACTCCAAACAAAGATGGGAGCGATGTAGCTGTACAGGAGATGCATGCCAGACCTATTGTACATGTTTTTAGTGGTAGGGGAAACCGGAGCACCCAGAGGAAACCTACGCAGACACGGGAAGAACATGCAAACTCCACTCAGAAAGGGTCCGGAATTCAAACCCAGGACCTTCTTGCTGAGAACGAGGTGCTATCCACTCAGCCAAAGTGTGGAGTTTGCATGTTTCATCCCGTGTCTGTCGGTTTCCTCCAGGTACTCCAGCTCCCTCCATCAGTCTGGGAATATCCTGCAGTGAAGGTCCTTACCAAGAGCATCAATTTCTTACTCGTAGCGTTGGAAGGATGGGTAAAATTAAGAATAAAATATACCTTATCTTATCCTGCATATACAGTCGCTATAGTACTCAAAGATTATTATAATCTTTTTTCAGCATAATAGTACAGTTTTCACTTTTAAGAACCATGCTCTTTTATTTTGACATCTGTGGTGCCACCTGCATGTGAAAGCCAGATCTCATGAGACCCCTGAAGCTAAGTAGGATAGGGCCTGGTTAGTACTGTGATGGGAGACCTCTGGGAACATCAGATGCCACCCATATTGCCTAGAATGAGCCTGGTGTGAATGCATGGTGATGGTTGGAGGGGTCAATGGCAAATACTGGTTGCCCCGCTTCTGTCAATGTGCCCCAGGGCAATTATGGCTACAGTAGTAGTTTATCACATGGTGCATCATTGAGTGTCCAAAAAAGTGCTATATAAATCATTACATTATCATTACATAATACTTCTAATTATTCAAAGTTTGAAAGCAAAATATGTGTACATCATACCCTCTGTATGATGGCAAACAATGACATAACCTGTGTTTGTTCCCCGAGCCGCTCTCCCATTGGCTGCAAATGTTGAGTTTACTCCACGGAGACCAGAAGACACCAGAGCAACAAGAGGCAAAGACACACACACACACACACACACGCACACACACACATACACACACGCACACACGCTGCACTGTCTGAGGACACTCTGATGAGTTCTCATTACAACTGTCCCGGCTTCTCTTCAAAACAACGTTATTATTGCATTATTATTACATTCGCAGAGGATTGGACAAAGGCCTTACCACACTCCCACTGAAATTCCTTCTTCCGTGTCGAGGTAGAAGTTACATGTGTGATTCAGGACGAGCTCAGGGCGGCTCAGGTTGACGCCAAATGGAGCGCGGACTGGAGAGAAAACGCAGATTTAAGGTCAGTAATGTGGGAAGTTGGGGATTTCTCATAATTGTTTTGGAGACATGTGTAAAATCTACTACTTCTTACTCTCAACATAATAATGGTTGGAGACTGCAAATTAATTAGGAAACAATCCTATAATTGATTTGTGTTATTGAAATTAACAAGCAAATGCATTTTTTTCTGTCTTATATATGATCTTGAGAACATTTCCTTTGGCATTTAGTGTTTAAAGAAGGGAAATAAAAAAGTTTAAATTATGTGGATAACGCTGTGTAATGGATTAAGACATTATCTTCAGTTGTGAAACACCTCCATCTGGTGGTAGAAATGGTGCAATGAACTGAAAACCCCAGCATTGTAATAAACATTTTTGTCTGGAGAAATTCCCAAGGCAGAGATAATTGTGTTGATGAACTCCAGGTCTGTTTCTGATGAGGGAACAATGTTATTTCTGGTTAAAACGTGCAGATAACTGTAAAATAGGCCGCTTCTTGTGGAGAAATAGCCAAAAGCCCAACTCTGTAACTCATACATGCAAATAAATTCATATCTTTAGATGATACAGAAAATAGTTTCAGGATTTGAAGACAACAAATTATTCTTGTGGAATCTAGGTTGTCCTAAAGCAGGAGTGTCAAATAAAAAATAATCATCTCATTGATGATTCTCTGATCTGTTGTTGAGAATTGACAACTTTGTAAAGTCCTCCGAAACGGTAGTAAGTAAGTAATCTTTATTTATATACCGCCTTTCACAGACCAGAGTCACATAGAGAGTGCCGAGTGGATAGCACTCTCGGCACGGTGGCTGAGTGGAAGCTGTTGCTATACAAAAGATCATAAGTTCATTTCAAATCGGGGCAAAAGCATTATCCCTTAATTACAATATTTATTAGTACTATTTTTTGAATGAGGTATACGTGTAGTAACCCATTATTGTTAATGCTGCAGGTTAATTATGATAATTGATAATCCTTTCAATGGACACAATACATGGTCCTGTGGTCCTGAGTCTGACACAAGACAAAGGAAAAGTGATGTGGACGCCTTTTGAGGAAAGTCATATTGAAGATAAGGCAAACAGGTCTTAAACTATTCAAGTAAAAAAAAAAATTGTGTTTATCTCTAATTATCAAAAAGTTTCATATATTAAAGGGGCAGTATGTGCTATTTCTGTTTTAAATCACATCTACATGTGTTATTTGTATCCCCAGAGAACAGGTCACATGTACAAATCATATGACCTTCTGAACAACGGTTTTAATACAATACAATGGACATGATGTTCAGAATATTTATGTTTAAAATTCTCAAATATATTATCTAATCATAGAACCGAATGAGTACATTGGATAATGAGCAAATACGTTTCACAATGTAAGAACCAGAGAGGACAAGCTGTTGTGTGGTTATGTATGTCAATTTCTAAAATTCAATGATTCGATTTGTGGAAGATCTGAACATGTGACATTTTGAGAGCAGAATGGAAAATCTGGCTGTTTGTGTCCCCGTTGATTGAATTAAGTTGTATGACACATGCACAAATGTCATACAGTAATGTCATAATAAATAACAGGATTGTGCTCATTAAAAAGCTTCTTCTTGAACTGCTAAATTGATGTCTTGTGTATTCTGACTAAAGACTAAACTGCTTTGACATTTTGATTAACTGGACTGGGCATAGAAGATTCTACTGAGACTTTACAGCTTATCATTTTGATCTCTGCTTCCTGACGATAATAGAGATGGGAGAAGTATTTTCAAACACAAAATGCAGTAGAAGGTGTTGATGTACTGTTGTTGCATATGGTTCACATTAAATCTATTGTTTCATACACAATGTTGCTTGTAAAATTAAAATATTGTGCAAAAAAGGCTCATCTTGTACATGTTATCTTTTGCAAACTTGTAAAAGATCCCCGTCACTATTTGATGCTTTAGGCTGAGAGCTGAGTGAGGGTGGTCCAATCTTTTTCACTTTTCTGTCTGAAAAAAAGATCTGACATGCATTTGAAAACTAGTGATAGAACCAAATTGTTTTGAAAGCGAGGAACTGTGGATTCGATTGCATGGTTACATTTTTGTGGTACCTTTAACTATTTAGGCAGCAGGACAAGAAGTGGTTTGGAGTTTCTTTGTTTTTCATCTGTGACAAAATGCCTGTCTGTGTAATGCTACCAAATCCTTTTGTATCTTCACTATATGTTTGAATATTTTATTAGAGGTTTTGACTTTTAATAATTTGTCATTTAAAATATATATTTTTTACATTTTTCATAGTTGATTGTATTTTAATGATGGACCACTGGAAGCCTCACTTCTGAACCAACTAAGGGGAACCATGCATAACCAAATCTGTTTAAGAAAACATTTAAATACTGTGTGTATGTGTGTGTGTGTGTGTGTGTGCGCGCATGTGTGTGTATATGAGAAATCCCATGCCAAATAACAAGGATTGTCGAAGTAATGTCGCTTGAATGCAGGAGAATCCATCAGTGCCTCTAACCCAATGCTAAATATATACATTCCCTTCAAGCTTTAAAACAAGTTCAATGCTTACCGACTTATGCAACAGAGTACAAATACCACAAAAACCTTTGAACTGAGAACAAGTAATTTCAAAAACACACACAACACAAACGTTTCAAGCTATACAACTCTTTTGTTTTTGTGTTTACTTACACCAATGAGCAAATATGGCGTGTCCCAGGATCCAGGGGAACAGGAACAGTAGCACAGGCGCAGATACGTACACAGACAAGAAAAACACCACGATCTTCTTCATTTTCTCTCACGTTTTTGAGCTTTGGACACAAGCTACAAGGACCAACAAACCAGACTGCTTTGCTTTGTTTGCTTTGAAAACTCTCTCCAGTTTCTTCCTCAAACCAAATGTGCTGCAAAAAGAGGACAAAGTTCATGTATAATTAGAGATATCGGCTGCTACTGCACTGAATCAATGCACAATAAATAACAATAGGAAATTATTAAGTTATTACAGTTAAAGTGACAGTAGCGAGACCAGAAATGAACTAATAAAAGACATTATAATGAATGAATTAATGAAAGAATGACTGAATGAACATACTAAGCAGGGATACAAGAATAGTATTTATTTATCTCTAGTACAATTCAAGACATCAAAAATGCTTATATAGACAAATTGATAATATTGGCTAATACTATTGTTGTGACAAGATACTATACAAGGCAATGTACAATTTAGAAAACTAATCACAGATAATATCTATATGCCATTGCCGCCATTTAGTATAGGGTGCAGAGTTGCAGACTAGAAAAACGTAACAAATAAAAATAAAGGCATGCATAAAGAATCTTTGACACCAGTCTCAAGAATTCAAGTTTTTGAGCAGTGCAAACATCACATCAAGTTTAATACCACTCTGTAGAGGGACGAATAAAAGCAAATTAACAACATCTTCAAGTGATACCATCCAAAAAGTTGACCCTATCAAAAAGTTACCATATGAGAAATTTAAAGAGCGTCTTTTTAAAGTAGTACATGTTATTATGCGTAATAATCCCTTGCCATTCATTATTATTGGCTTGATTTGTGTTAGTTGATCCATAAAATAAGTAAATAAAGTACAAGTCCTGGATTATATAACCATTAAATCAACATCAAAGTGTGTGTTTGATTCGGTAAAGAAATCCTTACATGATTGTATTCTGCAGCTGCTTTGTTGTGGTTCCGGTTGGCTGTCTGCAGGGGGCGGGTTTGGGAGCTCTGGAGGCCGGGTTTTGGTCACTCACACCCGGGGGAGGGAGTCTCTGGATCACCGCCCCTTCCTCTTCCAAGACGCATTTTCAAAACCCCGCTACGAACCAAAGTGAGGATGGAACAGCGAGCACACAAAGCACCAGCCATCGCCTCTGACAGGATATAAACAATTTTAACAACTTTTTACGCACACATTTCCACATTTTTAACCATACATTTTCGGCGCATCTACTGTTGGATTTGTCCGCACGTTTAACGCACGCGCTCGTGGCTGGAACGTTAAAGAGTTTTAGCAGGAATAGTTTTTAACCCAAAAATACGGACCAAAAGAGGATCACGGCGATTCCACAGGCCCAGAAACTGTTAGGTGAGTTTCTTATTATTAGTTATTTGCATTTTTAAGCAACTTTTTTTGCGCCTGAACTGGTTACATCTGTTGGACATTAACGTTAGCCAAAGTTGAAGGACCACGCCTGAGGAGGAATGATTAGCATTGTTAGCATAATTATATTATTATTCAACGGTGTAGAAAATTGTGAAATTTTATCCATGTATAAATCTGTTTTATGCATTTTTTTTTGTGGCAGAAAATTACTTGTCTTCGCTCAGTTGTGTCCACAGAAGATGATTATTTATTTTATTTTTTAATTTTTTCACCTTTATTTAAACAGGAAAGTCCTATTGAGATTAAGAACCTCTTTTTCAAGGGAGTCCTGGACAAAAGTTACATACAGTTACATACATACATATTATAAAACACTTACATACATACATCATGACTTGTGGTTGCGGGGAAAGATGGAAGAATGAAAGTCAATGTTTTGGTTTGCCATTTTAAATTTGTATTTCTTGATGGAAATGAACATATTTGCTTTCAATAAGTGCCATAAGGCTATATGATATTTATTTATATGTGATTTTTGCAAATTATTACGATGATTTTAATTCAATGTTAGTAGTATGTGTCAAAAGCGGAGATCAGTTTGCTTCAATGTTAAGGGGTATTAGTCAATATTGCACACTCAAAAGCCATTGATAAATTTAGTCCAAAGTGTATTGATAAAACTAGTAATAACAGCATTGTCTGAACTTGTCATTGACTAATACTTACTGACTTGTTTTTGGTTAGAAAACGATTACAATTGTGGAGAAATTCATTATTATGAATTTGGCTGCTGTGGATGCTGTGAACTTGACTGTATGGCTGATTTATTTTCTGAATGAAATTGGCAGATTGGTGCCATGTAATACTGGTGAGTCTATCCATTTGTGCATGTGAAAAATGTCCTAAATAAGTCTCTACTTTCTCCAATGTCTCCAGAGCTGCAAAGGTTAGAATTGAAATAGTCTTTCTTGATTCAAATACATTCTCTCTGCATTGGGTAATTGACTTAAATTATCAATAGTAATCATCAGTATCTTTCATTATAGCCATTTATCTGACACAAACCGAATTCTTTGCCATAAATTCTAAGACTCAAGGGCTGGGTGAAACTAAAAATATGGATAACTCATTCAATGTCTCCTCCATTTGATAAAGGCTTTGTCTGAGGGTTCAGCTGGGCAATGTGATAGCTGTTTTGAATATATACTTAAATATTAAAGCTTTGCACATCATTTATAGTTGCAGCTAATACAGAAATGAAAGCAGAACTCCTAGTTAAGTAATGAAATATGCTAGGATAAGCTTTTATACAGTTACATTCAGATTCAGATTCATTTATTTGCCATTTGCAGTAAAAGTTCTGAATGTTTGTGATTGGTTCTGGTTCAAATGTAAAACCAATGTATTGAGACACATGTTTTAACGCACATATGGTGGATTCTCAAGTTCAATTTCATATAATTGTTTAATCTTTTTCAAAGTAAGAGGATTCTTTGATGAATGGATTAAAGCTCTAGTGGGGGGGGGGGGGGGAAGTCTCATAATCATGTAAATGTCCTGCCAAATGCCTGCATAACATTGGACTAGCCTGATCTTTTTTATTTTCAAATGCCTTTTAAGAAATACTCCCCAGCTCAAAAGCTCGCACACACCTTTTGTTTTCCTTTCAAGTTTAATTCATATTTGCTAACATGTTTGCACAAAGGGTGTCTAATCATCATTTGGCATGCTAGGATGATAAGCTCACATTTTATGAATACTGGAGTGATGGTTGCTAACAACTGTGTCAGCTAGAATCTTTTAGCACAATAACAATGCCAATTTATGATTTGATTAATGTTAATCGGACTAATGGGCGGAATGGCTAGCAAATGTGTTTGAACATAGAAGATTTGTTAATAGTAAATCACAGACTGCATTTAGGTTATGATAGAAACTCAGAACAAAACCCTTCCTTTGAAACATCAATTGCAATTGTCTGAAAAAATGTGTAGTTAAAGCTGCACTAACTGACTTTGGGATTTTGAAGCCGCGGACTCGCTGGCCTCGCTCTTTCTGCTCCCCTCCCCGCACCCACGAAGCTATCGCCCCCCACACACACACAGTGTTGAGATGGAGCTAGCCTCTCCCAATATGGATAATACATGGATATGGATTTTCACGTGGATGGCGTGACCATAGAACGATAGAACCGGGAAGCGCGGAGGAACGAGACTTTCTTTTGGATGGCTGTTTCGCTGTGTAAGCAGTACCCGGTGACGAAGACGAGAAAGTTTCAGGTTAGCTCCGCCGCTTGTTGTGCTAACTCAGCCGTCTGTGCTAACTCAGCTGTCTATGCTAACGGACCTGGAGATTTCTCACGAAAGTGGGGGCTAGTGGTGCGCTGTGATTGGTCACAATCTGCGACCCGAAACACATTCTCTTCCTTGTTTCATCAAAACTCGATCGAAAATATAATGTCAGGCCAGCACAAATCTGCGCTACTTTTTCTTCAAAAGGACGTATATCCCAATGCACTACATGGACATGGATAGCATTTTCGTAATTAATACGAAAATAAAGTCAGTTAGTGCAGCTTTAATGATAAAGCTTTTTCTTTTAGATGCGTTCCTTTTAGAGTATTCAATTCACTTGGCTGGGGTTTTCTCAAGTGAGCCCAGTCTGAATCAGAAGACTTAAGGAATTAGGTGGAGTCTGGTGTGCTACTGCTTGGTTGGAGTGAAAACCTGTAACCACACCTTTGAAGAGCAAGTTGAATACCTCTGCTCTAGACTAGGGCTGGGACAACGCGTCGACGTAATCGGTGACGTCGACGCAAAAAATACACCGACGTATAATATGCGCGTCGGTGCGTCACACACAAAACAAAGATGGCGGCGAGCGGTAGCAATGCGAGTGCCGTGTTAGAGAAGTGCAGACCGGTGTAACGCTGAGATACACTGCCTTGAAGAGATGCACTGCCTCAGCTGTTTATCATGTAATGCAAACCTGCGCATGCGCCTCTCACGGCAGCCGAAGCAAACCAAGATGGCGGACCGTGAATTTCTTTAAAAGTTAAAATACGAACGAATTAAGACACGAATGTCACTTTTAATGCAATTTGAGGCGAGATGTTGATGGTTCCGTTTTGTCACATGTGGGTTTTAAGAGTCAAAGTTTCGTGCAAAGTTTAGTTTAAGCAGTCAACTGCGCCTGTGAAACCACAAAGCTAATGTTTTCATAGCAGTCCGCAGCTGCTGACGTAGGCTGATGACGCGTCCTGTGGCCACTCTACACTCTTATGTAGCCATGACAGGCTGATGGCTCCCACTGTTTTTTCTGGAAAAGCACTCTTTGTTTAGCTTAAAGCCTTCAAGTTTACATTGGTTACTGTTTTCTTTTAGTTGCTCTACACAAGTATTTGGCTGAACTTTTTCATATTTTTATTGAATGCTAAGCATCAAATGTTTGTTTCAAGAATGATAAGATGCACTTTTTTCAGTAAGCTGTGTTTTCAAGGCTTTAAGGTTTTATGCTACCTCTAAGAATGTCTTATTTTTTAATTTTAAGAGCAAGCAATACATATTTTTTGTGAAGGAATTCATGTTTTTTTCATTAAAATATTTAAATCAACATGTATACATCAATATTAGTCAATTAATGGGGAGATAATCGAGAATCGAATCGAATCGAAATCGAATCGAAGCGAAAAAAATAATGTTAAGGACATTTACAACCTTCATTGACATTGGTCTCTCCTACGGACCAATAACTTTAGTGTTTTATTACTTGAGTCTTAACTGTTGATTCTCAGATCTGAGTTGGCATTTCAACGTTCGGTCAAGTCCTCTGAATTACGGCTGTTGTGATTTTAGGCTTTAAACAAGAATCAAAGTGAATGAACTTGAATTTGATCCACCTGTGTATGAGGTCGAGGTCAATTAGTTACAAAACCAATTCTAGTAACAAAAACTATTGGCTAAAGGCAAATAAATTAAACATAAAGGGTGGCTAAAATTATACATTTGGATTAAAATAATACCTCTCGCACAACCCACTTACTATGAATTGATAAAAACTAAGTATTTCCCTTGAAAAAAATATCCCTAGTACTCCTATATGACATTTGGATCCAAAAAAACAGTGATTTAAGAAAGGAAAATCCTAAACATGGTTAGGAAGAGTGGCCAAACTATAGCCATCTATCCCGCATCTTGAGACATAAATGGAGATATGGAGGCCAAACATTTCATAAAATCACTGATCTGAAGAATAATCAGTGAATAATAATGGAGATGCAGGACATCTTGATATTCGAACAGCTTCTTCCTTCCCCCAAGATGTTATTCGTTTTTGAACAGAGCAACGGTTATTGAAACTGTTTGTCCATCGATTACACAGTGACAACTGTTTACTGTTTTGGTTTGTTTTATTCTGTACTTTTAATGTTGTTTTATGTATTACTATTTCTTGTGCACACTGGGGTACTTAAAAAAAATATTCCACTGTGGTTTACTGCAAGATGGCAAATAAATGAATCTGAATTTTAAGCCAATCAATGTTTTTAAATACACAAGTTTGCAGAAAAGTCTTTAATACACTTTATAAACTCAAAACAGTAGCAACTTTTAGTCGGTCCTTATAAATATGTTTGTTCTTCATATGGAACAGAGAGAGGCGATTATCATGCTCTATGTTGATAGAGGCGTAGGCTGGATTTAAAACAGGTTCATCTTGTGTTAACTTAAAATGGGCCGAATTCATCACAGTTGCAACCACATCACCCCTATCTAAAAAATTAACTGCACATCAGTCAGTCTATGTGCAGTACTTTCCAAAACTCTTAATACAGGCTTGAACTTGGACATTTTGCTATGTTTACACCAAACATGAAGATTTTATTTTATTTTCTTACGGACTGTACAAAACACAAGATAAAACAAACAACCGCAAAAGCAAAAATACACAATTCCGGGTTGTTTCTTTTTTTTTTTTGAAAGAAAACCAAAGAGTTGTGCCTGCACAAGTATCACAGCAAGTCCTTGCAGGTACACGGTTTTTTGATGTGTTACCAAGGATTGAGAAGTGCTACACTAATCTGCCTGAAAAGGAGCCCATAAAACACTTTTCTACTATCAACTTTGGTGATAGACCGGGTATATGTTTTTTGAGTGTCCATGGCTGTTCACAGACAGCAAATAGTGCAAAAAAAGTCGTGGTATTTGTACCAGGTGGAGGGTAATCTGGGACTCTCCCGTGGTTTGAGGGCTGCAGCTGACATCACCAACTCTGAAACACGAAAAATCATCCCAAACATGACAATCTCCTCAGATACTTTTCAGGGTCACTGCTTTAATCTGACTTTCTGACTAAAACTATAACCCCTCCAACATACTCACTCAGCCTGTCCTATTAATACTGTCTCGCCCTATAAAGAATAAATGAAAAATTCTTCATCATAGACTTATTCTTGATCATTTTCTCTGCAATAGTGAGGCAGCATATCTGAGAGGATCTTCATCTTGTTCGTGATAAGGACAGTCGCTCCAGCCGAGCGCACTCAAAACCCCCTTCCCCATTAAACCCTTAAAAAGACCACATTCGCTTAGATATGGTCAGATTCAGTTCTGTTCTGTTTTAACATGAAATAGCTTTGTCTATGGTAGCTAGGCATTAGCCTGCCCCCAACACTACTCTCTCCGGTTGGGAAGAAAGCTGTAGCCCGGAACAGTAACACACCCTGGGGTCACACCCATACACAACGGCACAGAGAGTCCTGAAGGACAAGCCAAGGGACAGGACCATGGGACAGAACCATGGGACATACCTTAACAGCTGGGAGGTTTCTCATCGCAGTTGTCTTCGCATGTTCCGCCTAGTCCAATAACCACGTGGACCAGAGCGGACCAAGAGCTTTTTTTAATCAGCAAAGGATTAATTATTAGTATTAGATAGCAATATGGCCTACGTGCAGGACTGTACAAGGACTCTACAAGGACTCCATGTTATGACTATGATTTGACTGTCTCTTTGTGACACGTATGTCTTTCGATGTGTGACGTGACAATGACTATATAAACTGTGTACTGCCTTTATTCTGTCTGAGAAAAAGAAACAGAGTAAAACAGTGGAACTTGAGAGAAACGTAAATAAACTTCCAGAGTTTGGCACACCACGATCCGTCTCTGTCTGCTAAATCCTAACAGATTTGGTGGAGAATGCGCGGCTCGGTTTGTGCCATTCTCTGGATTGTTTTGAGGGAATTTCCTGTTTCTTTTTTTCGGCGTGTGGGAGCAACAGCACGTTATCTGGAAGGGGAGAAATCCCAGCGGACGCTGAAAGGGCTCGCTTTTGGATGGGCTTGCTCTTGCTCCCTCACTTTCTCTGTTTTGTTTTTTAAATTGAATATTCCGACGCGGAAAAGAGGTTGGCAGACCTCTCGGACAGTCCTTGGAACCGGTTTGACAAGAATAAGGTAAGCAGACACCTTTTTTAATATGTAAAGTCTGCATAATTGGATATTAGCTAAATTTTGGTCTGTTTTTTGGGGTTTGTCAAACTCTCTAAATTGTATTTTGAAGAAGTCTCGGGGTTAAAGTCCCTTTGAGCCTCGGGGTTAAAGTCCCTTTGAGAAAGTCTCGGGGTTAAAGTCCCTTTGAGCCTCGGGGTTAAAGTCCCTTTGAGAAAGTCTCGGGGTTAAAGTCCCTTTGAGCCTCGGGGTTAAAGTCCCTTTGAGAAAGTCTCGGGGTTAAAGTCCCTTGGAGCCTCGGGGTTAAAGTCCCTTTGAGAAAGTCTCGGGGTTAAAGTCCCTTTGAGCCTCGGGGTTAAAGTCCCTTTGAGAAAGTCTCGGGGGTTAAAGTCCCTTTGAGCCTCGGGGTTAAAGTCCCTTTGAGAAAGTCTCGGGGTTAAAGTCCCTTTGAGAAAAGCCTCGGGGTTAAAGTCCCTTTGAGAAGAAGCTTCAGGGTTAAAGTCCCTTTGAGAGAAACCATGGTGTAAACAGAAAAGCAATTTATAAAAAGGGAAACGTGTTAAGGAGGCCTTTGTTACAAAAGCTTTGAAATTGACGAATTTCAAGCTGATAAATGACAAAAGTACATAAGCAACAATATTTCAGTGATCACGGTTTAAATTACATACAGAAAAAGGGAGTTTTTGTTTTTGGAGTGAACAGAGTTCACCGGAGAATGCAGAGTTTTATCTAAAGTTGAGCTATGAGAGCTTTCGTGAGTTATTTACATTTTTTGCCGAGTTTTATCTACAGTTGAGCTATGAGAGGGCTGTATCCAACAGTTGTTTTTGTTTTTTAGAAAGAGATTTTAAGTTTAAATTAGTTTGCTACCTCGATAAAATAGAAGCGTAAACGTTAAAGACAAGAGTGCCTTTTGTTACTAGTGTGGAAAGTGATCACTTCTAGACTTGGATGACAAAAGTATAAAGAACAACATAAGTTATATTTGCTTAACAAAGTAATCTTGAAAGTTATTCTTCTGTATCTTTTTGCCTGTGTGTGTGCGTCGCTCTATCTGCTGCCGTTGTCAGGGAAACGGCCCCCTCCTTCGCTGCTCTGGCTGTGAATCTGAAGCAAAGCTACTGCTTTAGGACTTTTGGCTTTTCATAGTTGTTATTCCGTTAAATTTGCTAAATTTGCCATTTGAACATTGTGTTAGACACAGTTAAACGTTTTTAAACACCATTAGGGAATAGAAGTTTTGAATTAGTATGTTTTTGAAACCCAAAGATTAGTACAAAAAGCTTTGCTTTTCTTTTTAAATCTGCTGCTTATTTTGTGAGTCCATTATTGTATCTCTGATATATTTCATAGCTGTTAGTGAGAATTTTTTCATGTATTTTTTATTTTAGTTACAAAAGCCGTTTTTCAAACATTTAAATTAGAATCTGTTAAAAGTGATTAATGATTGTAGACTTCGTCTAAAAAAGAAAGAGGGAATTAGGCTGTAAAAGTATTATATTATTAAGTTAAACTACCCAATTCACATGCAAGTGGTGACTTTTGTTTTTGTTTTGACTACACGCCTGACCTTGTTGCTCCTGCTGATGCCACAGCAGAGGAGACTGGTCTAAAATGTGCTCCAATTCATACTGACTTCATTTGAAAAATGCTGCAATTATTTTAAATTAGTAGAATAGATGCTGAGATAAATAAGTGTAAAAGGGAAAGTCCATAAAGTGAAACCCAAGATGTTCAAGATTAAAAACATCACACAGTACAAAATAGAATACATTTTTTAAAGTTTGAAAAGGTTTTTTGAGATTTGAGTCTTGTTTTTTTATTAAGAAAGAGTTTCTGGTTTTAAAAAGTGTCATCATTAGTAAGATAATAAGTAATCTTTATTTACATAGCGCTTGGGAAAGCCAAGAGCGCTTCAAAATTGTTTAGACTTGGAGAGAAAAACAATCTCATTCACAATCTCTGTTGTTTTTAATTTGACTATAAGGTTGTTTTCCAGAACCAAGAGCACACACTGTACAGGGTCACTGGACTGCTGGACACTGGACAGCGCAAAGCCCACCCAGCCACAGGTCACAGATCAAAGAGCAAAGGAAAATGCCACCTCCTTGCCCCTCCCCACGCCACTGCAGAACTGAGTGGGTGTGAGAGAGACCGGGGCCATGAAAGAGAGGTATCTGGAGACGTGATGGGTGGAGCGTCAGGTAGAGACCTAGAGGGAGTTGAAAGTGTGTCTACGTGGTTTACATCACCACAGTGTGACCTTTGAGACCTACAGGTGGTTCGAGGAGTCTGGAGAGACAACCCCAAAATTCATACACACATACATACATACATACATACACTCACATTTACATATAGATACATGAAAAAGCAGAACATGAGGAAAAAGCATTTTAAAAGTTTACTCCAATGTAAACACATATTTTTAATTGTCTATCACTTGAATCTTTAGTTGAATCAGTATTTTTTGAGACCAGAAATGTTCATTTGAATTCTATATTGTCATGGACTAATTGACCTCTGTCCTGACACTTTTGATTTGTTGATTTTGTACTGTGTGAAGTAATTACATTGATGAGAATTAGATCTGATAAAAACACAAATTAGAGAAGTAAACTGCGCTTGCTTTTGTCTAAGGGACATTAGCAACAGCATGAATAGAAATTGTGTTAAAGTAGAATCAAAGTGACTTAACCATAGAGAGTAACTATTGCATTACAAGCTGTGTACAGGAACTGTGACACTGCACCATTGACCAGAAGTGCATCGCAAATGACCTGATGTGCTTCAACTGAAAAGACTGTATCTGGAGATCCTGATTTGCATCTGGAGAAACCAAACCATGGCTTGGACCCTACTGATGTCCAAGATGACCTGACCTGATGACGACTGAGACTCACCCTCAGGGGACCTGAGGACCTGAGGACCTGAGAGAAAAAACTGGGGAGTGATGTTTATATATTTTTGAAATCATACATTGATGAGTGCTAAATGAGAGAGATACTCATGATTCTTTCTTTTGTTTTTGTTTGTCCCTAGCTTCTGGACATCTGATGATCTATTGGACACAGCCATTTGCAGAACAAGAACCAGCCAATGAAAACGTCTATTGCCGATGCTATTGCTACAACCAGAACCACAACTGTGACCAAATGCAATATAAATGTTAAGTATTCAGACATCTGACAGACAAAAACTTTGAAAATGATAAAGTTTGAGTATTGTAGCGTTTTAGTAGATGTTAAATAGTAGTAAAAAAGTAGAATTTGACTTCCTTTGTTGTTCATAAACATATTTCCACGTAAGAGTTAAAATAGTACCCTACAATGTTATCCTTTTGATAGATCAGCTATAATATTAGAATCAGAGTTATGTTACAGCCATTAAAAGTGACAGAAGTCACAAACTAGGAATATGCCTTTGCTCAAGCTGCAGCCGAGCTTTTGAGTTAAAAAATAGAGTAAAAATAGGAATAGATAAATGCATCAACCATAGATGCTTTCAAAAATAGAGAATATTTCCAGCCAGTGTTAATATCAAATGGTAAAGGGACCATTTCACAAACATTTACTTCAAAAGTAGATAAAGTTAATTACAGTTTTATGTACAGTTTTATTAGATACTTGCCAAATTCACTTGTGTTCACACATGAGTGAATGTTGACAATGCAAAAGTCCATATGAGTGTAGTCTAGATTAATGCCTAGATTAATGAGATAGATTAGAACCAACAGAGATTCAAAAGCATTTTTGATGTATTTGTGTATAGCACAAAAACAGTATAGTAGATATTTAGATATTGAGAAGTTTCCAGCACAAACAGCATTGTAGAATAACTGACCCCAACCCCAAACCTGCTAAAATAGATTAGCTCTTGTAAGGATAATACTAATTTGATTAATGATGTACATTCATCCCAAACTGCCTGACAATAATATCTTTAGATAATAAAAAGTAATAAATCACTGACCACTATAGAAGTGTAAATGTTGACCATTTGCCTTACTGTGTTCACAGTTTTATTCCTGAGAATGAGAATAGACATGGAGCAAAATCCCACAAGCAATAAGCCACTAATAATGAGAGTATAATACCACAGAGAGATTTATTAGATTAAAATGTATGTTTAAGAATATGGCTCAATAGAATCAAATATGCAAACATATTTGTAAATAGATTAGAATAGTTTTAAACTATAGTGAATAGTGAAAGTAAAGTACACAGTCTAAGATTGAAAAGTGAAAACAATACAGTGAAATAAGTGAAGTGTAAACAATTAGCATTAGAATAAAAGTATAGAGTAATAAAAGTGAAATTAGCTTCAAAATTGAGACTCAGCTCGTTTTTGTCTGTGTTTTGACTGAATCTGCTGAGTTCTTGTGTGTCCAATAGTGTTTGTTTGTTTTTATTTTTTTGATTTGTTTTTGTTTGTTTGTTTTTTCCCAGGATAGAGGATAAAATCCACTGATATTGATTTGATGATTATGAGTTTAATGCATACATTTTCTTTGTTTTTAATAATTTTTTTAAGTTTTTTTTTTTAGGATTTTTTTTTTTTTTTTTTTTTTTTTTTTTCTTTTTCCACTTTATTGATTGATCGATTTGAGTGATCACATGTGATTATGTGATCAAAGGGGAGGGTATTAGTATTAGATAGCAATATGGCCTACGTGCAGGACTGTACAAGGACTCTACAAGGACTCCATGTTATGACTATGATTTGACTGTCTCTTTGTGACACGTATGTCTTTCGATGTGTGACGTGACAATGACTATATAAACTGTGTACTGCCTTTATTCTGTCTGAGAAAAAGAAACAGAGTAAAACAGTGGAACTTGAGAGAAACGTAAATAAACTTCCAGAGTTTGGCACACCACGATCCGTCTCTGTCTGCTAAATCCTTACACTATAATCCATAAGACTCCCCCAGAGTCTCTCAAAATGCCATATTTAAATCATGACATTGTACAAAAAATCCGTCATAAAAGCAGTTACCTAAGATTGAGTTTATTCATGTGCTCAATGACAGAGTGATGCTCGTCCACCTCTGTGGCCAGTTGAGCTTTGAGTCTCTCGGCTTTCTCTAGGTCCGACTGGATTTTCTCTTTTTCCCGGAGTTCTCGGTCCACACACGTTCTGGAAAATCAAAACACAAGGGCTGATGATATGATACAGAAATGTACAAAGATGAAATGGCGCCATTTTCCATTTAATTGTATCCATTTGCTGTTGTTCTAAAACCAAAACAAATGACATGTCCCGTCATTTGTCACGTCTGTTTTAATATCTATGGCAGATTTGTATTTAAAATAAAACTTAACAATAATAATAAAGTAAGCACACAGCTATAATGAGTTTGAACATGACAAAATCAAGTATAAAAAAAGGCATAAAAACAGACCCTGGCGGTGATATAACAAAAGAGATTGAGCTCATAGCATTCCGGGGGTAAACAGGGACAAGCCATTTTACAGAAATAATTAAATATTGTCTTTGAAGAGTGTGACATCAGATATTGTGCTTTTTGTGAAAGCTCCATAAAAATGGAATATAGAGCCTAATTCTCTCATAGAAATCAAAGAGCCAATCAGAAGAGAGTCTGGTCCCTTGTCACTCGCCCATGTTTTATCTCCGTCTCTGAGGTGTGTATTGAACTCACAGCAGGTGTCTGATCTCTGCTCTGAAACTCGCTAGCGCCGCCTGCAGGATGCCGTTCTTATTCTCCAGCAGCTCGGCCTCGAGAGCGGCGGTGAGGTCACTGAGGCTCAGCTTCCCCTCCAGACTGAAATTTAAGGCCTTGGGAAAAGAATGCACAAATATAAACAGCAGGCATTTAGGAAAGAGGCTGATAGAGTCAAAACACAGCAAAACTAGGATGAAAACAAGATGAAAGTTTGTTGGGCCATCAGTTTATTTTTTTTTACATTGTACAAAATCAATTGTTCTGTATTTGATGTTATCGGGTGAAACTTTGATTTCACCTATCACCTTCAAGTCAATCTAAGTCCATACATTTTTGTACAGGCCTACATCATAACAGCAGTTGTCTTGGAGGACTTTACAAAGTTGTGGATTTGCCAACACCAAATCAGAGAACACAGAAAATGCAATAATAACGAACGCATGAGGAATGAGGGGTGACCACTGGCCATAAATGTTAATAAAGACAATTTACAAAGACAATACGGTGAGAAACCTCGGTGAGAAACCTTGGTGAGAAAGCTCGGTGAGAAACCTTGGTGAGAAAGCTCGGTGAGAAAGCTCGGTGAGAAACCTCGGGGAGGCCCACAGGGAGAGCGGAATATGCTCCCACAATATTGTACTGTAGTTTCAACCTTTCAATGTAAATGCCCACATAAAGTCTCCAGAAAATATATAGCTGTAGTTTCATGTATCTTTAGTATAAAGTGGGAGTACTGCAGGGTCTGAGTCTAAGAAGACTTCTTTCATAGATGCACCATGCAAGGTTGTGTTTATGTGACAGTAGCACTGCCAGCTTTCATAAAAAATGTAGACGTATTCTTCTATTTTTCGCTACAATAACTTCTTAAATTATTCAAATCCTTTAAGTGCTTAAAAGTTAACTTGTTCCTCAATTTGAGCTAGCTTAAATGTAGACAAGTGCATCTTGCTCCACTGACCATCAATGGGTGAACTTTAATGAATCTCAAAGTTTATATATGAGGACGACGCTCACCTGCAGAATCTCAGTGCTGTTCTCTATGCCCTCCTCCAGCCACGAGTCCAGGATGTGTTCTACCGGAGAGAAACCGGTCCCGTCATCTAAAGTGGAGAATAGCTTGAGGCCGATGGTGCCACTGAGTGCAGAGGGAGTGGCTATTCTACGGCCCACCTCATCAAACGGCTAAAAGAGAGAGCATTGTGTGTCATGATTTTGGCTGCAGCAATTTAAAACATTGATATTTGGTGGCTTGCCGCTGACCTGCGTGGAGTGCATTCTCTTGAGCTGCCTGTAGGGGGTAGAGGCTGAGGGAGTGGGAGGCTTGTTGAGGCTCAAAACTCTGGAGACAAAATCTTGGACACTCATCTCTTCATCACTGTTTAGAGTCTGCAGTGCTTCACCGGAGATCTGACATCGAATGGAGCAAAGGAATAATGAGATTTTGATGTACTCGGATGTATTCTTATTGAATTTTATCTGTAGCACTTTGAGGTTTTGTGGAAATGTAAGGTGTAAACACAATGTAATAGTATAATCAACAATAATGTTATTAGTATCGTTGTTTTTATTATTATTAAAATTGTCATTTGATAGAGAAATGTGTTCTCATTAATCAAAGAAATAAGGTTCCTATGAGAGTCCTTTGTCTATGTACAGTAAAGTATAACAAAGAGTACAGTAAAGAGTAAAACGATCACACAGAGAGGAAGCGGTATATGAAATGCAGAAGTTGACTGTCTCAAGAATAAATGTGAGTTTGTCTTTCGCTGTGTGAGAAAGAGGAAGGGTGTTTAAAGATAGAGAAAAGCACAGCACTCAAAGTTATGACCATGCCCCCTTATCTTCACCTCTCCTTCATAAAAACAAAGTTAAGTTTAGAGCTATGTTTGTGATTAATAAAATCCTGTGTAGGATTATTTTGTTTTTATTATTTTATTCTATTTTTCTGTCAATAATTGTTTGGATATCTGGAAAAAGACGTTTGAAATAAAATCTTTAATGGGGCCACATCACAATCTCAAATGTTGTCCTTTTTATGTATGTAATTGATATCTGATTTTTGATACTTTTGACAACCCCAGCTGACATTGAAGAAGACATTGATCCTCTCTGGCTCCCCTGACCACAGTCATGTCAGCTTTGAATGAGATTTTCAAAAATTCTGTTCAGAGAATTGTAACATGTGTTTGGACAGTGTGAAAATCCATCTGTTCGAATGTCACTGCACCTCTTTAATAATAATAATGCATTACTTTTATATAGTACTTTTTTGGAAAGATGCTTGACATGTCATTTTCATTAACTACTAGATCAACGCTAGAAGGTTGGCAAGTACAAAACCAGCTCTTATTGGTGAATGCTATTCTTAATGCAAACACTGGTAAAGCTGCCTGTCATAAGCTTGTGTGTGTATTTTTATAGGGGTCTATGTTTCTTGTTCAAACTTTTATAAACAGCATTATACAGTACTTTATACTTGCTTATTTATTATGCTAAAGACAGAGATTTAACACTTAATTCATGCTTCTTTATTATGCTGAAGACATATTTTAGATTTGCTTCCTTATAATGCTTATGGCTAGAGTTTTTTTTAACAGTTAATTTATATTGTTCTGTAACTGATGATGCAACACTGGCATTTCCTCACTGTGAGACGAATAAAGGATCTCTTAATCGTAATCATAATCTTTATAGTGTGGACCATGTGGAGTCATGACAACATCATAAAGCGCCTTGGATTAGTCTTTAGTTATCACTACATGAGTTCTTCTGCGTCGTCAGTATTGTCAGTATCATGAACACAGTGCAGTGAGCCCACCTCCATCCCCAGTCGCTGGCTCAGAGCGAGGAGGTCGTCGTAGGTTGCCGGCTTGTCCCAGGGCAGACACAGCTCCTCACAGACGTCCTGCACCCTCTGCTCCAGCCGCTCGGACAGAGAGACCACAGACACCCGCGGAGTCCCTGGTTCGTCTGGGTTCCACAAGTGCAGCTGACCTACACACATGAAGTACAGGTCATTGCGAGAAACCCATATTCTGCCCACAGTGGGGACAGATAAGTGAAATTTAATAGATTGTCCTATTGTTATGGTTTTCTTGCACAAGTTTTCCTACATGACTGCTCTTTGAGATTCAATAAAAAAGACGTTTCCTGACATTGCAGCTTTATTGGTTGTCTTGTCAAAGAATGATGATCCTTTCTATTTTCAGAGTTTCAAAACAACTCAATAGAGAGAAAAACAATACCTTCGGCTTCATACTCCTCTCCTGTGCTGGTCTCGTGAGCGATCCAGCGCTGAGGAAGGAAAACAAGGATATCGTTAATGCTAGTCATACAGTACGTCTACACATTGCCATAACACTTTTTCCACAAGCTTTTGAGAACAGTGCACTGAAACTCTGGCTCATTCCTCCAAGTTTAGCTTATGGAGCATTACAAGATGACTATTTATGATTTTAGCTCGTACAAACAAGGTACTGTAGAGACCAAAGCTTTAGGTTTGTAGTGAAATAAGACAAATCAAAGTTAAAAATGCAGATGTTTGGCTTGACCTTTCATGCGTCACGTGTTCATGATAACACATGTTTATAACACATATGATATGTTAATTTATACAGCAACAGTAGCTCAGTTGGTAAAGCATTGGCCTTTGAGCCAGAGGGTCGTGGGTTCGAGCCCGACCTTCACCATCGACTCCCACTGTCTGCTGTCGTTGTGTCCTTGGCTAACCTCTGGGAACACCAGCCACAGTGGGGCGGCTGTAAAGTGCCAAACTGCCGTTGTGTCCTCAGGCAAGACACTTCACCCCCATTGCCTAGAATGAGTCTGGTGTGTGTGTGAATGGTTGGTGGTGGTCTGAGGGGCCGATGGCGCATACTGGTTTCCTCGCTTCTGTCAGTGTGCCCCAGGGCAGCTGTGTTTGTGTGTAGTTTATCACCACCGTGTATGGAGTGAAAGAATAATGACATGTAAAGCGTCTTTGAGTGTCCAGAAAAGTGCTATATAAAACTGATGCATTATTATTATGAAGATGAATAGGTTTCAGCAGGAGGTAAAAGAAACAATGCAGTCTTTATGAAGGCACAGCACAAAGTCGAGGTCAGAGATATCAGCGCATTATAAGAAGAGCTATACGTGTGACCACAGACACACTTGTGTTTTAGTCACAAAACAAAGACCACAACGCAAGGATTTTCTTCTCTGGTTGATAAACTGGGGTCTTGTGGTAATGTGTCAAACGACCAATTATTGATCTGCTTTAGACGTTGAACCACAAACAAACACATTGTTCTGGAAAAGAGCTGAAAGTTAAATCGAATCAAACAAAATTGACTTTATTGTAGAGTATAGTGAATTAAAAGGGATGTTGTGCGCTGGAGTGACGTGTTGCTCTATTGTTCAGTCAAAACAGTGGGAGTGGGAGAGAGAGGAGCAGCTGGGATCCCAGTCAATTGACATCTGTTTGTTTTTGTCATCTGTGAAATGTGGAAAAACTAATGGCAATTTATGGTTTTGTTTAAATCAACATGCATCTTAAGATTTCAAATTTCAAGTTACTTAAGAATATCAAATATTTTTTAATTTAAAATGGCCATAATAAGACAAATCAATAAAATAAAAAACAGCATAAGTTAAAGAGTTCAGGTTTATTCCCAACAATACCCCCCCAATCACATGGAATTGTGCACGTTACTGTAGTTTCAGTATTTTCAGAGGTCAACATTCTCACACTATAAAACAAAAAAGAGTTATAAGCTGATTGCACAACTTTTACAGACCAGAGCAATGTCTGAACAAAAAAAAAATCACACTTTGTCTTCTCCAACCAGTGAGTTTGAACGGTTTATTTTTTTGTTCCACTCTTGGCAAAACAACAATTTCCTTTGAGATCAAAGTTGAGATTTCATATATGTTGATTTAAAAAGTGCTCTGATGAAATCAACATGAGATCTGTTTAAAATAAGAAAGAACTACTTTTAGAACATATCTAACCAATGATGGCACTGGGCCAAAACTAATTGTGCTCAATCACAACAACAAAATGGGATACCAGTTCTTTAAACAACATGAAAAATTCCCTGTTTTCCATTGTCGAGGAATGAGCAGCAGCTGGGAAGTAGGGGTCTATAGGAATCCAGCGGTCGTGGGGGAGAAGTCTATTGTCTCCCTGCTTCAGCCCTGCTCCTCTGACCCGGCCCCATCTGCCGCTGCATGGTCCAGACTTTGTGCCTTTGTTACGACTCCAGATTAGTCAAAAACCGAGACACGCTTCGGGATCAGGAGCGACGGCTGGCGATGGGAGGAGCCCCGAGAGCGGACAATGCGAACAATAATATCAAATCCAACAGAGTAATGACATGTGCAAAGTGTGGAGGAATTCAAAACAGCAGGTGAAAGTGCGTCGTCAGCGTTGAATGAGCAAAACAAATGGGGCTGAACTGGAGGATGCAAGTTGTAGGACGTCTTTGAAAATCTGAAATGATCCGAGACATTTTTTGGTTCCACAAGATTTAGCCGAGACCTAGCCTCCTCAAATTTAGCAAAAAGGTGCAATATACAACTTTCTATGTAAACAAAAGTTATGTATTGTATATTTTTGAGTAGTTGATCGGTGGGTGTAAGAGAGGTCAGTGTAGTGCCTTTACTTCTGATCAGGGTTGCGTCTACAGAGCTCCAGGATCAATTATTTTTTATGTTTTCCGGTGAGAGGGTCTATATCTTTAGCATACTACAGACCACTGATGAGAGTAAAGGCCCCATGCTGATCACTCCTACAACTGCTACTAAAATAATGCTTTTTCACATAAAAAGTTGCATTGAGCTCCTTTAAAATTCAAAAATGCAAGTCTTAACCTTTACGGTGTCAAAGCTTTTCAAAAATGTTGGCCATAAAACAGACCAAAAAACAGACCGAGTTTATAAGTAAATTTGACCTGTTCATCATTGCAGCTAGAGCCTATGTCAGGAGCTGTGGTTGCCATAGTACAGACTGGATTGCGATAAACTTGCTGCCTTAATGCCCCAAGCTGTGATGTAAAAGACTACTTCCTTCTCAGACAGCAGCAGCTGTGGCAGTGGCAATAACAGCAGCAGCAACAGCAGCAGCAGCAGTAGCTTACAGCCTCTGCGCTTATATCAAATCAGTCTGTGTCGCAGTGAGACAGTAATCCAAGAGCTCAACCAGGAAAATACTGAACAATTACCCACAGACACAAGATCAGAGCACGAGAGACACAAGGAAACAAGCTATTTTTATACTAAAAGGCAATAAAAAGTTTTGTTACATCCTTATTAAGCAATTTAACAAGCTGAAAATGAATGTTGGTTACTAAATAAAAGACAGAAAAAGCAGAGTTTTAACAATAATAAAAAGCAATTGTATGAAATAATAATTGTTGAGGATCAGAGAACAGAGTACAAAGAACAGCGTGTGATAATGAGGCTGTGTGCGATTGATTTTAACGGAAACCTATAGAAATGATTGAACTACATCCTGTGAGCAGACAGACAATTGGAAAGGTTTTTCACAGGTCAAACATGTACTTAGAAATGAACTGCGTGTAAACGCCAATACGGAGCAGAGAATAATTATTTAAGGGATCATTTAAAATATCGTTTACCATAAAATAATTATAATTTGAAAGGGAAAATAACAGTATAACAATTTTTATTAAGACTTAAAATCTTAAACTCAAAAATACTAAAATGAACAAATCGTCACTGATATTAGTCAGACTTTTAAACACATGCTTTTATAACCAGGGGTCCACATAAGTGGTACGCAGGTAGGCATGCGCGACAAATATCAGAAATGTGTACCACACAGTTAGTAAGCGCCTTTGCGTACTTTACATAGACCATTTCTTCTCAAATAGTGGGGTGCTCCTCCCTAAGGGAGCGTGATGTAATGCCAGAGAGGGTGTGCGTGATTGCGGGGCATTTGCTGCTTTTTGCTGTACGTACTCGAAAGGGATTCCAAATCCTCCGTGGCAGCGGTGTTCTGACTCCAGAGCCACTCCGGCTGCTTTGTAATGACAGCAGCTCCTTGACAACAATGCGGGGAGCACGTAGCCGAACGTGGTCATAATGTACCCAACACGGAACATTCACTGCTAGTTGCAAGTGTGTGTCTTTGCGTAACGCAAAAAATATAGACATTGCGTTACTGCAAGAAACAGAGCTGGACTATGGAGCCTTAAGGGAGTGTCTATGTCCTCCCAGTGTCCCGGAATTAAAGCTGTGGTACCTACATTTTCCCTTGCATTAATAATGCATAATAATGTTGGTTGTGCAGAACATTTGATTTTTTTTGTTTTACATTTTTAAGAAAGAGCCCTGTGAGTCATTATTTGACTTGGATTGAGTGGATTATCTGATCTGATCTAAACTTTAGCATTAAGTATAAAAGTATAAAATCTCAATTAAGAACCACGCGAAAAATGAAGTGAGTACCAAACACCATCTCCAATTACTCATCTGAGTACCTCACTGAAAAAGTTATGTGCACCCCTGTTTATAACAAAACAGTCCAATGAATTTACTCATGTTTGTTATGGGATTTTGAGCTTTTACTTTTAAGTAAAAACTCATTTAAAAACAAAAAACAATCAATAAAAGACTTTTATATGTACTGTTCCATTTTCTCTTGAGCAATAAAAATGTGGGCAATAGTGTACTATCATTCTAGGTTCTTGATTGCCACAACACATAAACTAAAATAAAAATCAATGCAACTGTATAAGGGGAATTTATGGGTGGGAACTTAAAAGGCAGGTTTATGTTACAGCCATCAACAATTTAATTCATATATGTCATTAATATTCGACAATCAAGAAAACAATAAATTTTCACTTTTCTGTAGAGCACTTTGCTAGGACTAGGCTGTTTTTAAATCTGCATTATCTGAATTAGTAACTGTACTAAATGTTAGGTGTTATGTCTACACTTTAAAATACATGCAAAAGTCCATTAGTCTCTATTTTCTATTTTTTTATTGTATTATTATTATTATTATTTTTTTTTTTTATTATTCTTATTTCTTATTTTTTCTGCAATTATTTATGTATGTGTATGTGTGTGTGTGTATATATGTGTACATAATATGTATATGTGTTTGTGTGTATGTGTGTATGTATGTATATATGTATGTGTGTGCATGTGTATACATTCGTACACATATATACTTTTTTTTTAGTTTTTAGTTTTTTTTTTTTACTTGAAGTTATTTTTCCCTTTTTAGGAACATGCTTACTTATTTACCCTTTTTACATAGCCAAACATAACTACGCGATACACTGTCAACCTGGAGACGAACTGGGGAGGGAGGGTGGTAGTGGGAGGGGGGGGTTGTGTATATATAATAAAAAAACACGCACATAGACTGTACTTGCTGTCAACAACTGTAAATGCATCTAATTGTGTGTGACAAACAATAAAAAAAACAAAAAAAAGCAAAAGTCCATTACAGCAGAAGAAGCAGCACCGTGACTCAGCAGACAGGAGACAGTCAGATAAGTCACTACCAAAAGAGCTTATCCAGCAACGACAGTGCACCGGGTTATTTACAGAGACCAATGATTATACAAAGAACAGGATCCGCCATAGGGTCATATTGCAGGATCTAAGCTACAGTGATAGTCCAGGAATAACAACTTGAAGACACACACTTTTGATACACGTCCTATCAAAAGTACAGCGGGGAGATAAAGTTAGAACCAATTTACTGGATTTGGAACAGTAGTTTTGGTCCTATTTATTCAAATTAGCAAAAAATGCTAAAAAATAGATTTCCGCTTTTGCCATATTTTGAAACAATACAATAGAGTATCAAGTTTAGCAATAATGAATAAACAATTATCGGTTTAAAACATAGCAATACTATCGAATCGTCACATTTTTGCCAATTCCCACCATACTGAACAATCCTATCTACATTTTTTTGTTTTTCATCCTGCATAGCTTCAAGGGCCTCTACCACCCAGAAGAAACCAACACAGACACAGGGAGAACATGCAAACTCCACTCAGAAAGGCCCTGTTCAGACCCGCTGCTAACCAATTGTAATTAAATAATAACAATACTCTGATACATTAATTTTAATACTTCAAAGAGTCAGTAGGAGCCAACTAGTTTAAAATGCAGTTCATCTTTTTGCAGTGGGTCCGTTCCATTATCTGTCCATTCCATTATCTGTCCTTGAAACAGCAGAGTGGTTTACCTCTCGTTTACAGGGGACAACAGACTCGTAGTTCTCGTCCCGGTCCGGTTCTGGATTGAGACCGGACTCGCACAGATCTGAGACGAAGAACTCTGGAGTGGACCTGCGCCCGTAGCGTTTACTGCCCTTCACGAACTTGGGCTGGATCTCCGGAGAGGCTGAGGAGGATGGGGAAACGCAGCTTAGGCACCGGTCGCATCTGAACCCATGTGAGAAACTGTCTGATCTTTACCTGGTTTTGGCGACGGCACCTGTTCGATCCGTGGCTCCTCCAGGTTTGAAGACAAGACGAGAATAAGTGCATTTTTGAACTGTTCAAAGCCGACCTGAAACAATGCATTCAAAGCATTGTTAGATAAATGCACAAAACATATTCCTTGATAGAGATGGTCTCCATAATTATAGTTTAAGGGGAAGCAAAAAAATATGTGTGCCTAAATGTAGAACCACTCTCAGATGTGAGGCTTGGTGCGTGGGCTAACAGAATATCTAAAAATATTACTACTATTATTAGTACTATTATCATTTTTGCTGAGGATGTGGACGCACTGGTATAGTTGTCTTCTGTCTTTTTAACTTGTATGTTCTGTCTTTTTTATGTCATTGTTGGACACCGAGTCCGTAATAGAGACTTCATTCATTTCTTGCATATATTGTAAATTGTGCTTGTGTCTTGTAAAAGTAAGATTTTGTGAACAAATCAGACTTCATCAAGCTGCATCTAAATTAAAATACATGTTTCCTGTGAGTCACTGTTTGACTATGAGCGGAGTACTGATTGGTTGAGTCTTTTTTTTTTTTTTTCTTTCTGAAAATGCTGATCTAAAGATGTGGACAAAAACACATGCATGAGAAAAGGTTGAAATTGAAGCTTTTTGTAATTGGATAAATGGACAAAATTGATTTTGTTGTTTGAGCCCTACGCCATCATCTATGTCCTGATATTATGACCCGCCTCTAGCAACACAGTGCACGATTACAAACTATGACAAGAACGTGGCGCATGTTCTGCTGTATGAAAATATGCCGAAAATAACATTCTTCTCTAATTCTCCATAGATTGCTCTACGTCTTCGGCTGCTCGTCCCTGTGCGTCTGTGGACTCAGGGGGGAGTTTTACACAGCTGCTGACCCTGAATGTTGAATCCTTTGTCGATTTCTTTGTCGAGGACCAGGGTTAAGCCGGTCCACTGCACTGCGCCCGCATGCCCAAGTGTTTGTGTATCAACAGGTCCGTGGAAAAACAGACGTAAGCTGTATTTTAGCTCGTCTTTCATCCGTTAGAAAAGATGACAGCGAAATCCAAGCGACAGAAGAAGCGTGGCCTTCAGTAAAAATGAAATCTGAAAATCTGACCATTAAAATCAAAGCAATGGTACTAGCAGTTTTTATTTACAATGTTGTTTGTCATGATTTAAAGGTAATTTAAGATTAGGAGATCATTTAGTTGTCACACGGTGGTGAAATGTCAGTGTTGCATCAACGGTTACAGAATAGTATGAATGAGGAGCACACAGCACAAGATAAATGAACAATAAACTCTACTAAAAAAAATAATATTCTAACTTTAGCATAATAAGGAAGCAAGCATAAAATCTCTAGCTTTAGCATAATAAAGTGTAAAAAGCAAGCCTTGTCTGATTAAAGCATTTTCTGCCTTTCCTTCAAAGCGATAGAACTTTAACTTAAAAGCAATTAGTTTGTGTAAGCTCTCAGTCGTACAGGGATTAGTCAAAGCAAAGGAAGGTTTCTCACCCATCATCTGTACTTCTAAGCAGATTTTCCCGATGTTTCTTAACGTTGGGAATTATAATTATTTTTTTCTGTGAATGACCTTATTTATTTCAAACATGCACAGTATATTAAATAATTCCATTGGCAAATCTAATATTAGATTTGCCAACTTCCCATCAATCTATGCAGTGTGTTCTATTGTTAAAAATCCACAGTAGTCTTTTCAATAAATCCTTCTATATCTCAACAAAGGTGAGTCAGAGTATACGGTCTATTCTTTTATTCAACTCAATATGATCAAGTCCTTTTCATTCATGTGTCTTTGAACACAGCAGATGGCCTGTTTTCAGCCACTTTATTTTTCCCCAAAGCTTTGTGTTGGAGCTTTTTGCCTCTTGTAGTCGACCCTCTCAGACGTTGGACCCTCATACAGGTGTCTGTTGTCAAGGAAACCACCCGAGTGGCTGTTAATGATTGTTCATGATCCATGGAACAGATGATGGGGTTTCTGTCGAACGTCTGTGGGACAAGTAAAGTCTCTTGTATTATAATGGGATAATATAATGGGTTTTACACAGCCCTTGACTTGTTTTTGCGGTGTTTGCTTGTCTTTGACCCCCTCGGTTGTCCATCCATCCATTTGCTTCCGCTTCATCTGTTGCCGGGTCGCAAGGACATAAGTCAGAGCAGAGACACTCTCAGACTTCCCTCTCCATGCAAACTTCCTCCAGGGGAATCCTGAGGCGTTCCCAGGCCATCTGAGAGACATAGTCCCTCCAGAGTTCCCCAGGGTCTCCTCCCGGTGGGCCGTGTTACCAAGTACTTTCTAGTACCTGCTCAGCCTTGGTTCTAACCAGGCTGACCTGTACTAACATGTTTTAAAGGACGAAAACTGACCAGAGTGCTACTGGAAGCCATGGTTACCAAGAAATGTCAGTGGATGCTGGTTTGTTGTGGGTAGGTTGTTAGGATACTGTACCAGATAGGATAATGGAAACGCAACCAGGTAATATTCTGCCTGGTTGCGTTAGAGTAGAGTAGAGCAGAGTAGAGCAGAGTAGAGTAGGGCTGGTGGAAACAGGAATTTAAAGTACAAATAGTTGTCCTTTCTATGTGAAGAAGTGAGGAAGACAGAGTGACAGTGTATTGCCTTGTCTTACAGTGAGACAACCCCAATCCTTATAAAACCACAAGACCAAACTGACTTCTGGTAGATTAATATAATCGTAGTGTATAGATCAGAACTGTACCCTTGCATTGGGGGTGTCCTGGCTCAGCAGTAGAGTCTGGAGCAGGGCAGGTGCAGCCTCCTGGAGCTGCAGAGACTCACACAGCTCCCACAGCTCGTCCTGGGACAGCGATCCAGCACCGCTCAAGTCGAAACTGTCAAAGACGCCACGGAGCTGCTCCACATACTGCTGCTCCTCCTCGCCCATCCCACCGGACAGCAACCGGCCCTGCGTCACACAAGAGGTTTAAGTGAGCTACTAAACAATAACATGAATACTGTCAGGAGCAGTGGTCATGATAGGACATCTCCAGAGTCAGATCCAAAGCTGGAAGAGGCCTTTTAACAACAATAGGGTGTGATTTTGCAAAGCTGTGAGGGTTGACCTGATGTTAGAACCTCTCAGCAACAATATTAAAGAACAGAGGTATAATTGTAATATGCAAAAGTGAAAGTGAGAAACTGAGCCAGATCCTGTCACACCTCTAAGCCTGGTAACTACCGTGATGGGAGACCTATGGGAAAACCAGGTGCCACAGTGGGGCAGCTGCAGCAGTAAAGTGCCAAACTGTGGTTGTGTCCTTATCCAAGACATTTCACCAACATCGTCTGATGGTCGGAGGGTCTGATGCATAGACAATAAATATTAACGGACGTAGTCACGCCCATCTCCGCTGTTGAAACTAATGTACCACGCACATTAGCACATGCGTCAGCCAGCACAAGCCCCATTAACGAGCGCCTTCAAAATTCCACAGCGACTAAACTAGAGTGGTTCAAAAAAATACACATTGACACACATTTGGAACGAAGCTTTCGGCCAAGAGCCGACTTTTGGACCATCCTGTAAAGCCGTTTTTGAGAGGTAAGAAGATGCTACACATCAGCATTGGCTAACTCTTATTCCGGGTGCAACTCCCATTGGCCTGGGGTGGTATTGCAAGCATGTCAGCACACGTCATTTTGGACATTTTTGAGCAGGACCCGCCCCACTGATCTGATGGCACAAACTGGCTACAGTTTATCACCACTGCGCATGGAGTGAATTAATAATGACAATGTGAAGCGTCTTTGAGTGTCCAAAACACTCCCCTGCTGGCACCTAGCTCTGGGTTTCACTTCTTTCCTAAGCAATACTCTTTTTTTAAATCTGTTATATGTAGAGCATCCTCTTGTCTTCTTCAGTAATATTTTTTCAAAGGGGCTATGTGGGACTAGAGCGTTTAAGGTGGAGCTACTAGACTTCTATATTCTATATCATAGTGAGGACCCAATCTAAACATTTCATATCATTGTTTAATAAAGACTACAGGGGTCATGTATTGTCATATTATAGAGAACAGAATCAGGTCACGGACAGTAATGTGCAAGAATTCAGGTACAAAATCCATTTATACAGCCTAATTTCTCCAGGATTTAGTCTAATATTATTGACATACTTGTCACAATGACCATCAGCTGCAACTTTAAATTCAGACACAATTCAATCTCTGATCAAACTTTACTTACACGCAGGGAGGGACTGCCCGAGACTTCTGCTGGTGCGTTCATTTGTGCTTTCTCCATTTGATATGAGCTAAGTCACTACCTGTGCGCTCTGTGCTAAGAGTTAATCCACTTTACAATGATTAGACTATTAGGAGCTTAAGAGGCTGTGTTTGACACTGACCATCGGGCTATTCCTGGAGGTTCCACTCACAGTTCACAGTCATTGAAGAACACTGCATTGGGGAGTCAAAGTATTTCAAATATTGATAATAAGATTATTTACTTTGGTTTCTATCTTTTAAGGACACACTCACTTGCAAATAGAGATGGACCAATATGGATTTTCTGAGGCCAATGTAGATTTTTTTGGAGCGGCCAATGTATCAAAGCTGTTTTTTGTGTGCATATAAACATGCTGTAGGGGCTAATGTGCTAACAATTAGGACATTTTATATTCAGTACTGAATGGTGGTGCAGCAGTCAGTGCTCGTGCTTCACAGGCAGAAGGTCCCGAGTCCCATTCAATTCTCCGGGCGGGGCCTTTGTTGCATTTTCTCCTAGAGTCTCCTCTGTTTTGTCTTCCCAACCCTGGTTGCCCCTACCACCCCATTACGGAGGTACTTTGAACAAATGAATACGATTTCATGATTATGATTTATTGAATATGGGTTGTTAAGATAGGACTTGTGTTTGAATTGAGACAGCTGGACCAAAGGTAGGTCTGAGTACTGCAGACGGATGTCAAGACTTTAAAAAATATTTCTCAATTATTACTACTTACGTTTTGGGGTAAAAGTCTAATTGAGGAATTTATTATGCGGCTGGTTGTGCAGATGTCGACAGGTTAGGGGGATACAGAGCCTTTTGTGTTTGGAGGATGGGACCCCCCTGTGTGGAGAGGCAGAGGAGCAGCTGGAGTAATGAACCAATGACAAGAGCTGGTCAAGTGTCTGCCTAGTGCTGTCTGGAAGTGAAGAGAGGAGGGAGAGGACACATACAAGGGGACATATGACATGATGTAAATAATTTATGGAGAATACAGTTCATCAAGGAAACAAAGAAATACTGTTTTACATGATATTCTAGACTATAGATAAGAAAATTATGAATCTCCAGACTAGACACAATTATTTGCTAGGCAGTGCTTGTGTATAAGTAGTAAAACTTATCTGACTTTAAGGACTTAAGTGGGTTTTTGCCCTGGATTTCATTCTGTGAAATCTTACTGGTTTAATTCTGTGGCTGGCGATTCTCAAAATAAAAAATAAATATTAATTTACAGTCACAAAATGGTTTGGTGACATAACAGACAAAGAAAGGAGCGCTCTAAACAAGGTTCTCCGCTCTGCAAAGTGGACTGTGAGCTGTGAGCTTTCTGTTCTGGAGGTTCTTTATAAATCCAGACTTTTAAACCGAGCTCGTAAGAATAATCAATTACTCTTCTGGCCACCTTGGAAAGCCATGTTCGAGCTTCTTCCCTCTGGCAGAAGATATAATTCGCTGAGATGCAGGACATCTTGATATGCTAAAAGCTTCTTTCCACAAGCTGTTATCAGTTTAAACTGAGCACTTTAAATGATCTTGCCTTTGTATTGAAACTGTTTTAGTCGATTGATTTTACAGAGACAATTGTTTACCGTTTTGTTATATTTCTGTACTTTTAACCTTGTTTTATTTATGTACTTGTCTTGTGCACACTGGGGACTTTTGCAAATGTATTCCCATGTGGTTTTACTGCAAATGGCAAATAAATGATTCTGAATCTAAAACCAGCAATGTATATAGACCTACTTCTAGCAAAGGAGGACAGTTTGGAATCTGCTATATCAGATCCCAACTCAATAACCATCTCATGAACAGGGATGACACAAGAATCGCCAACCAGGAAAAAAAGCAACAAAATATTGGATGTATGACACAGCTACAGTATCTTACATCTGTCTGGTGTAGAACCACATTACTATTTTCCTTTTCATTTGAGAGGATTCTTAGATCCTCATCCCGACTGACTCTTTGTGCTGAGACGTCGCACTCTGAAAGCTGTGAGTCTAGAGTAGGGCTTTGGGATAAACGATTATTTTTTAAACGATTAATCTAGCGATTATTTTTTCGATGCATCGATTAATCTAACGACTAGTCCAACTAAGGCATTACAATAGGCGTTTATATTGGTCTTTAAAAATTTTAACTTGCTGTAATATTAAAAACCCATAAATGTGATTATATTTGGCACATTGTCTAATTATCAACATGAAATAAATGAAAAACCTCAAAACACAGCTAGTGGCATCAGCTAGAAGATTCTAGGTAAAAACACTACTTTTGTTTAGAAAAGAACAAAAGAACTGGTGTTTTTTCCTGTTGTCAATTTAAACTAGTTTCACATCAACCTAATCTTCATTGTCTTGAGAGAAACGTAGTGAAGAAGATGACAAACTCTGGGATCGCGTCTTTCATTCAGACAGAAGACATGTTTTATTGTCGATGGTAGAGACAGCACGAACAACACGGACAGAGAATGCAAGTGTATTATACAGAGCGGAGGCATGGAGACCTCCAATCAGCAGCTGCCACAGTGTGCTTGTAGCTTGGCCTTCAGATAGACAAAACAAGGGAAAAGTACTGGCTTCTGCACATTGATAGAATGATGAGTTTAACTTTAACAAAAGTTGCTTCAAAGTGTTATGAAATCTCACAGTAGTTAGTGCTATCTTGTGCAAAACAACCCCGAAACTGTTTCCCAGTCATAAAATTGACCTGACCAAAGTGGAGCTGTCTTGTAATAGTACTGTTTCTTTGCAGTAAACTGGAGCAGGAGCACAAAGAGCAAGTGTGTGGCGTTCGGTCAGAGCTGATGAAGGAGATGGAGCAGCTGCAGCTTCAGGCCGCGGCTCAGAGGGACGAGCTCCAGGCGCAGATCGAGAAAACCCGAGATGACGAGTCCTTCCTCCGCGATCACCTCTCCATCTCTGTCAAGGTGAATACACCTGCCTCCTCATAGGCTTTACTTTTCAGTTTCATGCAACCTTTTGAGGAGCTTGTTACATGCGTGCTGAAACCATACACTGCACTGCAAAACGTGATAAAAAAGTCAGTCGAAAATGGCTCAAATTTGGTAAAATGTATCATAATTTGAGCACATTTTGACTGCCTTAAAACTAAATTTGCCAATGGGTAAAAATTGAATGAGAAAATAATGCAACAAGGCTTTCACCCATTGGAAAATCTTGTTTTAAAGACCTTATGACGGGTTTGATTTATTTAGAAATACAGTTTTAATACCATTTTATATTAGAAGAGAACTACTAAAGGTTTCAAAATCAGTTGCTGTTTTTTTTGTCTGATCCCCCCAAATCGAAATAACCCCATAGCAACGCCCTTAGAAACGAAAAAACTTCACAGCCCTTGGTGACGTCAGAACGGGTACGTTTCAACGCTGTAAGTTGTTTACAATTTGGTATTCGTTCTTTTTTCGCGGATATTCAAGATGACAAGGCCGTGTACAGCGAGTCTAAGATAACTACTAGAATGTAACATTTCGTTGTCACTGAGATAGTCCAGTGGTTGTGTCGATGGACTGCCAATCCAGATACTTGGGTTCAAATCCCGCCCCGGACACTTTTTCACACTCAAAACGGCAATTTATGTGTAGTGAGCAATTGTCACCTGTAGAGTGCAGTATTGTGTTGGGCACTAGTGGAGAGAAGAGAGAAAAGGCAGTCCTGTGGCATAGATCCATGATTTTCAATGCATGGGCGTTACCCACTATGACGTCACTCACAGGTTAGAGCATAGACAACTTAAATTCATGAAAAACACGTTCTTTTTATAAAATATAGGATTTTTTTTGCCGGAATCTCTTTCAAATTGACATTGTCATGCAATTTTGATATCCACTATTTTAAAAAAAAAAACCCGTCATAAGGTCTTTAAGACAGTCAAAATGTACTCAAATTAAGATACAAACCACTTGATTCAAGCAATTATTACCTTAAATTGAATCTTCATTTGCAGTGCGTATATTAGGAGTGGACTGACTGAGTGTACACCATAGTGTTAGCCATAATGGAGAAGAAGCCAATTTGAACATAAGCTAGCCGGAGCCATTTTCCTTATTCAGGCATCTCTTCTTAGGGGGTTAGTTTTGTTCCGTTACTAACATGGTTGCTTAGGCAAGCTGGAGTTTACCCCATGAATGAAGGCATCAGTTTGGCAACAGAATCGCAGAGAGCACTAAACCACAGATTAACACATTATGGTGACTGTGACACAAACGGTTAGTGAATAAGAGGTGTTTACTTTTCAAGTCAATAGGAACCAGAGCATAGCAAGACTTTGTCCCTGAGCACTTCATAGAGCTTGTTAGTTAGCATTGTCCAGTCTATGGGTGAAAATGAAGACCTGGAGGAAAACCTTCTCGTAGTGAATATCTGATCTACACTTGAGGTTATTCACAAGTTAATAACCTAACCCGAGTGAAAGTTTGGAAAAATAAGGAAATATCCTGTCATTATTTCTTGTTTAGGAAAACCGTCGCCTTGAAACTGAGTTGTTGGACACCACTGAAAAACTCGTAGCTGCTGAAAACCAAATCGCAAATCTACAAACAAACATAGAAAACATCATGAAGGAGAAGGTACGGAAGGAAACGCATTCTACACATGTATATAAACCTGTTGGTGAAAACTAACTGTACCATCTCCTCAGTTCGGAGACCTGGATCCCGGCAGTGCAGAGTTCTTTCTGCAGGAGGAACGAATTAAACAACTTCACCTCAGCTACGAAGTCCAGTGCAGGGTAGGTCTCTACAATCTCTACAGTCATGGAGCAGGGTCACTTCCCTGTATGCTTAATATGCTCATGGATTCTGATTTATTCTTAGAATTGCTGATAAATTTGCAAAAAATGAGTAAAAAATGAGTTTTATGTTGCGCTTTTTTGGACATTCAAAGACGCTTTACATGTCATTATTCTTTCAGTCCATACGCGGTGGTGATATACCACTGTAGCCACAGCTGCCCTGGGGCACACTGACAGAAGCGAGGCAACCAGTATGTGCCATCGGCCCCTCCACACACACACCAGATTCCATCCATCCATCTTCTTCCCCTTAATCCATTTCTGGGTCGGGGGGGTAGCAGTCAGAGCTGCACCCATTACACTTAGCACCAGCCCCTCACTGATCCTCCTGGAGGTGGTGAGTCCACAGGAGCTGAACATTTTCAGGGGGGGGCTTCGGGCAAAGTGGGGTTAAGTGTCTTAAGTGTTAAGTGTGCCCAAAGACACAACGACAGCAGACATCAGTGGGAGTCGGTGGAGAAGGTGTCTAGGTGGGAAACGAACCGATGACCTTCAGGCCTAAAGGCCAATGCTCTACCAACTGAGCTACTGTCGCCCCCTCAGACTCAGAAGGTCTCGAGGTGGGAAACGAACCCATGACCTTCAGGCCTAAAGGCCTGCCAACTGAGCTACTGTCGCCACACCAGACTCATTCTAGTAAATACTAGAATATCAGAATGTCACTTAATCTACTTAATATCCTGCCCTGTGTGTATATAATTTACACTAGATATTTAGACAAATATTGAGATTGCTGCTCTTATAAAGCATTTGCAGCTAGCTAAGAAGCATAGCAGCTACTTATATCTGTATTACAGACTGAATAGATAGTGTGATTTTATTTCAAACCTGCAGAACACAATTTTACATTTCTTTATCACAAATACTGTTTTGAGAATACAGATTTTTACTTTGGACCTACTTTTATATAGACTTGTGTCTCTAACTGTTAAATGGCTTGTGATTTGTTTTGTCGAACCGTCTCCGTTAAAGCCGGGGCACCTAACTTTACAACCACCAAAAATTAACTATGTGACAACGTCTATGATTCTAGTTCCTTTCTCTAAAGCAGTTTGGTTCTATCACTAGGTTTTGGCCTCATCTTTAGATCTTTTTTCAGATCTCTCCCCAAACAGTCAACTAGTGACTCACAAGGATCTTTACTACTAGTGTTAAAGGATATAAGTTGTCCTTACATTATACATTTAGAATAGCATTTGGCTTTCTGTTGTAGCAAATAACACATTATTATTCGTTGATTTTAAAAGTTTTAAGCTTTAAGCAGCTTTAAGCACATTGAGTTGCATTTATATATCACATGTGTCATCTAATAACATTTCTTCCTTCATTTAATTCAAAGGAGCTGCAGGACCGCATAGATGAGCTGCAGTCCGAGTTGAACGACTTCCACTGCATCAGCAGAGATCATCAGCTCAACTCCAAAACTCTGAACGAGGAGCTGGAGAGCAAGAGCCCCGGCAACGAGTCCGACCCTGGTACAGTCTCAATTCAATTGAATATATTTTGTATAGCCCTAAATCACGACAGTAGTTATCTTGTAGGACTTTACAAAACCATACAATTTGTCCGCACAGATCAGAGAATCAAACACAAGAAATGCATTAAAGAAAAACACAGCCCCTTATGGATCAATGAAGCCATTGATCCATAAGGGGAAGATGACCAATGCCCATAACAGTTTTTGAATGTTGAGCGCTCTCAACATTGGCAAGGAAAAACTCTATTAAAAAAAAACAATGGGAAACTTTGAGAAACCTCAGGGAAGCCCACATTGAGTTTACTGGTTTAAGCTTCTCACATGTTTTTCTATATTATTATTCTAACATTGTGTTCTTTCAGGGCTGGGCTCAGAGGAGGTGCAGCCCTTCAGTCTGAGCCTCGAGGCAGAGATGATGCTGGAACAGCTCAAAGACCGACACCTGCAGGAGATGGATGAGCTCCGGAAGCAAATGGAACACAAGGTAAGATGTTGAGATAGGCTTTTGGACTCATTTTGATGTTATATTTCTACTTTTGTGATTGTTTTGTGATGCTGTATTAAGTCCAACGTTGTTATTTAGTCTAGTTTTGTTTACTACTGCTGTATACTATTCCTTCTGAGCACTGAGTCCAGCCTTGTCAGTTATCTTTGTTGTCCCACTAGGAGAAATTGGTTTGCCTGCTGTTTGACTGTTAAATGCATAATGTTGATTCACTGTTAAATGCAAAAAAGGGATTTTATGTTGATTCATTCTTCATTTCATCTTTCCACAGATCAGTGAATTTGAGGAGATTGTTGAGAAGCAGCGGGCTTCTCAGGAGGAGCGGCGCGTGTCAATACACCAACAACACAAGGACGAACGTGACGCTTTGAGAGACGAGATTTCCAGAGTCCAATCCCGGGCAGAGGAGCTTCAAACGCGGCTCGACCAAGTTCTGACGGACCCACCAAACCTCAAACCAGACATGGACAATGAACTACAGACCTTTCAGGAAGAGGAAATACAAACGCTAAGACAGCAGTTACTAGAATCTCATATTAAGAATGCTGATTTGGACGAACAGCTTAAAAATCTAGAAGAGCAACTAAGTGAAATCAATGCAAGCTTTAGCAAGGAGTTGGAGGAGCTCAGAAAAAAACACAAACAAGAGATAACACGACTAGAGCAAAGTCAAGCTGAATTTTTGGCCCAAATGGAGGCTGAGAGAAGCACGCTTTCAAGAGAGTTTGAAGAAGAGAAAGCCTTTTTAAAATTGAAATTTGATGCAGAAATTGAAGCCAGATTAGAACAAGATCAGGTAAGGTTTGAAAAGGAAAGAGCTGAGGTTGTTCAGAGGTTGACTGAGCAGTGGGAGAAAGAAAGAGCTCAATTAGATGAGGAAAACGCTAGCAATTTGCAAGTTTTGCTTGAAGAAGAGATGCTTAAGCTAGTCAAAGAGCATGAGGACAAAGAGGCGGAGATGAAGGCGCAATTTGAGCTGGAGAAAGAACAGATTCAGCAGAAATGCGAGGACGGTCTGTTGGAGAGACTTCATCAACAGACGATGGAGTTCGAGCTGAGAGAGAGGAAGCTAAAGGGCGAGTGCGACATGGAGAAGGCACAACTGGAGGAGGACTTCGAAGGCATGGTGCAGGAGCGGGTGAGAGAGGAGCTGGAGAAGATGGCCGCCGACAGAGACGAGGAGGACAAGAGGTTTGAGCAACTGATGAGGGAAGAACGGGACAAAATTCATCAGCAACATCAGGAGACTGTGAAGGAGCTGATGCAGAGGCACCAGAAGGAGAGAGAGGAGCTCCATGGCACTTTGGACAAACTGAAGGAGGACATTGCATCTGAAAGGTGAGGAGAAAATGCTGAGTTTGTTTGTGTCTTCGTGTTTCACTCCTGGACCATTTTTCAGTATGTGAAAAGGAAGAGGAGAGAGCTCTGTATTGTCATAATGCAGCCTCCATGCTGTTTTGAATTCTCCATATATGAAAACTGCTTAAAAATTCTTAAGGTCTTAACTTTGACTTATCCAATCATGCGTTCGTGTGTGTGAGTGTTTGAGGCGATGTCTCTGAGTTTGGATAATCATTGCACCAGTGACAAATGTAACGCAAAGAAAATTGGGACTAGGACTTGCCAGCTATTTACTTAGTCACGTCTATGCAACCTCACATTTTGTACTCTCTAATATGATATGTTCCGGCTTAATATTTATTGACGTGTGACTTGTATCTGACATCTAATCACCAGTAATTCAACTGTATGTTGTTATTCTGGAATTTCATCTCATGTAATTCCAGAATAACATCTCATGAAGTTTCTTTTGTCTATACACATGTGTCCAACTTTGACTTTACTAACACATATTGACTGCACAGGAGACAAATCGCCTCTGGCTTCGGCCTTAGACTGAAACAGCTGGAGGAGCGGTTTGAAATGGACCAAGAACAAGTGGCCGAGAGATTTCAAGCAGACATCTTAAAACTGGAGCAGAACTATCAGAACGAGCTGAAGGCAACGTACAAAAACCATGAGGCGGAAAGGCATCAATGGGAAGAAGAAACATCAGCCATTTTGGGAAGGGAACGCAGCAAGATGACGGAGGAATGGACCAAGGAAATGGACGTTATGGTTTCAAAAAACAACCGATTGCAAAGTGAACTGGATGAGATTGTTCGCTGTAATGAATTGGAAGAAACAGACTTACGCAAACAGATTGCTGAGCTGCAGGAAGGTCTAGAGATGAGGGAGAAGTTTCTGTCTGACGTTCAAAAACAAGCCATGGAAAGTGAGGAAATGCTCAAGGAAACTGTTCAAATTTTACAAGACGAAAGAAATGAACTCATGAAAAGTCAGTTCGAGATCGAGGCGAAATACAAGGAAGTTGTTGGCATTTCAGAACAGCAAATCGCAGAAAGAATAGAGCTGTTGACAGAAAGGGACGATTCGAAAGTAAAAATTGAGGAGTTGGAACGATCTATGGCAAAGATTCAAGGTGACTATGACGTAGAGAGAAATGACTTGCAAGCCGTTATAACAGACATGGAAGAAAAAGGGGCAAAGTGGAGAATGATCAAAGAGCTTCAAATGCAGGCTAGTCAGGTTTTGAATTTTGTGCAGAAAGTTGAAATGGTTAGCATTGAAGACATGATTGACACAGGAGATATTGAGAATGTAGATGGCGGTTACGAAATTACCTCAGGATTTGACACAACAGTCTCTAATTCAACCAGGTCTACTTCAAGTTTGGGAGAGGAAAGCCTCAATTTACTGTCTCCTATTGAGGATCTAGAGTTTAATATAAATAGTAGAAATGATGGTGTTTTGAGCAGTTCAGAGACATCGGATGTTGATGAGAGCAATTATGCATCCAGAAAATCTTCTCCAAATCAGCTATGCGTACATGAACAAAGCCAGTTTAATGAAAAACATCTTAAGAGTGAAATTGATCTAAGTATTTTCAACAGTGGAAAGAAGGGAGCCTCATGTGCAAATGTTGACCCTATTATTTCAGAATGTCGTGATCAAAAACCTTATTGTGGTGGCGACCCGGCGTTTAAGAACAAACTAGAAGCTGTTTCTTCGGATGCTGTTTCTCACAATGGCGATAACTTCCCACGATTGGAACGGTTAGAAGGCACGGATGTGGCTAAGAATGGAATCCAACATGAGAATAGAGTGTGTTGTGAACTAAAACCTCAAAAAGGGTTCAGTTTTGAGGTGGGAGAGAGCATGCATAAAGAATGTTTTCCGTATGAAACTGTGGTGGATGCCGTAGTCCTGGAAGATGCAGAGAACTTGGGGCTATTGTTGGAAGATAAAAGAAGTAATTGCAATAGTCACAACAATAATTTATTGATGCCGGGAATATGTTTTGGACAGTTTGAGAGTATGAACGAAAGCATAGAAAAACAGGATGTTATCAAACTTAGCGTTCTGTACAAAACTACAGCAAATGAGAATGTGCTGCTACAAGAAAAAGTCTCTCTATTGCAGCAAAAGATTGAAATACTCGGCACTTTACTGGCACATAATAACGAAAAGCTCAAAACGGGGCATCAAGCTTTGGAAGACAATTACAGCCTCAAAGTCAAACTGTTGTTGTTCACGGAGCACATAAAGGAACTGGAGAGGAAGGCCTTCCAAATGGCTGACCTGCAGATCCGCTACGAGGACTGCGCCTGCGAGAACTCCAAACTCAAAGAGCAGAACGCCGAGCTGGAGAAGCGAGTGTGGAGTCTGGAAAGCAGCCTAAACATCCACGGTTCTCCAGTTACATTGGCGGACGACATTCACCGTATGAGAAGGGAGAACGGGAGGTTGTCTGAGCTTTTGGTAGAGTTGGAAACTCCGCCCGGAAATCTACTGATGAAGCGAAAGAAAAGCAGAGAATCAACACAACCCATTCAAAGCGGTTTGCACCAACTGCGTGAGGATTTGGAGGACCGCTGCTGTGATTTCAAACTGGAAAATGCCAAATTACAGAGAGCCATGACCGACCTTCAAGACCAGTCCCACCTCCTCACCAAGACCAGCACAGTCCATAGGTAACAGCAGTGGACAAGTAGGAAGTCCCACCACAATCCCAATAGACTCCAACTGCTTCCCCTGATAGTGGGTCTTAGAAACAGATGTGCTTGGATGTTGTGTTGTCTGGTCCGTGTATTAATTCCAAGATTGGAATTGTACTATTGTATTGTGTTTGACCTTACCTTTGACGCTGCTGCAACCAATTGTTATAGTTCGTATTTGAGGTTTTAATCAAGTTCTAGTACCTAATGTTGTGCTTTTAATGTTATTCATTCAATTATGTTTTTTATTAAAATTAGTTTGAATTTCTCTCTAGGTCTGAAGCGTATCGTCTCTCTGAAGAAAATCTCCATCTCAATAAGAAAATCAACGCTTTGAAAGAAGATGATTTGAAGGATTTGATGTGAGGGTTCAAGATTACTCTGTTTATGCAATCCATGTTTTCATAAAATCATGTCGTCACGAGAACAATTGGAGCATGGGCAGCTATCGTCCGGAATAAACTTTTTTTGTTCATTGCAGGAAAACATTGGCCACACTCAAAGAGGAGAAGGACGCATCTGAGAGGGCTGCAGACGACTATAAGAAACAGGTAAATGGCAAAGCAAGGCAAGTTTATCTGTGTAGCACAGTTCATACACAAGGCAACTCAAAGTGGTTCCGTTGTATGCACAGCTGGACAGAACTGTTTTTAACCTGGATTTTAACATTGTCAGAGATGAAGCTTGTCTCACATTTTCAGGAAGACTGTTGCTAATTTTAGCTGCATAAGTCTGAAACTCTGCCTCCCCATGTTTTGTCCTGACTCTCAAGCTAAACAAAAATCTTGGTTTGGGACAAGAACTTGCCAGTTATTGGGAAATTACTCATGCTTGAGAACTGCAAAAGGAAGCCTTAATTCAATATTTTTTGCTAATAATTATCCTATGACTTTTATAATCAAATTTGTAGCCTCAATGCAAAACAGGGTTTTGCAATGAGGCACTGTTTCAGAAATGTCATCAAATTTGCCAGTTCATTTTATAACTGGGGTCTTCAGTACCAGAAAGTGCTCATGTGTGGCATTATACCTTTTATATCTTTGTTATCTTTTTTTTTAGATTTCAGAGCTTCAGTCCCAAAGCGTGCTCCTCGGAAACCGAAACGGGATCCTATGTGAGAAAAACTCGCAGCACCTGTGTGATGTGGAGGCGCTCAAACAGCAGGTGGCAGCACTGGCAGAAACCAAGGACCAAACCAAGTCGGAGGACAAAACGCAGGTAAATATAGCTTTTTTTAAGTAGACTAGTCATTTTCAATACAAAAGTCAGCAGGCTGTAGTAAGATAGACCAGGTCCAATATGTGTTCTTTACAATGTTTTTTAGTGATCTTAGTCCCAATTAAGTTAATGTGTGTGTTTTCTGTGTCAGTTGTCGGCGTGTGTCTCTGCACTGGAGGCGGAGATGACCAAAGCTGCAAATGAGACGGCCTCGCTCAAACTTCGAAACTCACTGCTGTCTCAGGAAGTGGGAAAACTCAGGGAGAAGGTGAGAACAAGTGTCAAAGAGTCACTGATCCTATCTGTCCTTCCACGGTCTGGCAATCGGGTAATATTGAAATACATACAAATAATGAAGCATTGAATGAATAATTTGATCAAACTTTTACTCTTTGTATGACGTGGATGTGGCGCCGCCCTCTTTGGCTCATGACTCCGCCCTCTTTGGCTCATGGGTCCGCCCTCTTTGGCTCATGGTTGAATACTATTTGCTGCTCAGTGTCTAATCAGAACCCCCACAGCTGCAGCACTCAATTGTGTCGACAGAACATTCATTCATGCTTCTCTGTTTGTCTATTTACCTGGAATTACACTAACAATTTAAAAAAAAAATGTTTCCAATAAACTACCAAGCCTTCAGAGTGGTATGGCAAGCACTGGTCATTTGATTTTGCTGCTGTTATCTTTGAGTTTTAGAACAGTTCAGAAATGTGTTATTTATTTCTAACTCTACTCATCCAAAGAGTCACTCAAATTCAATTATTCACTTGCCTCAATTTAGAAGTTAATTCAATAAATGTCTTTTGTGTCAACCTGTCTGACCCTGATCCACTTTTTATCTTTTGTCTTCTAGTTGAAGTCTTTGGAGTCGATGGAAAATCAGATGCAAACTCTGTCTGAAGAGAAAAATAATTTGGTGAAAGAGTCTCAGGCCCTGTGCAGCCAGATCTCCAAAGCTCAAGAAAAGGTAATAATAAAGTCTCAGTTTGTTCATATTTGACTTCCTTTTGGAATAGGTGAGATAGTTATACCCTGTTCTCATTTTGTATGGCAGAATATATGGATGGATAACTTATTTTCTCTAGAAATAATCTAGATATTTTTTCTGACTCTTGCCTCCTCCAAACAGTCTAATTCAGGCCTAAATGCAAACTTACTTAATCAATCCAGTGTATCATTTGATTAGCGTAATTATTTCAAACCTCCATGACACATTTTTATGTATATGAATATATATGACATATATATATGTATATATATGTCTATATATATATATATGGATATATATGATAATATATGACATATACCAAGATGTACTTGGTATATGGTTTTTGAGCAAAGGAATCAGAGAAACCAGAGAGAGAACACAGAGGGAGAGACCAGAGACCAGGCAGTTTGGTCTCTGAAAACCCACATTTTTGAAACCAGGTTCTAGAGTGGAAGGATCTCAGAACTCTATTTGCCGCTCTGTGGTTATCGTCTCTCCGTGGAGATTCCGAGACGGTTGTGTTATATCACTGTCCTGATTAACGCAGGCACCACTCTTACAACATGACAACAATAACGGCGTCGTACAGTGTTGTGTCCTGATGAACCTCGTGAGCAACTGACGCTATTACATCAACTTCTTCTGATGTCTTTTTAAACACTTCATACACATGTATGCAAACTTATACTCCTGACTGACTCCTTGTTTACAGAAAAAGTTTCTGAAACAAAGTGTTTTGACTTTGTTTGGATGTAGCCCAAAAGCGCTGCTATTTAAACTAACTCAATCGATTGAATAAAGATGCAGACCACATTCATATTTCCACTTTTCATTTTCTCTGCTCTAAACCAGAGCATATCTTTTGGACCTAGAGGAGTCCTGCTTCAGTTCAAAAACATTTGAAAATGTAAACTTGACATTCCCTTTTTTTCTTTCAGGCCAAAGCGTCAGAGGAAGCCCTTCAGGCTGTCACTCTACAGAACAGCCGATTAAAAGCCGACGTCAGAGTTTTACAGCAGCAGAAAGATACTCTCCAACATGAAGTGGCTCTTTTACACAAGAAACTACAAAACACCACTGAAAAGGTAAAACGACAGCTGCATACAGTATCCTATAATCTCTATTGTGTGTATTTATATTAGGCCTGTCAAACCATTAACCTTTTTAATTGAGTTAATAAAAACAAGTCTCATTAAGACTGTGGATCCTATTCATTATTGTGCCTCTTGCTGGTGGCTTGTAGGATGGTTCGAGGGACGCTTAATGTTTTAGCGAGACCTTCATCTTCAACTATGCTAATCGATCCAGGCCTGGACTGGGACCAAAAAATGGCCCGAGCATTTTTGCCTTCTTGACATCCCAGGCGTTTTTTATTTAGTTATTTTTTTCAAGTTTATTAATATGTGGGAGCACATACTGTAGAGAATGTATGTAGTTTCAACACTTGAAATAAAGTGCCTTAGTCTGTGTTGTGACATTTTTTTTACTCTTGTAATGTGGACTGAGGGAGATGGCCACAGACGCTGTTGTTTGTTACAGGGATAACAATGGGATATTTAAAAAAAGTACATTTAAAAAAGAATGCAAGAATGTCAACCAATGGCTGTCATTAAATCTGTTTGATTTGCTCACAACATTTTACTTTTGGGCACTACCAACATGAACTGGTAGTGCAAGGGAAAAATTCGGTGCCCTGAGTCTTCCTGAGGCTCCATAGTCCAGCTTCAGCTGTGTATAGTGCGTGATATAGTTTGATGGTTCTTTCCCCAGAACCACGTCCTGGAGCGGGCGCTGCACTCCACTGGTCTGCAGAGCCACAGTAAGAAGCTGCTGCGAGAGGAGCTGTCGCGGCTCATGGAGCAGGAGCAGAAGTTACTGAAGCAGGAGAACGACAAGCTCCAGACGGAGGTTCTCAACGCCAAAGCAGAGCTGCGACAGGCCCGAGACAAGGTGAGGCCCGAGGCAAGAGGTGAGGCCCGAGACAAGGTGAGGCCCGAGGCAAGAGGTGAGGCCCGAGACAAGGTGAGGCCCGAGGCAAGAGGTGAGGCCCGAGACATGGTGAGGCTCACCTCTGAGTGTTAGCTGTTATACGAAAGAGGCATATTAGAGCAGATTGAGAGGGAATGAGTGGAAAATGTTTAATTTAATTTAGCAAAGAGTTGTTCATTTACAAAACTCTACAAAACTGTTTGCCGACACAGATCCGGGGATCAAACTGTTGAAATATAAGAAATGTAGTGGTAAAAATAAAAAAAAACTCATTGCTCCATAAGGAGCAGATGGCCACCATAGATGTTGAATGTTAAGTGTCCTTGATCATTCCTACTGTTCTGTAACTGGCTGGTGTTGCAACACTGAAATTTCCCCACTGTTGGATGAATTAAGAATCTTAAAATGTTTGGTAGCAACGGTTGAGTTACCAAAGGTCAATCAGGAGCAACAGAAGCCTGTCCCCTCTCTCGCTTCTCACTAGCTAAGTGAATTCAGCAACAGAAGGCCCCATGATTGGCCAGAAGTTCGAGCTCATATCTGGATTTACAAGAACAATATCACGATTTAAAAACCAGAATCAGAGGCTTTCTGATCCTGGTTTTGGGTTTTAACAGTCTAGCTCCTAAAAACCCTGGATTTTTAAAGCCCAAAATAGTGAGTGTTACACTCCCAATTTTGGGAGTAACAAATAGTTACTGAGCTAGAGTTTACTTTTGTCAATAGGAGCCAGAGCAAGTTGGAGCAAAACTTAATCCATGAGCACTTCCCTATGGGGCTTCATTGAGTTAGTAAGGTGGCATGGTAGATCTGTAAACAGTCTATGGGTGAGAGCAGCAGCTTGATGCATGGTTAAAACCAGACATTGGGAAAAGGGAAAGTCTTGGTGTGTAATCTCCGTTGAGAGTAAATCCCTTGAGGCCCCACATCTGTTCTGTGATGTAAGAGCCCAGAGACTTAAGCAGATTTAGAGGTTGTTTCCAACCAAAGCCTTAAACCAACATGTTATGAGCCCAGTTCTGTCCAGGGAAGAAGACTTTTATGAATATTTTGAGTTAAAGCACAAAAGGCATCCATGCATTTGGAAACTAGTGATAGGACCAAACCGTTCTGAGATTTAGGGACATGCAACTAACACAAAATTTATTAAGATTAAGAAATCCTTTCATTACAGAACAATAGAAATGAGGAGCACACAACACAAGATAAGTGAACAATAACACTATTCTAAAATATCTCTAGCTTTATTGTAACAAAGAAAGTATATTAAATTATAGAATATTTTGTGTTTCAAAGTTAGGTGTTCCAGACATTCAAGTGGTTAAAGTAACTTAAAAAACATAAAATAAAAATGATTTTATGGATGGATTTGGTGAGAGGTTAACAAACGTCTCTTTTTTTTTCCCCCTCAGTTTCGTCAGATGGATTCCACTATTGTGTCTCTGAAGCAGCACAAACAGAACCAGTCGGCCATGTTGCTGACGCTGGAGCAGGAAAACCTGACTCTGAAAGAAGAGCTGGAGGCACAGAAGGAGAAAAACAAGGTCAATAAGGGATGGTTGTGTTAAAACATTTTGTGTATTTAGTTATGTGGGAGTATTCTAGAGCCTTTATGTGTGGAGTTGGCATGTTTGTGGGTCTGCGTAGGTTTTCCTCTGTGTGCTCCGGTTTCCCCTTCCACTAAAAATATGTACAAAGGTTTGAGTGTAATGAGAAAGTGAATGAATGGGTTGTGATTGTTTGGAGCTTCTGTAGTCATTGTGTGTGGAGCAAATGTAAAAATATCAGTCCTTTAAAACATTGCAATGTAGTTTATGACCTCCGTCTGTGAAATGCGCTATATAAATAAAGATGACAACTTTTGCTTTCAGGGCAGAGAAGCTGGAGCCGCCGGTCCAGACACGGAGAGCATTCTTCAAGAGAACGAAGCTTTGAAAAGTCAAATGTCAAGGCTTTCCACACAGCTCATTGAGGTGTGTTTTGTTAAGACTGGATTGTTTTTTGTACAAAAATGTAGTAATTAATCAGAACTTCAGTCAAGATTATATTTAAAGCTGGGGTACCTGACTTTCAAACAGCAACAAACTGAACTATGTTAAAAATCTATCTAATTTCTCTCTTAAACGGTTTGGTTCCATCAGTGTTATCATGCAGTGGCCTCAGTCACATCTGTCGATCAAAGCGTCATTCTTGACTCTCAGGGCTCCCAAGATGCAAAAGATAGGTTTTCCAATAAGATGAAGGCAGCATGTTTCACTTTTACAAGACTTTCTAGTGTAAAATTATGAGATGTCATGGGTACTTCACTGGGAAAAATTAATATGAAATAACATTCATTTGAGTTGTTCACTCTCAAAACAGTTTGGTACCAAAGCTTGGCCTTTCAGACCTGAACAGTTCTGTCTCTCTCAGACGTTCCAGGCTCAGCTCGTGGGTCTTCTGCCGCCGTCTCCTCACAGGACGCCACGAGGACAGCAGCTCAGAGAAAGAGAGGAGGCTGAGAACGCACAGGTAACACACAAAGCTTCGGCCTCTTCTGCATTGAGGCTGGTTTTGGCCTTAATCGATATCACTCGCTCAGTCCACTCCTGAAATACAGTCTATGGCAATAATCCTCAGATTAACAACAAATGCACATGATACAAGTCTGTAGTGTATATTGGTGCCACACTGTAAGTTGAAATGCAGGAATACATGAACTTTTAACATAAATTAACCTTTTCTGAGATTTGCCGTCATGCAATATTCCCCACTCACAGTTTAAACTCACTCTTTCATGACTGTGGTGTGTCACTCTTTGGTGTGAAGATGCAGCATTGGATCTCTATGGTGTCATTTCAATTTGTGTTTTATACTATTCTTGAACAACAACTCACATTCTCAGCGCTGTCTGTGTTACTACTATTGATATTTTAGTGTTATCCTCCATTTCCCCCAAGGACCAAGTATGGTATCAACTCATCAATGCCATACTTATGAAAATCCCTGAAAAACACTGAAGAAAAATGCATCATATTTGAAAACGGTAAAACTGGTTCCTCAGAGGGCTGGTGTGAAAGCAGGTTTTCTCCACCCATGTCCTCAAGTGAGTCCAGTCTGAACCTGGAGACTTGAGCAGATGGGTGGAACTAAATCAAAGATGTATTTTTCTTTATGTTAAGGCAAAAAAAAAATCCTCCTTTTGGCACCAGGTGTTCTTTCACTCGCGCTACAGTGTCTTCTTTCCCATTTCTTTCCTTTTCTTTCCTTTTTGCTTCTGCCTGGTTCCACCTCACCACCTGTATGATCCCTCACCTCATGGTAGCTTAACTTTCATCTGGACTGATTTAATTTGCTGATATAAAGTATTAGTACGTACTAAGGGCTTAGGGATATTTAAGTGGGAACACCATTTTAGAGGATGTAGTTGTATTTAGAATCAAATGAAACATCAACTTCAAAACTGTTGTAGACTAAAGGCACAGGTTTCTACACTGAAGAAAGAAAAAAAATCAGTAACAAAGAGATTGTGCTAGATCAATGACAATGGTCTAAAGATGTGACGGGGGCCAAAAATACTGTACCTACATGTGAAAACAAGTGGTAAACTGTTTTTACAGGGAAACTAGGACTATTTTATAGTTCAGTAGTTGGGTACCCCAGATTTAAGATACTGATTTCAAGCTTTTAAAAGGCAAGGCTAGTTTATTTGTGTACTACCTTAAATTGCGTCTGCTTTTGCAGTGTAAAACGCATCATTTCCATCCAATTCAAACCTCCTGCATGTGTCTGAGTGCATGTAAAAATCCCCTCCTGAGTCAGCCCCATGAGAGAGCGCTGTGGTGAAGTGTGCTTGCCTTTTGTGTCCTCCAGGGGGCAGTGCCGGACCAGCGCGGGGCTCACGCAGACAGCTACAGGCGGATCGGTGGACTCTAACCAGCTTCTGTCCCGCTCTCATTCACTAACACCTTTTCTGCAAGACTTCTACTCTGCACTAAACCCTCTGTGATCTAAAGACGCCGCACAATTTGGAGCTAAACGAAATGTGATGTTAGCATGACTTTGATTGTTTGTTTTTTGCATCAGTCCCAGTGTTGAGTCCTATCACTTTATGAATTGAGTATCGCTGGTTTCATACTCTTTTCACCCCATAAAAATCTTGCTCTAACCTTGATTTGAGAGGTTTTGGCTGTAATTTCTTTAGATTTACATCTTTTGAATGGTTCCCAACATATTTTGAGATAATTCAAATATCCACAAACGTTTAAGGGAGGCTAACAATTCTTTAGTTCCATTTTGCTTGGACTTTCTAAATGGAATATAAAATGTCTTCATGTCAAGACATTTTTGACATTCAATGGAACAAATGATAAATAATGTTGATCTCCTTAAAACAGGGTTATTCAAATCTCTTCTCTTTGAGGACGTTTGACATCCCTGGATCACGTTCGCTTCGATTCAAGAGAATTTTAGACATTTTTTGCTTCTTTGAGGCAAGATTCTCCAGTAGAAATTTTAATAAACAATGTTACTATTGACAGTATTTTGTGAACCTCTTAAAACAATCATGACAAATGCTCTCTCCTCGGGTCATTTTAACTTTTTTAGCAGCTGTGTACGACTGATTTTAAAATGTCAGCACGTTTAACTTTGTTGCAGAGAGACAGAAGTTGCAACAAAGCGACTGTTTTTCCCAATGGGACAAAAGCCAAATTCTGTAGTGTTTTTGTATGTAACGTTTTTACTACCTACTCTTAGCACTATAGGAAACTGGCATATGTAACTAGCATTGTAATAACGCTAGCATTGCTACACAAGGGGAAGATGGCATGCTAAGTTAACCTTTTTTTTCTTAGTTTCGCTGGTTTTTACTAAAACGCAAAGATTTTGTAGTTTTGAGCAGAATTTTTGCTCAAACGAGAAAGAATTTCACTAATTGCTAGCATGCTCTTCTACTGCAGACTGTATGAATTAGTGCCACAATTGTCATAGATTCTTACAATGTTGCAGAGATCATTTTTGTATTTGCTAGCCATTGGGAACATATTCTGTCTCACAAATGGATCGCAGATTTTCTAGCAACTGGATCAACATTTATTTGTATAGCACAGATGAAACTAAAATCCAACATTTAAAAGCCACAATTCAAAATTAGCTAATGAAACGCACACACAATTTAAACGCTAAAATGTTCAATTCTCATGTTCACTTCAGTTTTGGCTTTGACCCGCACTAAAGCCTGGTCCTAAAGTGTTTTTTACACATTAGAGATACTCTAGAGAACTTTAGTCACATGTTTTGAATGTGTTTTTGTACTTTTTATGGACCTATCAGAATCTCCAAATCTACTACTGCCACTACTACAACTGCCACTACTTGTACAACTACTTATACTACTGTCACTACTGCTGCTGCCACTGCTACTACTTTTTATATGGACCTACTTTTTATAAGTTGAATGTTTTTGCCACAATTGAACCATGGACACAGACTGGGTGTTATTATAATCAAAATTGTAAAGTTTTCAACAATCGTTCACATTGTGAAAAACTTTCTGTCAGTACGATTGCTAAACAATTTTATCTTATTTCTGTTGAAGCTTTGTTTAAATGTTACGTTGCCGTATTTGAGATTATCATTTCATCGTTTAGTTCATATTTATTTACTATTTATTTTAATAGACTTTTGTTTTATTTATGCATTAAATTATTTTTGTAGCAGCTGCGAAAGAACTCTTATTTTTCTATTTAAGTTGTATTTATTTTGTAGTCGTCATCAAAGTGTAATAGATAATAAAGTTTATAAACAATTACTTTTTTGTGCTTATTTAATCTTCTTTAAACATTTGTTTTAATATAAATTCAATGTTATATTATACAAAAGTACACGTATTAGTTGTACAAGTGCAGAATTAACCCCAAAGGAAAGAAAATTATATTCTGATGTTAGACAAAATGTATCAGTCATACTTGAAACAAACTTGCTCTTAGTAGTCTTTTTTGTCTTCATATCTTAGTTACTTTTTCTGTTTTTCTATATTTTTTAATGAAATTATCTTGGTTTTCCAACAGAGGAAGAGAGAAGAGCAAGGGTCAGTTACCATAGCAACACACTGTTTGCCTTTTGTCACATCAGAGGACTTGAACAAAACTTCAAAGTGCCTTTTAGCAGTGCACAACATGAAAAATAAAACATTACACACAATATAGTCACACATGTACCTTACACAATTGATTTCTCACTGTGAAAGCCGACATGAGCACGAGAACGTAACGTCGACCTAGGAGCCTAATCCCCAGTTCCAAAAAAGTCTTGCGTTACCAAAATGACAAACTTAAAATAAAAACCACAGTGTAATGCTAATTTGAAGAAAAGCTATCCGTTCTCAGAAGACTCAGTTTTATTCAGTGTTTTTTATTTCGCTCTAAAATTCTTAATACACGAAACAATATTTTAGTTATATTTTTCCCTATTGTATAATGTATATACAATCTTTGAAAACATGTGACCTGAGATCTAATGTTCATCTCAGGTCACAGAAAATAAACTATTTTATTTGTTATTGAAATCGCCGTGTACTGAACAACTGTTAACTTGTTTAACTGATGCTGTACGTCGTATTACATTGGAAAAATCTCAAATGTATATGGGGGAAAACATCATGACAGCACTTTATTTTAGAGAAAACAAAAATATTACTAATGCAATACAACACCTTTCCAAACCAAGTGAATAGAAAACCAAAGTAAACATTTAAATGAAACCTCACAACAACACTCAGTTTAGTTTTTGAGCGATGTGTTGTGTTTCAGGATGATCGCGAGCGTAAGATGAGGGGGATGGAGGAACGCATGCGAGAAATCGAGGCTTCTCTTCACAACGTCAAGCTTCTGCTGAGGGAGAAGGTGGTGCAGCTCAAAGACCAGGTCTGTATTAACACTGTCGATTAAAGCTGGGGTCCCTGACTTTTTGCTTCATCCATGACACACACTGCTGCCTTCATTGTGTTTAGCATAATTTATTAATGCTTATATAGACTATTTGGCTGAGGAAATCTGATCAGATACAGAGGCCACTGCCATGACCATAGAGAAGATTTTTAACATAAATGTGAATCAAGGTGGATTATCCAACACAGGATATGTAATAATAACACACAGGAGCCATTGATCCTCCTGGGCTGTAGATCCAGGACTGAGGCTGTAGATCCAGGACTGAGGCTGTAGATCCAGGACTGAGGCTGTAGATCCAGGACTGAGGCTGTAGATCCAGGACTGAGGCTGTAGATCCAGGACTGAGGCTGTAGATCCAGGACTGAGGCTGTAGATCTAGTACTGAGGTTGTAGATTCAGGACTGGGGCTGTAGATCCAGGACTGAGGCTGTAGCTCCAGGACTGAGGCTGTAGACCCAGGACTGAGGCTGTAGTTCCAGGACTGAGGCTGTAGATCTAGTACTGAGGTTGTAGATCCAGGACTGGGGCTGTAGAAGGAGTCCATAGGTGCAGGTGAAAGAGACCAGATTCAGACGTCCCATCATCTTGCCAAGAAACAGACAATGAGACAATGGGTGAATAGCAATGAACAGACTACTACTGCTTCCACTCTCACTAAAACACTCTGGTATTAGTCTTCTCTCCATTTCTAACCCAGGTCCTCTCTCCTTTCAGCTTCATAAAAACGGGAAAGCCGACGTCCTGATTAAAGACTTATACTCTGAGAACGGCGAGCTCCTGAAGGCCCTGGAGGTGACGGAGCAGAGACACAAGATCGCAGAGAAGAAGAACTATCTCCTGGAGGAAAAAATCTCCAGTTTGACTAAAATCATGCGAGATTTAAGCCCGTCCACTCTGCCCACCCTGCAGTACCACTTCACCTGCTCCTAACCGGCACATTTATACATATTCTACATGTTTAAGGCACGTTAATTTGTGTAGCACAGTCCATACACAAGGCAAGAGAGAAACAATCACACAAGGCCTTCAAATCATGAGTAAAAACAGTACATCAAAAAGAGAAAAGATACAATCCTTCAATTGTATGCTCAGCTATACAGAACTGTTTTTAACCTGGATTTGAACAATGTAGAGAAGAAGCCTGTCTCACATTTTCAAGAAGACTGAAAATGTCTTCCTGAAATTAGGGCTACACAACATGCAGTATTTACAGGACTATTATTTGTGCCTAACCAAGAGGCAAGACTGAAGCAAAATGTGAAATTTGTGTGGAAGAAGATGCATCAAAATACTTATAATATAGTTATTGTTTTGTTTGGTTAATTTATTTTAAATGTTTTGGAATCTAAATGACTAGACGACCAACGATAGTGTTTGATATATGCCAATTTCTCCTATTTATAAAAAGCAAATCCAACGTTTTGTGGTCTGCGTAACAATCTATTATTAGTCAAATCTTGTTCCATCCATAGACTGTGATAACGTACATGGACAATGCTAACATGCTAGCTCAATGATGCCCAATAGAGAAGCGCTCACGAACAAAGTTTTGCTCCAACTCGCTCTGGCTCCTATTGACTTAAAAAGTAAACTTCTCTTGCTCAGTGACGGTCTGTGTCAAACTCATTATTTAGGGCTTTAAAAATCCATGGTTTAGCGCTAACTGTGATCCTGGTGTATAAAATGTGATACTGTCTTAGTAAATCCAAATATGAACCATAACAACCGACCAATCAGGAGCCTTCTGTCTACAAATTTAGCTTGAGCAGGCCAGTAGCACGAATGGGGACGGACGGACCAGCATCGCTCCTGTTGTCTCCTGGTAACTCGGCCATTGCTACCAACAAAATATTCATAAAAATCCATATTCAAGCTCAAATAGCCTGTTCAAGCTAGCTCTAAGGCTAACACTATATTTGCATCAGCTCTTGGTCTGTCCACTCCTCATATACAGTCTATGGTTTGGTTCCATCCCAGAATTTTGCCCAATAACTTTTTAGTAACTTAATAGCAAATATACCCTCATAAAACACAGACCTGGAGTTGATTTAGCTCCTTCCATGCTAATACCAGTAACTTCTAGTCCGACATTTTTTGTTCAAAGGCTCTGTTTTCAAAATCCTCAGACTGTGACTATTTTCTCTAAAATAGTTTTTAGTCAAAGGGCAATGCATGTGTCTTCAATAACATTGTGCCATGTTAGATTCAGATCCAGATCAAGCTGCTTGTAATTTCCCACTCAAACCACTAGATGGAGTGTGGCTCTTTCTGTCGATCTCAAAATATGTTCTTGTTTTTTTCCATATCTCTTCAACATTTGTTTAGTTTTGCCAATCAATGTCCTTGGTTGTGTATCCCTAAATTGCTTTCCCGATTCTATTTCTATGTTTGTATCCTTCTTACATCTCTAAACTGTTAAGCTGAGCTGCCTTTGTCGTTGCCTGATGTAAAGTGAAATTATGCTTTAATATAAGACACTACCTGAACTCTTTGTAAAGTGACCAAAGCTTTTTATTTATAAAGACTGGTTTTATGAGCAGCTGCTGCGTGTTTGAGACAGAATGAAGTGTAATGTTTTGTTTGAGAAAGAAGGAAAGTCTGCGATTGGAACCGAATAAAAGATTGTGGCTTTTAAACCTGTGTGTGTGATATCTGTTGGTTTTCTAGTTTCCTCAAGAAAACCACTAGAACAGGGGTGTCCAAGCTACGGTCCGCGAGCTAAATTCTGACCTAAAATGATCTCCTCTTGGTCCTACTGTGTACCTGGCACACACCGTTTACTGAAACAATTAAAGCTGGGGTACCTATAACTTTCATTTCTAGTAAAAATGTAATTACGCAATACAGTTGGTTCTCACTGTTTTCCTATGCATGTATTTTTGGCCTCCAAGAGAGAAACGCAGGGCGGATGTGGTGGGCGGGCTTCAATGCAAACGAGTTACTTCCGTATTGGGCGAACACGTCAGCAGCACTTGTTTACAGTCACAGTAGAATGTCAATTTAGGGTGAAGACAGACATATGTTTGCAAGCACTGTATCCCCCATGGTCAGCACTGGTTTAATCCTGGTTTAACAAAGTGTCTGCTGCACCGGACAAAAGTTCATGCAATTTCTCGCATTGGCGGACGTCCCCCATTGACTGCATTGAAACTCTCCGCAACACATGATCCTGTGGGAATACAAAAAGATAGAAAAGTGATAAAGAGACACTCTCAGACAATGAGCTCTCAGCCCACAGAGTCAAATAGTGTCTCACAAGGATCTTTATGCATAAGAGGAAGAGAGCATTGAACTTGGACAAACTAGATTATTTATGAAAAAGTTAGTGGTCTGATAGTCAGTACAATCACAAAATTTTTAAATCTGTGGCACCAGTAGGAATAAAGTAAGAAACCTTTGGGAATAAAATCTGAATAAAAATACATTCTTTGTTTATCTATAAAACAAGTTGGACCCAATCTCGCTCCAATCACACGTGTCCTTGACCTGTTTTGATCAGTAGAAGGATGAACAGTTCTAAAATAGCCATTGTCAGCTGTCAGAGGCTAAATTAAAGTGTACGGTATTTTACTCCCTCTAAGTATGCGTTCAGCGGTGGGAGGCGGGGAATCTGAGTCAGGCCTATTGTATTTCCTCTGTTTGAACTTTAGGCCGACAAAAGTCCAAGTGTCGCCTCCTGCTCAGATTGGTTCTCCGCGGGGTCCAGGCCTGTGGTGGTGTTCTGTCGAGAAGTGCACCCTTGTCGAGATTTGCCCCCTTTGTTGAACTGTGCATCCTCCCCACCATAGACTGTATATATTAATGGACAGAGTCACGCCTATCTCTGCCGTTCTAACTAATGGGCCAAAAAATGTGCTCTACTGGAGCAATCCAAAATGGCCGCGAGTGGTCCCGCCCACAAGAAAATTGTGAAAAAACACATCTGCGCATGCGTCAGCCGGCGCAACTGCATTCATTTGAACGAGAGACTTAAAAAATTCACAGCAAGTAAACTAGAGTGGACCAAAAAAATCCACCCCCCTCAACATTGACACACATGTGGAACGGAGCTTTGGGCCAAGAGCCAACTTCTCTAAGAGTCGCAGCGAGAGGGCGCTGTGTCACCAGTGGGATCTAGAGACGGATACTAGAACAGATATGAGAGCAATCCTAAAATAAAGGTTCTAATGCAAAATGTAACTGAATTCAAGAGAAAACTTTTGTTTCACTTATTTGTGAAATAATGTTTCTGCAAAAATGTTTTTTTCTCACAGCTAACTCCAAACATGACGTTGGTTTAAAGTTGTTTATTGAAATGAAACGTACAGCTGAACAGGTTATAACAGTGATCAGTGAAGATCTGAATGTCATGGGCAACAAACCATAAGGATAAAATTCAGTGTTTCCCCCCTCCCCCTCCCCTCAGCACTCCTCTCCCTCTCCTCTCTCCTCAGTATTCCTCTCCCTCTCCTCAGTACTCCTCTCCCTTCCCCCCCCTCTCTCTCCTCAGTACTCCTCTCCCTCCTCCTCCCCCTCCACAGAGTCAGCGCCCACCTCCTCATAGTCCTTTTCCAGGGCTGCCATGTCCTCCCTGGCCTCAGAGAACTCCCCCTCCTCCATGCCCTCCCCCACATACCAGTGGACGAAGGCTCTCTTAGCGTACATCAGGTCAAACTTGTGGTCGAGTCGAGCCCAGGCCTCGGCGATGGCGGTGGTGTTGCTCATCATGCAGACGGCTCTCTGGACTTTGGCCAGGTCTCCTCCTGGGACCACAGTGGGCGGCTGGTAGTTGATGCCCACCTTGAAGCCGGTGGGACACCAGTCCACAAACTGCACAGTGCGTTTGTTCTTGATGGAGGCGATGGCAGAGTTGACGTCTTTGGGAACCACGTCCCCGCGGTACAGCAGGCAACACGCCATGTACTTGCCGTGGCGAGGGTCGCACTTTACCATCTGATTGGCTGGTTCGAAACAGGCGCTGGTTATCTCTGCCACAGTCAGTTGCTCGTGGAAAGCCTTCTCCGCTGAGATGACCGGAGCGTACGTGGCCAGTGGGAAGTGGATGCGAGGATATGGCACCAGGTTTGTCTGGAACTCTGTGAGGTCCACGTTCAGGGCGCCGTCGAAGCGCAGGGAGGCGGTGATGGAGGACACTATCTGGCTCATCAGACGGTTCAGGTTGGTGTAGGTGGGGCGCTCGATGTCCAGGTTGCGCCGGCAGATGTCGTACACCGCCTCGTTGTCGACCATGAAGGCGCAGTCCGAGTGCTCCAGAGTGGTGTGCGTGGTCAGGATGGCGTTGTACGGCTCCACCACCGCAGTGGACACCTGTGGCGCCGGGTAGATGGAGAACTCTAACTTTGACTTCTTCCCAAAGTCCACAGACAGACGCTCCATCAGCAGCGAGGTGAATCCTGAGCCAGTACCTCCACCGAAACTGTGGAACACCAGGAAGCCCTGCAGCCCAGTGCACTGCTCCGACTGAGGACACAAATACATCAAAGTTGACTCATCAGAATACTCCAGCTCCTGATCCTCTAACACAGATGTCTCTAACCTTTTTCACCCATATCATCACATATTTGTTACCAGTGCACAATGTAAGTGCATTTGCGATAATAAATAAGTGAATTATACAATCTGACTGATGAAGTATGTAATTTGGTTTTATTCAATTCTAAATCCCTCCACCCTCCTGTGGACTCACCCCCTGCAACAGGATCAGTGAGGGGCTGATGCTCAGTGAATTAGGTGCAGCTTTGACTGCCACCCCCCTGACCCCCTGAAATGGATTAAAGGGAAGAAAATGGAATTGATGGCATTTCTAAATCCTTTGGCGAGCTACCTGGAAGGGGGTGACAAGCTATGATGGCTCCCGAGCTACAGGTTGGAGAGACCCCTCTAACCCTCTAACATGACTCATCAGAATACTCCAGCTCCTGATCCTCTAACATGACTCACCAGTTTCCTGATGCGGTCCAGGACAACATCGATGATCTCTTTCCCAATGGTGTAGTGACCGCGAGCGTAGTTATTAGCAGCATCCTCCTTCCCGGTGATGAGCTGCTCCGGGTGGAACAGCTGGCGGTAGGTTCCTGTTCGCACCTCGTCTAAAGTCAGAGTTTTTACAGTTTTAACAGAATGGAACAGTGACAGTAGGTTCTTGTGCTGAGAATCTGAACAGGTGGATAAACTCTCACCGATGACGGTGGGCTCCAGATCCACAAACACGGCTCTGGGGACGTGTTTCCCGGCTCCCGTTTCACTGAAGAAGGTGTTAAAAGAGTCGTCTCCTCCTCCCACAGTCTTATCGCTGGGCATCTGTCCGTCAGGCTGAATGCCATGTTCCAAACAAAACAGCTCCCAGCAGGCGTTTCCAATCTGCACACCGGCCTGGCCCACGTGTACTGAGATACACTCACGCTGGACACACACACACAGACATTATTATGTTTATGTTTTCTTTTATGCCCTGGGCTGCTCAGATGAAATTCCCCAGGTAAGATAAATAAAGTAGCATGATTCTGAACTTTAAATTCAAAAGTAGATATTTTTGGTTGCTTAGGAACCAACTTTCTGAGGCAGTTAATGTCAATTTCTCCAGGTGTTGGGCCTGGACTGGTCCTGGTTCTGAGCTGCCTAGATTGGTTTTCCACCAGAGCCAGCGCTAGTTACCACAGTTGGCATCTGGTAGACATTGAACATCATTGTAAATTTCTCCATTGTGAGATCTATAAAGTTTCTTATATAACAATGTTTTTGCTGTATTTCAGTCATAGTCACCAGTTTTAGCACACATTAAAAGTGAGTAAAGGCTACTAAAGTACTTTACTAAGATAAATAAAGTGTGTGTCTCTCTTATTTCCCCCCAATAGAGTTTATATTGTTGGAACCGGCGGTTGCCCTGGTTACCAGGCAAACACGCATTATATTCGGTTGAAATCCGTTGAAATGGTACTAAGGCAGAGCGTGGAGTGGACGTTAGCACTAATGTCACACATGAATCTTTTACAAACGGTTATAACACGTCCCGTCGTTATGTAGTAGGGTTATCATTGTATAATTACTGTTAAACCCGTTTACAGTCGTACACTCATACAATACTTTGAAATGAAAAAAGCGGGAAACTACCTAATCAAACTTTCAAGACCACAATCTACGTGGGGCATTGATTAAAATAGCATTACAAGCAACACGAGAAACGTTATCAAAGCTTACAATACATAAGACTCAAAGACTTACCATAGTTTTGGTTAGGTTGAATTCACAGCGGTTTGACACACTTCAACGTTAGACGCGGCAGAAAGAGAAAGTTTGAACTGATGCTCGTGTTTTATACCAGACGTAAGGGCGCGTGACGTTTACGTTACTGCGCGCTATACGTTATATCTTTTTATACGATTTTTTGGTACATATAAACGTGAACATGTATATCGTTCTTAACAATAAAATATCTACATAAAAACGCTATTATAACATGTTTGTGGCCGCCTTCCTCCTTACAGTGACCCAAGCTGATGGCGGATCTGAGACTGCAGAAAAGACCAAACTCATTGCTGTTTGTGTTTTTTTAAGCATAGACTGTAAATATTAGCATTTTTACGCCACAGTATAAAGTAAAAAGCACAGAGGTGTTGTGTGTGTTGTCTTATAGTTGAAGCTAGGTTGCTAACGCTAACTAGTTAAATGTGCTTTATGTAAGCCATGTCCTTTCATGCCCTGAAACTATACCTGAAACAGAACTGAAGTGGCACTCTATGGTGTGTTGTTTATGGTTATTCAGTCACGCTCTGCATGTTGACTCTTAATGATTTATTGATGACATTATTTTAGGGAATGAAGCCTGGTGCAGTGGACCAACACCAACTACTTCCAAACCAGGCAGTGGCGACATAACGGTAAGGAAAACGTTTGAAACTGCCTGATAAAAGGTCATAATAATAATACTACATACTATTTAAGCTCCATCACCACCCTCTACTTGTCCTCTATCTTTCACTTTTCTTATCTGAAGAAATGAGAGGCCAGAAACACATGTGAAAACTAGAGACATGGATTTTATGACAGCTTTAGGTACAAGCACAAGTCATGTTCGTGGAGAAGGTCGCAGTTGTTTGACACACTTTCATACATAATCCTTAAAATCCTCAACATTTTAAAACAGCATTTTACATTTTTATCTCAAGTTTAATTTTTACTGAAACTATCTCATCCGTTATACATTTTTCAAGCGTAATTTCAATTTATGTGGAGGATTTTCCCAAAATTCTTATTATTCTCTGTTTCAATGCAGATTGCAACTTTATAGGTGCCCAAAAATATCGCAATAATATCGTCATAGCAATACTAAACACTCAAATATCGCTCTAATTTCCGATATCGTGCAGCCCTACTTTACAGAATAGATCTAACGTTCCGCTATTGTTTTGTAATTTACTGGAATCTCTAGACTGATGTGATTTAGTATTTTTAATTGATTAATGGAATGATCATGATCCTGGAGCATTTTGTCTTTTGAGAGTCTCCATGACAAAGTCTATTGGGACAAAGGGAGGATGGTCACTTGGTCCAGGTCCACAGTCTCCGGAAAAAGTTTTAAAAACTTCTCACCTCTAATTATTGACATGTTTTTAATGTGATAGTTACATTACATTACATCTGTTTATTTATATAATTCACAAACACAAATAATGTTTTATTTAGAGTCACAATGAAGCGGTGGAGGACAAGGCTGGAGCTGAGTGAAGACTGTGAGTACTGAAGGTGGACTGAAGCAGAACTGAACCAGGACTGATCCAGGACTAAACCCAGTCCAACTCTGGTCTCTTGCAGCTCACCTCTTGTGGGGTGATTTAAATGCAGAATCAGATCCACTGTGTGTAATATGTGCGACTGTTCTTCAGTGTGTGTTTGTGTGTGCGCGCGACTGTTCTTCAGGGTGTGGGTGTGTGTGTGTGTGTGATGTCTCTGTCCTCCTCAGAGCCTGTGTGTGTGTGTGTGTGTGTGTGTGTCTAACGTCTCTGTCCTCCACAGAGGTGCAGTGTGTGTAAGCTGAAGGGAGCGTGAGTGGGCTGCAGTGTTCCGTCCTGCAGGAAGAAGGCGCACTTCCCGTGTGCGCAGAAGGAAGAGTTTGTGTCTCAGTTCATCTGCCCGTTCCCGTGAGTGACAACTGTTCTACAATGTCTGTGTCTTGTGGCTCTATACCTCTGGCTGCCACTGTCTCTGTGTGTGTCCTCTCCCTCAGGTCCTTCTGTCCGGCCCACGCCCCGGTCCAGACCCTGAGTCCTGCTCTAGACCTCAGCCTGCCTCATTCCTGCTCTGTGTGTCTGGACGTCCTGGACCCCGTCCTGAGCTTCAGTGTCTTCAAGTGTCCCGAGTGTCACAGCAGCTGGTTGCACCGCCACTGTGCACAGGTCTGACAGGAAGAACCCTCTGGGTTTTAGTGTCTCTTGGGTTTAGACCTTCTTGGGTTTAGACCTTCTTGGGTTTAGACCTTCTTGAGTGTAGATCGTTATCTGACTCTCGCTCTGTTCCAGCTCCAGGCTCACAGCTCGGGGCTGTTCTTCTTCAGATGCACTTTGTGCAACAACAAGGATCAGTTCCAGGAGGAGATGCTGCGGATGGGAATCTACATCCCAGAGAGGTTGGACTTTATTATTATATATGATGCATGTGATTAAAATGAACGGGACTGTCCTGACTGCATCCAGGCCATTGACGGGAAACGTGAGCACACAACACAAGCAACACACAGATACTCACAGACACACACATACAGTGAGGTCATGTCTCGCCCTCGGTCTGCCATAAAAGGTACTGCATTACGCTTTTTGACTTCTCTCTAGTTTAATTGACGTGACACAGAAACGTCCCAATTCAAATCGTGACATGGACCAAATTGTGACGTGAAAAAATCCGCCTTCGTGAGGTGATTGACAGTATGGAGAAATGGAACTAGTGAATCAGCGCATGCAGCCTCTCTTCGAGTCCAACGTGTGGTCCATAGACATACGCATCTGTGCTTTTTTGTGTTGGCATCATGAAAATTTATTTTTGGGTGTAAATACATGACTATAGTATTTGTCCCCAAAACGGAGAATGATGCAGATGGGGATTGACTTTGTTCACGGGGATCTGCCTCTAAAATTCGGGAGTCTGATATCCGCCACAAAACTCAAAACAAAAGATTTTGACGGTGACACTTTGCCAAAGAGTGTTCCAGAACTATGGTTACCTTGAAACAGTACCTACTCAAAAGCTGACCTGGAAACTTGGTGTTATTCCCAACATAAAAGACGCTAACAGGGAGCCTCCGCCTGTTAGTACAATACAATAACTCGATGTATGGTAATGTTAAATAAACAATTAGGGTCTGATTCTGGATCAACATTGGGCTCTAAACTTAGACAGACTTTATTGATCCACAATGGAAATTGCGTTGTCACAGTAGCTTGCATAGTATTTCACAATAAAAAATAAAAAATAACATTAAAGTAAAAATCCGAAAAGAAGAATTATAATAATATAATATTATAATTGTGAAAATAGAATAATCTGGATGTAGGTTCTATGTATGTGTATATGTATGTATGTGTATATGTACACATTTACAGTATAAAATACAGAGATAATAGGAGTACACATCTGTTAATATACAATACTATGGAAGCCCGTTTCCGCCATGTAAAAAAAAAAAAAAAGCATACAGAAAGTCAAAATTTTGAGTTTAAAACTCAAAATTACGACTTTTACAAGTCAAAATTTCGACTTTAAAAGTCAAAATTACGACTTTAAAAGTCAAAATTTCGAGTTTTCAACTGCGCATGTGCAGTTGAAAACTCGTATGTGTTGTTGTCTGGAGCGGTCTCTGGACGTCCTTCACCTGCAGATTATGTGAAGATATTGCTGACAGCGACCACTGCATCCTTGAAGTAGCCAGAAATAATGTTGTTTGATTGATTCTGTAAAACTTTCCTGTTTAAGCCGAGGCAGGGAGGAGCTGTTTTTTTATTTATTTATGTTAAATTCAATTTACATATATACAACATTTAAATCAAACGACTTCTTATTTCAAAGGAAATCAAAGGAAAATGAGCCATCGAGACATTCCAATCCAATCTGCTGTAGACCACTCTGACCAGACGATGGCGCTGAGAGGGGTCCACACAGAGCGAGTGTTTCCACGGCTGAAATGATGCGCTTTCTACGTGTTGAGTACGGGGTTTTATTCATGCATCTATAATGGGGTTATCTATTTCTAACCCTTTTCAAAGACCCTCACTGTTATCTGCGGAGTTATTTTTCCGGATTGTTGCTAAAAGAGTCGTGGGCTTTATTTTGTCACAATAAAATAATCAGACAAGGTACTTATTCCCTGTATGTCTCTGTGTTCTTGCTCATACGCCAACAACTTTACCACACGCTCCATCAGCTCACCCCCGCATGCACGCAAACACGTCACATACTCTTCAATGCACTGATCGCAATTCCAAAAGGGTAATAATGTCAGTGCCCGTGACTGTGGTTCTCCTGCCTCTGTCTGTCAGTCACAATAATATTCACTGCATTTCTGGTGCATCCATCGATCGCAATGATACTGACCAGACGTCACCAGTTGATGCTCAATGACTTTGAACAGCCACATGTGTTTTATTATTAATCTTCCACAGTCCGTTTAGGATAAACTAAATAGAGGCTTCTGAAGCGGATTCTAATCATAAACGGAGAGACCGTTTGCATTTTAACGCGATTACTACCACAACATTATTGCTGCTACTTCATGGATGTGGTCACTGTCTGTAGGAAATATCTTCACATAATCTGCAGGTAGAGGATGACCCATGGTCATGGATCTATAACAGGGATGACCAGAGACCACCGACAGTATTTCCATAAATACAGTGAACAGAACCGGTGACAAAGGGCACCCTGGCGGAGGCCAACATGCACCGGGAAACAGGTCTGACTTACTGGCCGGCAATGCGAACCTCACAGCTCTGGCTTCCGGTCATTACAGGACCGCAACAGCCCTCAGGCAGAGACCCCCGGACCCCAACTCCCGGGAGAACCCCCCAAAGGACACCCCGGGGAACAAGGTCGAACTCCTTCTCCAAATCCACAAAGCAACATGTGGACAGGTTGTGGCGCACTCCCATGAACCCTCGAGTAATCCGATGGATAGTAAAGAGCTGGTCCAGTGTTTCCGCTGACCGGGACGAAAACCACACTGCTCCTTCCTGAATCCGAGATTCGACCATTGGCCCGTAGCCTCCTCTCCAGTACCTTGGAGTAGACCTTAACCAGAGGCCTGAGGAGTGTGATCCCACGATAATGGTACACACCCTCCGGTCCCCCATCTTATAGAGACCACCACCGGTTTCGGGGTTGCCACCAGGACCACACCAGAGATCCTTTACGAGCTGCCACACTCAGCGATAGAGGAAAGAAACATGGTCAACTCAGACTCAATGTCCCCCTCCTCTGCCTGGTACCAGGTAGAAGCTCTCCCGAGGTGTGAGTTGAAATCCGTCTTGAACAGGGCTCCAGCGAGACGTTTCCCCCAGCAGACCCCTCACACCACGCTTGGGCTGCCAGGTCCTGACCCAGCTTCCTCCCCTGCAAGCGGATCCAACTCACAACCAGGTGGTGATTCGGTTTGACCAGCTCCGCCCCTCTCCTTCACCCGAGTGTCCGAGACACGCGGTCGAAGGTCAGATGATACAACACAAAGTAATCATCGACCTCCGGCCTAGGTGTCCTGGGTGCCACATGCACTGTGGACACCCTTGTAGCGTCGAACATTCAACTGAACACCGCTCGGGCGTTCAGATCATGGGCCGTTCTTCCCCTATCACCCCTCTCCAAGTGTCACTGGCATTTCCCACATTGGGCCATGAAGTCCCCCCAGAGAATAACGAGTTCCCCGGGCTGTGCACCCACCAGTAACCGCCCAAGGCTCCAAGAAGCCGGGTACTCTACACTGCTGTTAGCCCGAGGCCGTCACAACCTGAGAGACTATCCCCCACCCGAAGGCGGAGGGACGCGACCCTCTCATTCACCGGGGAGAACTCCAACCCCACGTGGCGGCTGAGAGGGGGCAATGAGTAATGGCCACCCCAGCTCGCCGACTCTCCCCGCAGAACACCAGAAAAGTGGAGTCGTCCAACCCCTCTCACGAGTTGGGTTCCAGAGCACCAAGCAGTGCGTGGAGGTGAGGCCAACTATCTCTAGTCGGTATCGCCGACCTCCCCCACGAGCTCTGCTCCTTCCCCCCCAGCGAGTGGACGTACCACGTCCACAAGAGCCAATGCTGTGTGTGCGACTGGATCGCCGAGGTCTCCGCCTTCGCTGCTGCCATTCCTCTCAGCACCGTTTTGCCACCACGGACCCCTCTGCAGTGGTGGGACCACAGGAGGGACTGCCCACGTCGTCCTTTCGGGCTGAAAGCCCGGCCGGGCCCCGTGGGCTAAGGCCACTGCCACCGAGGCGCTCGCATACGGCACCTCGACCCTCAGGCTGCTCCAGGGTGGGGCCCCGGCTGCGCCTATGCCGGCGACCGTCACTGTTTTTCTGTAGTGCGAGGGTAGGGTTTTATTCCATGCATCTATAATGGGTTTAACTCCCTTTCAAAAGACCCACACTGTTATTTCTCCGGATTGTTGCTATAAGAGTCGTGGGCTTTATTTTGTCCACAATAAATGTCAACAAGTACTTATTCCCGACATGTCTCTGTGTTCTTTGCTCATACGCATCAACTTTTTAACCGCACCGTCGCTCCATCAGCTCACCCCCGGGACGCAAACACGTCAACATACCACTTCAATGGCACAGATCGCTATTCCAAAAGGGTAATATTGTCATGCCCGTGACTGTGGTTCTCCTGCCTCTGACTGCGGAACCTCTCCTCACTGTCCTGTCCATCGCGAACGGTCACTCTGTCAGTCACAAATTATCATTCAGTGCATTTCTGGTGCATCCATCGATAGCCGTACTACTGACCAGAGTCACCAGTTGATCTCAATGACTTTGAACAGGCGCATGTGTTTTATTATTAATCTTCCACATCCGTTAGGATAAACAAAATTGAGGCTTCTGAAGCGGATTCCTAATCATAAACGGAGAACCTTGCAGTTTTAACGCGCTAATACCACAACATTATTGCTGCTACTCATGGCTGTGGTCACTGTCTGTAAGGCAAAATCTTCACACAATCGCAGGTAGGGATGACTCATGGTCCATGGATCTATAATAGGGATGACCAGAGACCGTTCCAGACAACACACAACGATTTTCAACTGCACCTGCGCAGTTGAAAACACGTAATTTTGACTTTAAAGACCGAAATGTTGACTTTTCTGTAAGGCTTTTTTTTTTTTTTTACATGGCGGAAACGGGCTTCCCCATAGTCTAGATTAAACAGATAAAAAATCCAACGAAACTCAGGAACATAGACTGACATAAATAAGCAAAGACAATGACAAAGAACAAGGGGAGAGGAGCAGAGGGTACAGCCAGACACAGGCCAAACACATCAAGGTGCGCAGACAATCAACACAGGGAACAGGACACTGAAAGTTAAATAAAAACAAAACCAAGAAAGAACACCACTAACAAAAAAATCCACACCGTGACTGTTACTGTTTT